ATTTTTCCTTACTGTGAAAATATAATTAAACAGATATATAATATTTGTTATATTAGAAAATTTAATTTCATTAATAGAAAACATTTATTATAAAGATAAGAAGATTAGAGATAAAGTTAATACAGTCAAAAATAAAAGTTGATATAATTTTTTAAATTAAACTAATATTAAATATGGAAATGTTTGAGCATTTTTATTATAGTGTAGTTATTATTATTGTCAGGTATATAATTATCAGATATATAATTATCCTTATTAATTGACAAATTACAAAAATAAAATTAAATAATGCTAATTGAATTATAACAATTAATATAGATATGATAACAATTAATGAGATGTCATACAGCTGCAGATGAAAACTAAAATGAATGGTCTAAACATTCAGAGTATTTGTTTTAAATAAAAGAATAATAGTACATAATAACATTGATTATAAACATAAATTAATTTGTAAAAATTTCTTATACATTTTTTTATTTAATTAAAAACTTAGAATAAATATGAGAAAATCAAAGAATAGATATGTTATGGAAAATTTGATTAATTCTGCGTAGTATCCAAATAATCAAATTTTTCGTAAAATATGTATAAAATTAAAATAATTCAAATTATTGCAATGAAATAATGACTCGTATTTATATTACTTCACTGCTATTTATATCTTTTTCATATTTCTTAATGATATTGTCATAAATTAATAACATTATATAATTGATATAATCATTGTGTAACAATATTTTCCGATAAATTATGTTATATCTTTTTCTTTGTTAAATTTATTGATTCACAACAAATATTACACGCAATATATGGTATTGCAAATATATTATTATTTAATCAGCACATGTTCAGTTACTGGAATATTTACAATATATATATTAATAATATATATATTAATACATATACAAGTTTCAACATTTACGAATCAAAATACCAGAGAAGAAAGACCTAAAAAGAAAAGATTATAAAAGTATTTACCATTTGTCATTCCAAGCATTAGTTTTGAGACATAAAGGTTAAAAAATAGTTAGTTATAAATTACGGTTAATCGGTTATCTGTCCGTGAGTTGCGTAGATGTAATCGCACACTAATTCACGTGAACACAAACATTAAAAATTGTGTGGGTAATATTAGTGTAATATATACTGCGCATATATATTATGCATATATATTACGTATTATACGTATAATATTTGTTGCGAATTAGTTGATGCTCTTAATAAATAAACATAACGAATAAGATGAATTTATAATTTATCAAAATGATGTCACTAAATGATGATTACATCATCATTTAAAATTTTTGTATAAATATCAATAGGAAATATAAATAAAAATACTAACATATAAATCTAAAAAAGTAAAAATTTTCAGTATTCAAAATTACAGAAAAGTATAAATGAGATAATAGAAGCGGTATAATTAGTGCCCACAAATCCTTTTAAAAGTATATTAACAATTTAATAATTAACCACATCATTCGCAGTCAGTAATCGCGCGAGAATGGATTAAAAAGGATAGAAATTTTTATACGTATTTTAAATTCATTTAGAAGAAACTACATACAAAATTTGCATTAATAAATAATCATATACCAAGATAAAAAAACGTTTTTTTTACTATTTCATTTTTATTTAACGTATAATATTAATTCTTTGTGTTCTTTATTCGCGTTTTTAGTATATTTGGCTATCTAATGCACATCTCCTGGAGTATCAATAATCTCGTTGATGCTTGACATCTTAATCACTGACATTGTTTCAATTTACATTTGACGACTTAATATTATTGTTTTAAATTGTAACTAACATTAACAATTGTAACTTTCATTAACATGTTACGTCTTAGTGTTGTTATTGAGATGTTTTCTCCGTTTTTGAGTCAATGTATTTAAACAATTTACTCGGGGACCGGAGATTAAGTTGTGTAGTTAAGGATGCGATTCACTGGGAAGTATTGGATAATTTAAAGGAAGGGTAACCTTGAATCCGGTGCCAAAAAGATCGCGAAGTTTATAGGCGAATCTACGTGGATTGTGTTTTGGAATGGTTTTGTAACTAGGAAACGTTAGGTTGACCTCCAATTTATTCAGAGTATAGACAGGTTCGCGAGGTGAGTCTACCGGTTTGTCTTGGTCTAGCAATTGCGCAAGTTTTTGGAAATAGGGGAAAGGATCTTGATTCGAAATAAGGGCCGATTTAACTTGGAACCTCAATCTCTTTTCCCTTTGGAAAACGAGGTTCTGATGAAGCGCGAGGATAGTTCTCACCTTGACTGTAACTGACTGACTGGCTGAGTGATCGAAGCAGTGCGAGTCTGAAAGTGAGTCTAAGTCTAAGTCTAAGTCTAAGAGTCTGAGTTTAAGAGTTTGAGAGTAAGTTTAAGAGTTTGCGAATAAGTATAAGAGTTTGTGAATAAAATGTACGTTTCTATCTTCGACAGCTCCCTTTATATACTGAAAATGAGTATGGGAGTGTCCTTTCAGAACCAATCGACACTTCTCAAAATTTGGTAGAACCTATACTCGCGCTTCCTTTGAGATAAGGCAGCAAGGCTCCGCGTAAGCCCTACTCCCCACTCTACAAGTTTATTCTTAATAAGTAATAGTTGAATTTTAACAATTTGTTATAAAAATTCGGTTTTCCTTAATATCCTTTATGCGAGGCGAATTCACTACATTCATATATTTAAGATTAATTTAACTTTATTAGAAAAAGAAAAAGGGAAAAAAAGAAAAAGATATTCGTTCTCGCATTCAGGAAGGTTTCTATTTTACTGCTAATTACTTAATCGTTAAACGCTAATATAATATACGTTATTATTATATAATGTTAATGTATAATACGCTTTTATATTTGTTATTTTATAGAAGGGCTTCTTTGAGAAAGATCGTGTGATATTCTTAGACATTCTTTCTAGAATATTCTATAGATAATTTTTATGACGCCTAAAAGTACATAACGTGATCTATCTGTTAGAGTTTGAATGTTCAAATAAAGAAACTGGCTATAAAAGAGAAACGGAATTTCCAGTTTCGAAATAAGGAAAATAGGGAAATCTAGCGATAAGATAAAGTAAAGTATAAATTGTATATCTATGATGAATATATTATTCTATAAAGAATAAGGGGATTTTATTGGTATGTAACAAACAAGATTGTAATGCGAACTTAAGCATTTAAATTTTAAAAAATTTGTTGTTTTTATTAATAGGTCTGTTTTTTGCTGCATTCTGAACCGGTGCAATAACTTGAAATGAAACAATAATGAAACGTATATTTGTTTTATTTCAACTTATTGCACTGTGTGTACCAGTTTAGAAAAGTGCAGCAATAAAAAAACAGACCTAATATATAATATGAGCTTTGAATTTTATTAGCCCTACTTTATTTTCCTTTTTTAATTATTAAATTTCATTGATTTGATCAAAAGTTACAAATTTTTGAACGTATCATTACCACATTTGTATTTACATATCTGCAAAAATAAAATATTTAAACAAATAGATTTATTAATCTACATACAATTATTATTACTAATAATATTACATCGTTTTACATGTTTGTAGTTTTTTAAATTTGTTTGATTTATACTTATTTCTTTCTTATTTTCCTTATATAATTCCTTATATAAATTCCTTATATAATATAATTTAAATATAAAATCGGAGTACAGCATAAACTGTCACATCTGCGTAAGACAGACCGTAAGCTAATTTAATCGTTAATTTAATTAATTGCGTTATTGTGTTAAATAATAATTAGTTCTATCTGAGCTAAAAGTAAGCCTGTATTTATGAAAAAACTCCCCCCTCCCCCCCAAAAAAACTATCGCGTTTGTGTTCTGTAGAATAACATAAAATATGCATATAAATCTATAAAAAATTTCGTATAAGATTTTCTAAAATTTTATTAGAATAATAATAAGAAATTTCACAATAAGAATAAGATTTTTTTAAATTTCCTTTCACTTCGACATGCGCATATAAATCAGTAACAACTCGTTTTTTGTTGATTCATATGCATACTTAATACCTTTTTTTATATCAAAGTGAAAGGATTTCTAGAAATCTTATTTACATTCACTTATAGGTATTTTGTGCGGATGATTCCTATAAAAGAAAATGAATAAAATATGTGTTATTATACTGTCCACTGTGTTAGTTTTGGAGCCTCCTTTATAAAGAGTAGGAGCTTTTCAGAGTTCCCATAAGTGTGCAGAAATCCCAGAACTTTCATGGATGTGGAATTCTACATTCAGAATTTTGAGATATCAAATAATACTTAAATTATAACGATAAATTTTAACAAATTTTAAATGACAAAAATCAGTATTTAACTAAGATGCTGCACGTTTTGCTTATCCGATTTTTACATTATTATCCTACTTCTAGGCTACGTAACTTTCTCATGCTGTAATTATACTGACGCGTGTTATTGAAACCACTCTTCCACCCTTCTCTTCAATGAGGTACTGTATACCCTGAAAAGTCTGTATACCCTCGAAAGTTTTCGTCCTGGATCATATCCTTCACACTCTACTTAATTGCATAAAACTCAATATGTAAGTAGTCACGTTTATGCAAATTATCTTTTTATAAATACTTATAAATGATTCATACTCTATCATAACACTCATTTATCTTGATTTTCCATCTTTATTATCATTAATTTTTAATATGCATCAACAAATTTATACATCTTGTTTAACATATTATACATTTTTTGCACGTTTATCATTATTGTACGTCTTACCACTATTTGTACAAAATAGGACGAAAAATACTGCATGAAAAAATAAAACGCGCAGCTTTATTACTAATAGGGGTACGTCCCGTTAGTCACTATAAATACTAAAAATCTATAGTTTATGTTATGTATACTATTATAGATTTTCGGTACTTAACGCTTAAATTGATTATGCATTGTGCGCGCGATTTGTGAAAGTAGTCGAATCATTTCCCTTTGAGGTCGTCTTTTCTTCATGAATTTTTTTATCTCATCCTGTCCTACAATTCTGAACATACACAAGAAGGATATATATAAGCATCCTCTTTGATGATTGTTTTCGAATTGCTTTCACCTCGCCTCACTTCGTCTCCTGGAGGTCGTCCCGAGACACCTGGGAAACTCGCGAGACACGCCTGCACGCGCGCATATACGTGATCGGGGTGTTAATTATCAATTTTAGCGGCGAGATGGACTACGAGCTTAGTTATGAGACAATCCGATCTCTTCGTACATATCTATATAAACTACCGGCGAGCAAGGTTTAGTTAGTTGATCGTTTCAATTGCGAATGTAAATTACTCGTTGTGCGAATGTCTGACAGTAGTGACCGATCTCTCAAGAGATTATGACATGACTTTACGGTGTTTCTTTAGCAGGTGAGGGTACTAGATACGTAACTGAACTATACTACGCGATTTATCATTGTGTTGATAATTAATAGAAATTGACAAGCGATATGGAAGATTGAAAATCGATTCTATGCATGTATTATTTTATGTACTACGCAGAATTAAATTCTTTCTTCTTGAATCGATCAAGATTGCGATCTTCTTGATTGTATATGTTGCATATTTTATAACAGTAATAATTCCGTGAGGTCTTATCAGTTAATTTTATTTTATCGATGATTTTATCATTGCTGAAATATAGAAGTTGGATTAACAGCGAATAAGACGATAAATATCGCTAAGAAAAGTCTAACTTAATCGGAAACGGTCTACACAATGTAATTTAATTAAATGTCGTATGTAACATGAGTGTTTATATAAATTAGGAAAATTAGGAAAATTAAAAAAATAGACATAAGTTGCCAGAATTATGAATATGATGCGACAGCTTTTAAGTACACTTACATATTTTTTCGATGGGAAGGGAAAGGCATTTTTTTCATCTTATGACGTAGATATACAAAAATAAACGCGAGTTGATTGATAGATGTCATACTAATAACTTTCACTTAATACTGTATGATTTATGTGTGTATATGTGCATCGAATTTGAAGCGCCCTGTTCTATCAACTTTCTCCAAATTGTATAGCTGTCTTAAATTCTCTCTCAAAAAATAGCTCGACTAAACTTTCTTTTGTGCGAAGTGAAAGATAAACAGCCAGAAAGTTTGTGAGTGTGATTTGTTCCTATGTAAGTTTATATTTTTAAGAATAAAAGGATGGTCGTAATATTTTGTGTTAAAAAATATTTATTTTTGAACAATGAACAAATTCCATGATCTTGATAATCACGATAAATTTCGAAAATTTCATCGTATAACAATTTAATTAAAATTAGCTCAATATTATTTTAATATTTTAATTTATAGTTTGTAATCGCACATGTATAAGTTTGGATAAGTTAACATTAGTTATTAAGTAATATTCTCGATTTATCCTTGCTGTAAAACTTATATTGTTATACGATTCGTATTGCGATTACTCGCGATACACTCTACTTGCATGATTCGATTAATTAACAAATGTCTCATCTTGAATTGTAATGTGAGGAAGTAAACGTCCCTCATATTTTAACGGGTGAACCAATTTATAATGATTATTTATAATGATGCAATGTCATCAAACGTTATATTATGATGAGGATACTATATCGCGCAATTGATAAATTGTAATTAAGAAATTGTTGAGTCTAATGATTGTTCTACAATGTGCTTTTTGTTTCCTGTTTCTTATTTTTTACCTTTTGCTTTTTTCCTCTTTGTGATCATTTTATCAACAATTCTTGATATATATTTTCTGTTTCTTCTGAAGTTCGTTAACATTTATCTCGAACAACAGAAAACGAAAAACGGGATAAGAAGTAAAAAGGTAAAATCCAATAAATAGCAAAAAGCAAGAAACAGCAAACCAAAAAGCACATTATAGAACATAAATATTTCATAATAAATAAACAACAAATCTGTAGAGGAAACTCATTTTCATTTAGCATAGAGTAAAAGGAATGTACATTTATAAAACTTATAAAAATCATAATCCTTTTATACTCGATATCTTATATCTTATTTTAATTATAATTACTATCGATAAGATCGAGTATAAAAAAGTACGAGATAAACTTTTTTTTGCGTTATAACATAACACGGAAGCAATAATATTGATTCAAGAAGATATTTCTAAAATTGTTAGAAATAGTAATTTGAAGCATTACAGAATTGAGAAATACAAATATTCGTTGAAGTTAAACATATATTCATAAATCATTTATTCCCTATTTGCATATCCTTTTAACGGTCCAAGTAGCAAATGATTGAATTTTATTGCACCGTCTTTATTATTTCAAAAAATATGTCACGGCAATAAATCGAATGATTTATTACTAAGCAGTTTTCTTACTATTTCCTGCAATTTATTATTCATGTGATATAAAAATTATATTTTTTGTAATTAGTTGAATCGTACATCAGAGATGTGGACCTATCTTGCCTTTCTAGCTGTTATCTACGTTATATATACATTGAAGAATTACGTCAGAATCCTCAGATTTATCTTTACCCTCGATGGACCGAAGACAGTGCCTATTTTTGGCAACGCTAACATTATTCTCGAAGGAAATCGTGAGTAATTCAATGTTATTAATTGAAATTGTTGTATATTGTTAATTAATCGTTAGCTATCTAAAATCATGATCCTACCTGCATATTTTATTCAACCATCCAAATTCTATGTTATTTTTATATCAAAAGTTGCAACGGCCTGCAAATAAATACAGTTTTTAAGTATTGAAAATGATAAACGTACATGTATAAAAAGATTTTGATTTTCTAGTGATTCAAAGGATGATAAACGAGGCACAGAATTATGGTCGTATTTTCCGGATCTGGCTGACGCTTCTACCATACGTTATACTCGTCGAGCCAGAAGACATCCAAGTAGTACTTAGCAGCATAAAGCATACACAAAAGATATTCTTTTACAAACTGCTCGACAATTTTTTGGGCAAGGGCCTGATTACGCAAAATGTCGACCAGTGGAAAGTACATCGAAGATTTTTGCAACCAATTTTTCATCGTCAGGTGCTCGAGAAATTCGTTGGAATATTCGGCAAGTGTGCTGATTGCCTAATCGATAAGTTACTTGAAAATGATGGAAAGGATATAAATATCACCGTATTTATCAATAATTCGGTTTACGATATATTGATCGGTACGTAATGTAAATTGCTTGTTCTTGAAAATAGATTTTAATAGACGAACAGAAAATTTCTGTTTCATTATCCAAGAATATCACAAGGCCGGATCCAGACATTTGTCAAGGAGAAGGGAGAAGGGGGGACCTACTGGCGGATTTATATATTTTTGATTGCCGGGTTTCTGAAACATCATGTGCCAATTGTAACGAACGAGTAACAAAAGCAAAATTAATTATTTTACATAATTTTCGTATCTTTCCTTATTACTTATTATTAAATTTACGCGCAATAACGAAATTTTTTTAAAGTCAAATTCGAAAAGGTAGATTATTCGAATTATTATCATTAACATTATATTGAAAAATTACTATGTAAATATTTAATTTACAAAACATTTTATTTAAAATATCAACAAAAAATATATATACACCCCAAAAAAAAAAAATATTCTGCTATTTAATAGTTCTGTGTTAATGTCAGAGGATTTTCCATTTATATATGCCCTCAAGAAAATACTCTACAAAGTAAAGGAATAGCATGTAAATGACAAACTTCTTCTAACAAATAAGCGTACCATTAATATTTTATATATCCTCTTATTTCAAAAGGCTGTTCGAATTGTTATAATAGTTATATCTTCGTACAATACACTCAAAAGAAATTCAGGAAATTTAAATAAATATTTGTTTAAATAATACCAATGGGACCATTTACTTACAGTAAATAAATATTTATTTAATTTATTTTATTTATTTTTATCATTTTTTAAAATTAAATATTTATTTTCTGTAAGCAAATGGCCCCATATATACTATCTAAACAAATATTTATTCAAGTTTCGTAAATTTTTTTTTAGTGTATAACTAATCGATCAAACACAAAAAAAATTAATTGAGTGGTACGGCAAACCTATAATTTACTACGCGAATTCAACATCGATAGCTAAGAAGATTTAATGGTTTAACAAATCGCTAATGTTATTCAGCTGTCAACTTTGCTATTTTAATATAGAAAATTGATCGTCTGTATATTACGACTGTAGATTTGCTGAATCAGTGAAGTTTTCAACTGTGTTTTTTTCCGTGAAGTCATCGAAGAAAAACTTATAAAAGTGGGTTTGTCTATTAAAAGAGCTTTGTCTATTATCTTTGGTTTTATGAAGTGCAAACATGAAAAAAGAAAAAGATAATAATAGTACCCACATGATAGCATAAATCAGAATAATATATATTATGTATCTATGTAACAATAAAGACAACATCGTCATATAATGAAATTCATATAGAACGTACTGATGGTATTCTACCGCGTTATAGTATTTGTTTGTAAAAATCGATGCTTATCGCAAACGATCACGTATGCCAAAATATTTTACTTTTTCATAAGCACGACACGTGGTCAAGTGCATGTTAACTAGCATAAGCATCCACATCGAGACTTATCGAAATAGTAATATTCATACTCGTGTATTATGCTTTTATTGATTTTCAGTATTACGTACCGCTAATATACCTTAAAAAAGATTACACGTACTTCAAAGTCCCCTCTTCAATTATCACACGTTTTAATATTTCGAAGGCGATCCATGATGTTTACATCAAATATTAGTGGTTTGACATAATGTTTATTTCAGAGACGATTCTGGGTACGCCGGCAAACCAAAGAAAAAACGATGGTGAGAACGACCCATTCAGAAAGTGAGTGCAATATCAATAGATTTATTTTATTAGCAAATCTTGTTATTAAAATGCAACATATTTAAAAAATAAAAATCATGCTCTAAAAATTATCATATTCTAAATGTTTCTAAATGTTTTATCATATTCTCATGTTTTAAAAATCATCTTGATAAATTATTGAACAGGGGCCAAGTTATGATGCCATATAGATTTGCACGACCATGGTTGCTAATCGATTGGATTTACCGATTGACAGCAGCTGGAAAATCGGAGGAACAGCAACAGAGAGATCTGTTCAACTTTTGCTTTAAAAAAATGAAGGAGAAACGCGAATTTTTGAAAAAGAATGGCTCTCTTATTGTCGATGACAACACGATTAGAAAAAAATCTCTACTAGAATACATGGTCGAGATTAGTGAAAGAAATCCCGAATTTACTGAGCGGGATATCATCGAGGAATGTTGCACTTTTATGCTGGCCGGCCAGGATTCGGTTGGCACTGCCACTGCCATAACGCTTTTCCTTCTGGCGAATAATCCGAAATGGCAGGAGAGATGTGTCACGGAATTGCATGAAATTTTTAACGATGACACAAGGTCGCCAACTATGCAGGATCTTATGAAGATGACATGCTTAGATATGTGTATAAAGGAATCTCTGAGGTTGCATCCTAGCGTGCCACTTTTTGCTAGAACACTCGGAGAGGATGTAAAACTAGGTAAAATTTTTTAGAGAGAAAAAAACTATCATGATAAAAATCAAACTTAATAATAAAGGGATGTAAGCTAAGCCAGATATTTATTGCTAAAATTTAAACAGTGAATTTAATAATAAAACAATAAACAGATGTTTTGACTTCTATCATATCATTATTAATGTTAACAAAAAAATAATTATTAATTATTAATTTCGGATAAATATTATATGGCAATTAGTAATGTAAAATTTAAATTATTATTAATTTGCTTTTATTAATTTCAGTAAAATTAATATTAATTCGATCGTAAATCTTATTAAGATGTTACCAGAACTTAGACGCAAGCCGCAATAAATAGAAAGGTCTTCTCGTATAATAGTCATGTGTAAATTAACAAAAAATGTGTGGACTATACTCATCCATTTGTCAAAATGTGTAAAATGATCAATGAAGTTATGTTTATCCTTTAATTAATTTATAATTATTTATAATTGAGATAGAGTTAGTACAATTTCATTACATAATTCACAAATTGTACAAAATTTACAAAAAGAGTTTTAAATGTAGACAGTTTAATTTGTAGGTGTCAGAACTTTTTCCATGAAAATAGGTATGGTTTTATGCTCTAATTCTGCGAATAATATTTACTTTTACAGTTTTTTTGAAATTTACAATTATATCATTTAATTATTTAAAATTATGTTTAGAGTATATAAAATATATATTATATAATATAAATTGTTTTTAGTACTGTTACGTAGATAACACATATCTTCAACATTATTCGTAAATATTTAGTAAATATTGGGTCATCTAAAAACCGTGGATACTTTTTAGATGACCCAATAGAACCAATAAAGATATCCATGATCTAGACGTCCAATAAAGATACGATAAAAATAATATAATTATATGCATTATACATAAAAATATTGCTTTTTTAAATCATTCTTGAAAGATGTTATTACAATATCATTTTGTATCATGCAGGAAAATATATAATACCGGCCGGTTGTGGCGTATTTATAGCGCCATACTGCACGCACCGCTTATCTCATCATTTTCCTGACCCTCACGATTTCAAACCGGAACGTTTTAGCTCTGAAAACTCCGAGGGAAGACATCCATATGCCTACATACCGTTTAGTGCAGGACCTCGCAATTGTATCGGTAAGAATATAGCAAATATAAATTAATCATAAGATACATAAGAGAAGTATTAAAAAGGACACACATTCTACAATATATTGTAAAAAAATTACAATTATTCTTCTCATCTTCGATTGTGATTGATCAATTTCTAACTTTTGATTTCTAATTTAGTGTAGACGAAGACTAAAAATTCTGTTTTATAAAGAAAACTAACGTTTATGTTTTTAAAAGTTTTTCCAATATATCATAAGAGTCATTAATTTTTTTCGAAGAAAGATACTTATTATTTCTTTTTCGTATTTTTTTAGGATACAAATTTGCTATTCTTGAAATAAAATCAATCATCAGTGCTATTCTGAGGAAGTGCCGATTAGAGCCAACTCTTGGCAAGGAGAAAATGATAGCTAAATTTCGATTGACGGTCAGAGCACAAGGTGGACTTTGGGTCAAAGTAAGAGCATGCGATATAAATTAACGCAATTAGATTAATGATTCCGTTCTCAACTTTGCAAATTATAAACTATAAGTAGTGATTATATCTCAAAAATGATGATATCTCAAAAATAATTTAAACTGCACTGTTAAAGTATTTCTTTCTAAAAGCGCTGAATGCATTGACCAAATATCACTTTTCTTTAGTATTGAAATGACATATAGTTAGCTTTTTATTTTCATTATCTCATCTTTCTTTGTATATTATTTAAACAAAATGGTTGACACAAAAGTAAAGAAACGCGCAAAATTTTTCAAGAAATTGTAGAAATATTGTTGTCATTATTGTTGTGTATACAATACGTATACAAATTTCTTTCTATTAGTATAAACAAAAAATAAAATAACTTACGTTTTGCAAACGTTATGTCTCATATACAGTCAATAAAATCATTGATTTTCAAGTATTATTGTTTTGAATCATTGAAATGAATGAGTTTACACAAAAGCTACATATAAGAATACTATACGGTTAAATTAATCTTTTTTAAGTTGTGATAAAACAAAAAAGGAAAAAAAAGTCGATAAGAGTTAATGCAAATGTCGGTGCGTATGTTAACAAAGAGTATTTAATTTATTATTTGTAGTAATTACATACAAGTAAAACGCAGATATTTTCGTAATTTGGATTTTGTTCAAAATTTAACGTATATTAGATATAATACTATTTTAAATAGTTCAAATAATAAGAAAAAAATATCGGTTAAGCTGTAATGATCTAATCTAATATAAACAAAAATAAGATTAACAAAAAAAAAAACATTATTTTATTAGATTTTGTTCTTCTACTTAATCCATGTTTTTTTCTATTTAAAAATCATAATAAAATTTTGCGTAAATAATTATAATTATTAAAATACTTTGTACAAAAAAATTAAAATTGTTGTTATTATTTTTGAAGTAAAATTGCTTCAATAAAAATAATAGCAAATGGACAATAAATTAAAAAATATGTTGTTAAATAAATATATATGTTATTCATACAGTTGTTATGTATATAATTTTAGTATTCATTTACACACGCGCGCGCGCGCGCGCACACACACACACACACACACACACACACACACACACACAGAAAGTATAAATATTGATATATTTCCAATTCCAAACCTTTTGCAGGGACGTACAGCTGATCCTAAGGACAGAAGCACAAGGTCTACATAACGCATAATGCATAAGAAAATAAATGAATTAAAATCCTTCATTTTCTTCTTTTTTATAAAATGAAAGACGAGAAGCATAAACTCTTACATAATGCATAACATATAAAGCATAAGAAATTCAATCAATCAGTTTTTTATTTCATGGAAACGAAAGAAACAAGGATTTTGATTGGTTTATTTTCTTATTTATTACGTGTTATGCGTTGTGCAAGAATCTGTGCTTCCTACTAAAGACTTTGATTAGTTAATTTTCTTATGCTGTATGCATTTTGCGTTATGCAAAAGTCTGTGATCAGGCTTTAAAGGCTTAAACACAATAGGCAAAAGCAATAAGTACAGAAAACAAGGAACAGCTGTCCAACAGAGCTCTGGGGTATACAATAATATCGAACTTACATCAGAGCTCTGATTGGACGGCTCGTTATTCTCTATTGCCTGTGCCTATTGTTTATGTCTATTGTATTTAAACCTTAAGTTATTGTGTATAATAGACTTAGGGAGCGTTTATATTGATCGTAACTGTCCTATAAGCGCAAAATATTCCTAGAATATTATATGGATATTATTAAAAAAAAAAATTAAAATAAGTTATTATAATATTGGGTCATCTAAAAAGTATCCGCGGTTTTTTGTCACTAGATGTGTGTTGATGGTCATATATCTAGTGACAAAGTCCGCGGATACTTTTTAAATGACCCAATATTTTAAGAATATCATATAATAATTTTTAATATTTTATGAGAGTATTCTATAGAGGTTATATGTCCACTTACATAATATCCTTGATATTGTATCCTTAATATCCCTGACTTATCATTAAAGTATTTCTAAATATTAACTATTTTTAATTTAATGCAATTTGAATTCACAATCTAGTAAGTTCTTATCAATTTATGCTGCATCTTGTGCTAAAAAAATGTTTTGGTGTTTTAAGTACGTATTCAGTAGATACTACAACTGCGCGCCATTTTCTATCTTTAAACGTATATTTATTCTGAACAGATGTAGCAGTTTTACAAATTAAAGTAAATGCTATTATAATAATTTTTAAACAATATTACAAAAGTAACATTAAATAATGTTACTTTTAATAATAATGTAACATTATCAGAAGTGGACATATAACTATTTATTAATATTTCGAAGATATTTAATATTATATAATTTTTAGTAAAATATTCTTGAAATGTACATTTAACATTCTAAGAATATGCTGGAAATATTACTTAATATTAAATAATAATATTATGCGCTTATAAAGCGTATGCCGTATATCATAATCTGTAAAAATGGACCAATCACCTTCGAGTATTCTTTTTCTACAGTCGAATGAGAGGGGAATACTTGATTATGATTAATCAATTCTTATACAGATTATGACATATGGCATACGATTACGGCCAATATAAACGCTCCTTTAGGTTTGCTGCAAAAATTCCGTACAAAATTCCGTAACAGTATGCGTAAAGCCAGTTCTACATTAGTTGCAAATCGATCGCAAGTTTGTTGCAACAGCCAATATGAAACGTTGATTTCAAAATGCAAGCTTCAGATTGGGTGTCGCAACAATCTTGCAATCAGCTTGCAACTAATGTAGAACCGGCTTTAAAGACTGTCGCAGACAAAATTTCTGTAACAATAACCTTAAGACGTGAACTTAATTCGATAAGCCAATCAGAATGCTGCTTTAAATCTACGTACTCTAACGGAAATAGAAATAGTAAAACTTATCCATAAGGCGATTTTCAATCGATCATCACTTGCGATCAGTTTGCAACTAATATAAAATCGGCTTAAGATTGATATTTTATATGTCGTACATATGTACAACAAACAAGCGTGTTGATTGGCTATAGCATGGAAAGATCCGAGAATCTCTTTATCCAATCAACAGGCTTGAAAAGTTTTGTCGACACTACATGAGATATCAGCCTTAAGGCACTCTATGCGCGCGCGCTTTGGCGCGACTTGTGTTGCTTTTACGGTAAAAATTGAACGTAATGCTCTGAAAGACAACGCAATCCAATGCGACTGACGTTTCGCCAGGAGAAAAGTTTCTATAAATCGTGCAGATTTCTATCGCTATTATTAATCTCGAATTTTTTTCAAATATTCGGTCGATTTTCCATTCGCCATCCGAGCACTATTCGGATTTCGAAAGCATTCGTTCGATATTCGAACGAATACCTATATGTAAGAGCATTGGATCACCACGCCGATCGCTCTCCCGCGAAGGAGGGATGTGGAGGTCGCATCCTCGTGCTCCGTACACGCGAACGACGGCGATAGCTATCAGTTGGCCGTGAGCCGTCAAGTGAGTCTGAGTTTGGTGGCTGGTGTATGTAGCTTTGCAGCATCGGGAGAAGCGATCGATTCTACGGAGCTGCGCTCTCTCGCACATCGCTCTTCTCTGTTCAGAGCGTTTCGTCTCGGAGCATGTCTTCGTGTAGACAGCGAGAGGTGATCGATTTACCACTCTCGTATTGAGAGATGTTAAAATAATCTCGGGACAAGATAATTAAATCAAGTTCGAAACGTAAAACGATTAGGAGATACAGGAAGACGGTGACAATCGTTAGGCACCCACGTGATTAATCGGAGGTGCCGCGCGAAGGTGTCGATTCGATACAAGGCTCTCGTGTGAGATTCTGCATCAGTGACAGGAGCTCGCCTCGCCGTACAGAAGTGTGACAGAGAAAAAGGGGTGGGGGAGAAGAGGGAGAGAGAGAGAAAGAGAGAAGAAAAGGAAAGAGGGCGGAAAAGAGGGAGGAGGGAGAGAGGAGGGAGGAAACCGATCAATGTTCACGTGACAATCAACAACGCGAAGTGAAGTTGCCGCGAAAGGGTGCACGAACAACGGCCATATTCAAGGCGAGCCCGTTGTCGCTCCCGGTAAACGTAGGGTCGCAAAAACAGTCTCGTGATTATTCATCGGGATAGAACGCGGAACGTGGTAAAAGAGAACAAGGTAAACGACGAGAACGGGGAAGTGCAGCAATTAAGTTCTTTTCAATACTACGGTGACAGCGATCCCTTCCATCATCTCGTCGAGATGGAGTTCAAGTTCAACGTAAATAAACTCTTGCCTAGAAAGATCAACAAGGTCACGCACAATCTGGTGCCGGAAGACTTCAAAGGTGATCGACGTGAATTGAAGTGAGTATTCTTCTTTCTGAGATCCTAAAATAGTATAGTTCTCCCGAATTATCAATCATACTACGCAGTGTCCATTTATATATCGAAACTCGCGCCCGTACTTCGCAAGTGATTTCATCGGCTTTCTGTATTTATTAAATTATGACGTCATAAGTATAAAGCTATATCTTTATATTTATGACGTAAAATGTATATATTTTACTAATGTAAAATGTACGTGTATATATATTGCTCCAGTAGATGCTTTAAAACATAACTAAAACGACATAACTAAAAAAGTTAACTGTTCCAGAAAATGAGAAAAGTATTTTTTAAATGGCAGAAAATTATCGATTAATAAAATAAGATCAGCAAAGAAATATTTTTAATATCAACTGTCATTTTCGTTATTTATGGTTTACAACCTTTAAAAATCATTCTCTGTAAGTTGACAAGTTTAACTTTTTTTAAAAATCTTTTTTTAATTGCGCTGATTTTGTTGATTTTTTTTTTACGAATAAGTTAATTTTTTTTTTTGATGATCGATAGGATAATTTACTTAACTCATTCATAGTAATAAGTCGTAAATTACATTACATTTGAGTTATGTCATTTTTAAAGGAGCGATATGTATGTATATATGTGATGCGCGCGCACATTCATATTCATACTCAGACAGCACAGAATATTTATGACAAATATTTATTAATATTCATTTTTTGAAATATTATATAGATATTTCATACATATTTTATATAAAGCTTTATTCGAAATATTATTAAAATATAGACTAAACATTTTATGTAATATTTATGATAAATATATTATAAATAAATATTTCTAATAAGTATTTTTTACTTGGATTATAATATAATGTCTCATTAAATATTTTTATAGCACTTACTATAACATTTACAATAAATATTTCATAATATTTATAATAAATGTTTATGATCTGTGCAATCGAAGCAATCTAAGATCACAAAAAGATTTACAAAATATTTAAAATAAATCTTATAAATATTTATACATATTTTATGAATATTTTATAAATATTGTGTGCTGTTTGATATACATGCACGCACAATTACAAATCTTGTTATGAATTCCAGATGAGAAGGCTTATTTATTTCATGCTCAATATTCTTTCTTATAAATAATAACAATATATTAAACAATTAAATATGATTTAAGTGTAATCACTTTAAACAAGATATTCCATCAATTCGCTTTTCTAATGTTTCATATCTTTTCGATAAATGATAAGACATCAACTAATAACGAGAATACATCCATTATCTATTTACTGAAGGAATGTTACTGACGTGTTCAAATCTGCTATTGCGTTAATTGCTACCTAATTGAGTCAATGCGGAATACTTAGAAGCTGCAGAGAGTAATATAGTTTTATATATCATTCCTATATAATTAAAATTTAGATTACGATGTTATATAAACAATTTCCACGATAAAGTCTAGCTAGATAAGATTCCGCATTCCATTTATTTAATCCATATTCGTTACACACACACGACAGACGGTGGGATACTCTTCTCTCTCCGAGATAGCTTTCTGCCATAAGAAAGTTAGCGAATTGTGAAGTAAATGAGTTTTTTCGAACAGTAAAGTCGGACAGACGGTTTTGTATATACCGTAGATTCTCGGTTCAAGGAACTCAGGTTCACTTGCAATAACTTCTATCGAATTCTTGGGCAGTGACTCGCGACGCTCGCGGAAGTCTATGACGAAATGGCAGAGAAGTATCATGGTTTCTCACCGTGAAAGATTTGTCCTTCGTTATTTGTTGTAGGTATACAGAAAACCTAGGTTACTTGTTCTCCGGTTACATACCTGTCCTCCTTGATAGCAGCAGTTGATGCAAACACGCGCTGCAAAATTATTATTCCGATATTAACTCATCATACAGTACTTATATCATTGCAGCAATGTTGCAGCAACATTGTAATTTATGTTCTAATAATATTGCAGTAACATTACGTTTTAGCAATATCGCAATATAATATAACAGAAGCGCGAAGATTTATTTCTTCATATTTCCTTTTTATTTATATATTTGTACTGAAAATAATCTTGAGATTGCATAATTTTGTTAATTACATAAGTTGAGCTACAAACGTAAATATGCGATGCACTTTTATAAGAATATATCAAATACTTGTTGTGAAGAAAAATATTTTTTTTTAATAATTAAAATTTTACAATAATATTTCTTCTAAGTGATGTAAGATACAAAGAAGCATTTTCGATTCCTCTATAAAATTTGTTAAAAGCTAAAAAATAGTTACTAAAAAGTAGTAACAATACTGTAAAATTAAATAATCTATTGTTAAAGTTAAGCTAGCGCCTTATGTAAGATACTTCCGTGAAATTTCATGTCTTTAAAAGCTGTAGATTTCGCAATGCAACTTTCCACATTCGGTGATTACTCACGTTTTTTCGTCGTCAATCCATCATACTTCACGCCAATAGCATATAATGAGCATAAGAGAAGATATAATACCGATAGAATAAATTAACCCGATCTTTATCGCCAAAATGGATTGGCGCGCGTCCAAAACATGAATCAGGTCATCGCTGTAACTGAATAATGTGTTACACGAGGAATCTTTCTTATTAGAACGGTGTAAATAATTGCATCTATTATATATAATTTTCTAACGTATAATTTTGTGTAATCTAATCGAATATGAAATTAAATATTGCATGCTGCGCTACAATATTTAATATTGATTATTACAGAATGCATAAGAAACCTATTCCACCTTATGTCTTAACAAATCAATATCTTCCTATTTAATAAATAATTTACTTTATTATTATTCAGATGATTGCGCCAGTTTTATATATTGTTAGTATTAGTTGAAAATGATTATATGTATGAAAGTAAAGTTTTTTTTATTATTTGCTATCTAATGTAAAAAGAATTAATTGACATAAAAATTTATCTTGAATTAATGCTTTCTTCTAATAATTATACTTTCTACTTTTTTCTTTACTCTCTTTCCTCCTCCCCCTTTCTCCTCTCATCCCTCTCCTTTCCTTTATCCATGCTATAGCTATTTTCCGCTAGTTTTTAAAAAGTTTTGTCCTTGACACAAGAACATCGGATGAGAATTAATTAGCATAGTTTTACGAAATTGATGCTAGCATAAAATATGAAGACGAAAAGTAGAACGTGACTGTTTCGTACTATTTCAGCGGGTAATCGCTATGTAAAATCATTATATATTCCGTAGCGATTGTAATTGTAGCGTTGAAAAATAGCGATGCTTGATTGAGATGTTACTTCTAACTTGCATCTAGTTTAAGAGGTATCTGCAATAATTTGATATTTTACATTAACATTTTTAAAATCAGAAATTCTTCACATATTTTCAATTCTTATATTATCTTTTCCATAATTAGGATGCTTTCAGAGATTTTTTCAACTGTATTGGATTACATTTTCTTAATTAATTATATTATAAAAATTATATTATAAAAATAGAAATAAATAAAAAGTATTAAAAAATTTATGTACAAATTATATAAAGCGTCTTGTATACCAACATATCTAGCTAATTTACTCATTGCAAATTAAAATTGTATGCAAATGTATTTGATTTATTTGGTTTCAAATATAAACGTAGGTGTATCTGATAAGTATCATTTTTTTTTAGCGAATGTCAAAGATTATTGAGCAGAATATTGGACGATATGGGCGAGGCATCAGCGAGAGCTCAAGGACTCAACAAACCAATTACTAGCGCCCTTAAACTCCGAGATACAGATCACATGGTTTATTTGCTAGTAGATAATGAAGGGAACAAGTAAGTTTTTCTCTTCATTTAGATAGATTTACTTGAAATATAATATTTTTGTTACATAAATAATTATTTACTCTTGAGATTTGTACTATTGTTTGTGTTATATAGACAACATTGTATTCAAATTTTTATATTTCGATAATAAATAATCCAATAAATTCTTGATCCAATAAAATTGATCTAATAAATTCTTAAAAAAAAAGTTCTCAAATTTTAAAAAAAATTTCTGACGATTAATATTCAAAATCATACAAAATACAATAGTTTTTATTATTGACACTTCTTGTAGTCACCTCGTCCTATAAATTGAAATATCTTATTAATTCGCGAATTTTAAAGAGATATGGAATGATGCTAAAATAATATTTAAAATCGACATTTTTTAGCCGAAAATATTGGCAAGTAGATACTGCTCGCAAACGCTTAAATGGATAATAGCTAAATACGCTAGGCCGGCTAAACTACAAATAAAGTGAAAATAGAAAGATAGACATGACGATTGCTATACTAATATCGTTTATTTACGTACATTTTTATTTTGTGCATTTACGAACAGAATATTATTTTGCAATTGTAAGGAAGTTTTCTCAATTCATTTTATCTTATCTAAGATTATTCTTGTAGATCTAAAAATATTAAGAATCTTTTATATTTACACTGTTATTGTTACTCTCTAAATTCTTTGGCGTGGAATCTTATTCTTAAAAGTAAAAATTGTGCCAGTCGATTTTGAAAAAGAATAGCTCAATTTTCATTCTTTAAGAGTGAGAGTTCATTTAGAGATTGATTCTAAAAGTTTTTGAAAATACTCCAGACTTGAGATTATACTATTAGGTGTTGGAATTAATTCGTAGCGTTTTACAAGTGATGGGAAGTACTTTCATTAATGTATTTTTTAATGCTCATGTGAAATAAATAACATTCTTTCATTAAAAAACGCTACGAATTAATTCCAACACCTAATATATATACACGCAACATTATTTTTATAGTAAGTATATGAAATGCAAAATTTTATTCCAAGATATAAAAATAGAATACACTCCTGAGTTGTTGACATGCAATATGCACACAGTCGGGCACTCGCGAGCATTCGTGGGCGTACGTACCCAATTTCAGCATTTTATCGACTCCTGCTGGAGTATATGAGATACGCATCAGACCATACACAGATATTACGCATTGGCGATCATTACGATACTGTAATGATGCGACGTGACATAGTATTTTTCCAAGTCATTTCTTAGGAAATTGTGATTCATTCGCATAATAAAATCTCTTGATTTTGCAGTGGACTCGGTAGTGTGGTGGGATTACTGAAAACAGGATCGAAAAATTTGTTTCTGTTTGATGAAATGGGAGAGCATTATCAGCTGCAGGCGAGATGTATCTTGGATTTCTACGTGCATGAGTCGCGACAACGTATGGGTTTGGGCAATATTCTCTATCAGCACATGTTATCTGTAAGTTCAGTGTTCATTTTCAAATCTTAAATTATACTTAATCTTTACCTTCGATAAAGAATATGGATAAGTTTAAAATAACATATAATTAACAAACTTTGATCAGTAAGTATTAGAATAATCGCAACTAAAAATAGTTAATAAAATTATAATAAAATAGTTAATAAAAAGAAATTAAAACTAATAAAATATACATTTTTAATTTTATCCTTAAGATTATCTAGAGAAAAAAAAAAATTCCTCTGATACAAGTCTGAATGATATTTCACGAAAATAAATATTAATGAATAACTAAATGCAGAAAAAGTAATTCAGAATTTAATTATAAAAGATTACTGTTTATTTCTTACCTTTATATATTATTTTTTTTTTGTCATGTTGTGATTATATAATTGTTTTATTATACAATAAAATATTGCTATTATTATCGTTTCTAAGATGTATTTGTCGAAGGTAGCCGATTGTATATAGCATTCTCTTTCGATAATTGTATGTTAATGAAACCACGAGAAACGAACCGTTCTCACGTGAAGAGAGAGTTTCCGCTAAACAATACTCGAACTTCCCCGCTCGAAGACAAATCTTCGATGCGCCAGTGTAAGGCATAATTACTTCCTGCACGGTAGATACTTAAATCGTTAAGACTGTGCGAAACAGAAGTTTAACCGTTACAATCGCAATTACACAGAGAAAAATGAATAATATTTATATAACAGACCGATAACATTTATTATTAATATGGTATTAATTAATATTAATAATAATAACAATAATATAATTGCAATCTTTTACAAACATAATGAAATCGATTATTTTAAACTTTCATAAATAATTAATATATTACGATTTTACTACATTTGTTAAAGATTTCAATATATTTAAATAGAAATTGATAAAAAATAAACATAACATTTGTATATTACTAAATGCAAAATATATTTTATTAATTTTTTTATTAATTTTTTAAGTTTTGTAACAAAAAATATAGATTTAAATAATATAGATTAATTATAGTAATTTGGAAATTTATATTATTAAAAAAAAGTGACAAACGCATTTACGCAAATTAATAAACAGCAATAACTCGCAAAAATTAATATAAATAACTGTTTTCAAAAGAAAATTACAGTGAGAAATAATTTTTAAAGTGATAGAGAGAGAGAGAGAGAGAGAGAGAGAGAGAGAGAGAGAGAGAGAGAGAGAGAGAAGTATAGCATATACACACGCGTATAATATAAAGATAAGAAAAATGAAGAATTCTGCAAACTTTGTGTTTTTCGTTCCGCTCGAGGACTCAAAACCCTGAAATCGGTGTCATGTAAGGACAAGTGCAGAGAACTGTAACGAAAGAAGACGGACGTTCTTTATTTTTGTGCTCAACTTGTCTAGAATACCATATTTCTTTGTACATAATATAAGATTCGTATAATAAGTAGATATAAATTTAATAACTTACTATAAATGATATATATGTTTTTCTTTTTTATGTAAGATCAACTTTTGTCTCCATTGTTAAGAACTTATGAAAACTCGAGAAAAAATATTGTACATATAATTATATAAAATTATATATATACAATTATATATAAATAGATATAATTATATACAATTATATATAAAATATGTCCATTTATATACAATTATATAAAATTATATATAAAATATTTTTTCCCAGGAATAATTCATTTTATTAAATATTTTTTATCTTTTTAATCTAAATTGAATAAAAAAATTTAAGTAAAAAAATTTTATACTTTTATTGCATGAAGAACTTTAAAAAAATCATCAAGATTTCACAAGCGCGTTTATTGAAATATTAATTTTGTATGTAGTATCTATATATGTATATTAATATATATATTTTATGATATCTAAACAAGATTTGAAATCAAATTGATAATTGTAAGTTTTTACTTGTAAGTCGAAATAATTAGTTACTATGGTGAAAATTAAGATAAAACGCGCACAGTCACAAAGTGAGTGTATGTGTCATTATACTCAACCGTGTTTATGACATTTACTAGGATTTCACTACAAATAACGTGCATTGATTATAACCGCACGGAATAAAACTTCAAATTCGACTAAACTCGTGTCTACAGTATTTGTGTTTATATCTCTTCGCTTACCTTTCATATTATGACTCATTCGAAAGTACGACGTCATAATTATTTGCGTATCCAACGTTACACGGCATCAATGTGTGAGATACATGCGACAGATAATATTTATTTTGATTATAGTAGAAATTGTGTGTGGGTGTGTGTGTGTGTATGTGTGTGATTCTAGTTTCTCCATCAAAGTATTTAATAATATATCTATTGACAAAAATTTGCGATTATACAGCGCGATGTCTTGTACATATTAAAAACGATAATTTCATTGAATACATATTAAAGACGATAATTTTATTGCACAAATAAGAAAACGTGCTAATTAGAAACGCGATATTTTTATATCAACTTCGATACTAAAACTTTATGAAACGTTCACTCAGTTCGCTGTAAATGGTTGCTTAGGACTTTCGTATTTTCTCGCGTGATTGCAATTTTATAATGCACGGACTCTTTCGTGGTCGCCGCGATTTTCTCGCGAGAAAACCGAGATATTGTGAAAACGTGATTGATCTTAAAAATAAATGCGTGACGAAAGGTCATTATATTATATCGCATACGGAGGAAAGCGGGTGTTACGCTCGAAGGTAACTCGCAAGGTGACTGAACTCATCCAGCCCGTTTGTTTCAGCACGGTTCGTCGGTTTGTATTTATAATGGTATACTGATAGGTATTTTTTCCTACTATCATGCTTCTTTTACGTGAAATAATTAATATTAGAAACTTGATTTTTCGCATCAAATATGATTAATCGCATCCGGCGTAATAGCCTGACCTATGAAAGTTAATTACATTTATGTTATTACATTCTTTCATGATCGTGTATACATGCATATAATATGAACTATTAATCGAAGCTTGAATGTTTTAAGATCTAGCAAAATACTGTTAGTATACTACATAGTTATACTAATAATAAATTAAGAGAAATATGCACTATTTAAAAAAATGGCGATAACTTTTATGTGACTGTAAAAAAATCAATTTTTTTGAACATTGATTTTACAATTATTTGTTTTGTATTTTCAGATCATATAAATTTTATTTGAAATATTTTCCATGATAATGCATTATTTATAGAATATTCGACGTGAGCAATTAAAATGAAGTGTACCATCAAATCAAGTTTAATTTGTCTTTCTTTTTGCTTAGAAGTAGATTAATTAATCTTATTCTTTTATGACATATAATTCATTTTAAATTATAAAATACGAATATTTATTTTGAGATTATTTATTTTATCCTTTTTATTCGCTTATTCATATTTTTATTTTAATATTTTTTATTCTACTTTTAATAAAAAAGTATTTTGATTTATAGGAGGAAAACATTAGGCCAGTAAAATTGGCAATTGATCGACCATCGGAGAAGTTCTTAGCTTTTCTACGCAAATACTACGGACTCTCGAAGATTATCCCACAGAACAATAAATTTGTCGTCTTTGAAGGATTCTTTGATGACGGTACGTAATTAATACTTTGGTATGAATTTTCTTTGAATACACGCAATGTGGGTGACACATTAATGTTAGCAAACAAATTATTTTCTTGAATATCTCCAATATTTACTAAGGACTACTATAATAAAATATTTCTCTGAAACAAATTTATTTAGAAATAATAAATTTCTCTGAAATAAATTTATTTAGAAATAGTAAATTTTTTTTCTGACTCTTACAGTGGTCCGTTTTTTTTTTACGGGAAAGTATAGCTATTCAAAGAATTTCTAACGCACACCTAAAATTTAAAAACGTTGGATATATGTAAAAGTTACAAATAGATTTCAAGAGTAGAATTCAAGAAAACTTTTGTTTTCGCGTTTGTAGAGAGTCGAGACGTAAGGAGCAATAGATACAGTTTACCTCCAAGAGTGAACTTGGACGATGGTACGCCGGGCAATAATGACAATAACGGAAGGAACGGTGCTAGGTAGGTGCGTCAAATCGAATTACGATTTATGAAGCGACAGATGCGAATCGTAAACGATTTACAGTTATATGGAAGAAAATGATATATTGCTTTTCAGTCTCAACGGGGTACCATACGTGGCATCCATTTCGCGCAGTTCATTCGGTAGATACGCTGCGGCGCGGCCGCCCTGCTCCATGGCAAATGTGAGTACAACGACATAGAGAAGTAGCCGAGAAAAACTTTTAAGTCACGTTTTAATTTATCGGTTCTGATATTATATACTATAATATATAATAATATATATAATAATTATATAAATGTAATTATTAAATTGTAATGTATTAAGAAAAGAAAAGAAAAGAAAGAAATGGAGAAAAGGGAGAGCAAAAATTGTGTGCACAATTGCAATGATATAATTAAAATTACCGCATTTTGATATTTAGCTTAAATATCAAAGCTTAAATATTTATCTCTAAATATAGAATATATAATAGAAGCATTATTTTTTAATTATATAAAAAAATCTAAAATTTTTAATTATTGCTAAAAATGTATATAGCTCTACGCAGAAAATATTTTTATTTCTAGTTGATTAAATAAAATCAAGCGTAAAAATTTCTTATCGCGAAACATATTTGCGATATTTACACAGACGTTTTCTTCTTTATTAAAATCTAATATTATTGTATACTTGAAAACATTAACCATGCAATTTCTCTTAGGCTTTCCATATTTCTCTTAACTTTGTAACACACAAAGCGTAACATGACTAATCATTACATATTGACGCTTTCTTTTAGATAATCCATAACACAGCGATGCTTGGTCAATCAGCCGAGCATACTGGGTGAGTAAAATTCACGGAATGGTTATTGAAGTGATCCAATTTGAGCCTGTGCTTGTCTTATAATTTTCTTTAATATTTAATTGAAGGCTATTATGTGTAATAATATTACACGTGAAAGAGATTATGTGCAATATCTTTTGGTTGTGATATTTTGGAAGACTTTCTCTCATAGTTATGCAATGAAAATTTGATTTTTGAAAACTCCAAATAAAATTTTTAATCGTAAAGAACAATAAAATAATACTCAGTATACGTAATACATTTTAAATTAGCAGAACTGTGAGAGAAAATTTCTGAAAATATATGTTATTATTTTTTTACGCATTGTTGCACTGTAAACAAACTTTTTCCTTTTTAACGATCATCATCGAAGCTTGAAAAATCTTACTAAGAGTATATGTGCTCAATATATTTAAAATATTTGAAATAATGCAAGATGCTTCAAATAATTCGTTGTAACAATGTCATGTGTCAATAATTATTGAATTTTGCTAAATTAGATTATAAACATAATAGGTATAAATTATGAATTTCTTGATCTCAGCTGTGATCTATTAGAAAAAGAAAATAACCATTGAATTTAAGATTGCGTTCGATTTCGGCGCTTACGCTTGATTTTTCTTCAAGCTTCGTTCTATTTTTCTTCTGTAACTGTAAATGATGAGTGATAAAGGTTGTATCCTTTATTCACGAGTACTGAAAATCTACAGTTCATGTTATTATAGATTTTTAGTACTCGCAGTGACTAACGGAACGCAATTATAGATAGAATGAAGCGCGTGAGCGCTGAAACCGTACGCAATCTAGAGCTTTGGATATTAATTTTTTGTGGATCGGCGCTTTCTAACAACGCATAACTTATAGAAAATCTTACTTTCTAAAGGTTTTTGGGGTCGCTAAATCCGATTCTGATCTAAGATTAAAAAATTCAAAATAATGAATTTAATATGGCAAATTTAAAAAAATATCTGATTGTATACTGCAAAACTCGGTTTTAAAAGATTCTTCAGATCGATGAATCTGATTTTGGAGGTCGATTGTGTATCTTAAAATGAGATAAAAATTACAAAAGTGAGAAAATTCATTAGATATTGACCAATGAAATTAAATATAATTATAATAAATTATAAATATTTATTATAGATGATAATAATAATAATAATAATAAATTGTAAATAATATTCTAGTGATTTTACTTATTTTTGTAATTTTCAACTTTATTCTAAGATATAATCGGTTTTCTTGCCTCAGAATTCAGAAATTCCAAACAGTGGATCCAATATGGCGAAAAATTTAAAAAATCTGATTATCACATAAAACTTCGTTTTAATTAGGAACTTTTTACTTCAGTGTAACATCAAATTTTCAGTTTCGCTTTATTTGAAGCTCATTATTAGTGACAAATCAAACTTTGCATTAAGAAATGTTTTATATGACTATCTCTGAATTAATTTTTGCTTAAAATTGAACGAAATTGTATTGTCAAAATATATTTTATTTATACTTTTGTAGAGCCCTATTTTAGGAACTCGATTCAGAAAATCGTCCACTAGAATACGGAAAGATCTCATTGTACTGCGCCTTTTAATATAGATATACATAGAAGTTACCAATACAGTTGAGTTTGATTATTATACATATATATTAATGAAAAAATAAAGAATTATGTTATTTACATTTTTTTCATTTTATTTACAAGGTTTGAAGAAATGAAAAAAAAATTTTAAGAAGATCATAGTATCATCAGTTGTATATATGAACACAAAATTAAATATAACTACATGCTTAATGTATATGTCAGTAATATAATCTTTCATCCTATGAAAAATTAGTACAAAAATTATTTCGTTCTATCAGTAAAATAGAGGACGCCAACATCCCGTCAAAAATGTTTATTTACACGCACGCACGCACGCATGCACGCATATTCCAGCTTAATTTATATAATTTATTAGCATAAGAATATGTACATTATATATATTTATTTGATGCGCTGTATTAAAATTAAATTGTAGTTTATAAGTTTGTATGTAACTATTAGTAATTATATGTATATGAGTTAATAAAGTTTTATTTGCTAATTTGCTGTGCGCACAATCACATTTACGTTCCCTTTAATTAAAAAGATGAAAAATCCAATTAGGAATTTGAATATCTTTCAACTTTTGTACACGCAAAAGAATTTTTTTAACCTTATTGGATATCTTATTTATGATCTAGGACATCAATGTTTCAAGATGCAATCCTAAATGTATAAAAGTATTTAAGAAATAAAACTTACAATTGCAACTTTTTAATATTTATATATTATAAATATCAAAAATAAATAATCGATTTACGTGAAAAAGTAAATTTTGTCGATACAAAAATAATCATAATGATTATCAACTATACTTTTTTTACCTAATTAATTATATGAATGTAAAACTTGATATTTGTTCGAATAAGAAAAATAAAAATTCCGTCGTTCTGTTCACGCAATTAATTTTTTCCAATATAAACAATGTTTTATAATATTCTTACATGATATTATATTTCAATATTATAATTTATGTTTGCATAAAAAATTGTGTGATTTTTTTAACGTTTTACGTTCACCAGCATGAGCGAAGCATGTTTTATATTAATTATTAACTGCACATACAATTGTATGTGTGAAATGAAGTTTGTATATATTGTATATAAGAGATCTCGGTGAGAATACGCTCGTGACAGATTTACGCGTACTTGAGACTGATAAGACAGAAAAAAAACCATGTGATGTGAGTGCATATTGCTGCCGATTGCATATTGCTTGCTTGCCTGTCACCTGTCACGACTTGATAGGCAAGTTAATTTTTCAGCAATAGCAACAATGGCAATGTATCGCCGCCTCCACCATTGAAACTGGAGCGACCGCGTTCCTTGAGCCTCTACTCTGAAGAGGAGCAGAAACAACGTAGTCTCGAGATGAACACCGTTCCGACGCCTGTTGTGCCGGATAATCAAACTAAGTCGTTCGTCCCCATTCTATTGGAAGCTGAAAAAACGGAAAAAAATGTGAAACCATCACCGTCGTGCAGTCAGGAAGTGGCCACTGGCACTAATCAACACGGCCACTTGGATCTTAAGTTCTACCATTCCCCTTTATGGTGAAATGATTTGGCTGATACACAGTTTTCTTCGTTTTTTTTTTAAATTTAGAAGCAATTCAACCATGCAAAGTTAATGCTAAATTTGATTTTCCTTTCTTTGCTTTGTATACATAAATAGGATTATAAATCTAGGAGCAAAAAGTAAATAGTCGCTAACTCACAGTTGAAGCACTGAGATAGATAATTTTTAATTTATAACTTTTTTCTATTTCCTTTTATATTAATATAATAGAACTGTGTCTCTAGTTTTTTTTATTATAAGATTGTAGCGGCATATCATAAATATGGAATCTGACGCAAAAGTAAGCAATATCATAATGTCCACATTAAAAAATCGTGTTAAATATTTAATTTTGCTTTATCGCTGTTTTTTTTTAAGATAAATATAAAATAATATCATAGGATAAACAAATATAAAATTTCCGTAAGAACTAACAAGTCCAAAAGTTTTTAATTTTTTTTTAAATGTTCTCCAAATATTAATCAAAGTTTAAAATTTTGTATTACACTTACTATATATCTAGAGAAAAATTCATTTTTACAATTATTTAATATCATTCATACTATGAAAATGAGAAGTTGTTTGTTTCTTCAAAATGTAATTTTCTGGACTTGTTCAGTTTTTGTGAAAAACTCTTTAAATATATCATGTATACATGAAAAAAAGAAAAAAAAAAGAATACTACACATTCTTGGAAGTACAAGAATAAAAACGTACTCGCAGTTTGTACTCAAGTCAATCTATTTATAAAAATTTCTTCATGGATACATTTCGACGAACGGCGTTATTGCAACCTTCTTTATATTTGTACCATACTCCATGTTTTGTTAAAATATTTTTCATCAGAGAATATTTTTCTTGTGATTTAGGGGATATACGATTCATTGTTTTATTTTGTTTTTGACCATTTTTATTTCCACTCGTAATGATATTTCCAAAAAAGTCTTTGTATACCTGAAAAATTGTTAAGTATGAAAAGATTGACAATAAAAAAAAAATGCATAAAACGTACTATTTCCTTTAATGATGTCGCATCCTTCGTGGATTGTTTCGTATTATTTACAACATTGGAAGATATATTCTGAACTAAATTTTTTACAATTTCTGGATTTCCTGGTTTTGCCATGTTTTCCGAGTTAACTTCACCAAGTCCTGTTAAGATACTCGCACGTTTTAAACGTTCGACCTCCAACTCTTGTGTGATTATCTGTTGTACTGCGTATGCGAGACTTCGATGCGCATTGCAATTAAGAAAAACGCCAATTTCTAAAATATTACTAAAAAAAAAAGAATATGTTTCATTCTAAATAGGATATCGAATATGTGTTAATGAATAATTATTGTTATTATAACATACGGGTCCAAATTGTAGATGTATCCTCTTTGAGAATTTTTTTCTTGTACGAACGATAAACCAAATTCAAGCATTACATTTATTATTCTGGCGAGATCAGACTTCTCTTTTGAGGAATATAAATGAGAAGGAACTGTTCGTAATTTGGGCGTTAGAATGTCTGGCAAAAAACCAGCGATATCTGTAGTTAGAGTGAAAACATCACGTCCGCATACTCTTCGTACTGCTGTTAAAATACCTGTGTTCTTTGCCGATTTTTGAGTTATCTAAAAAAATGACAAGGATAATGAAACATTTTAAAAATTTGTCAAAGAATTATCATACAATATCTATTGTACCAAATGAATTACAATATTTTATATATATATATATATACACACACACACACACACACAATGATTCTTATACGTTAATACTTCAACGTATGAATTTAGATAATCATTTCATCTTGATCAATATCATTTTTTGTAATTGTACCTTCTTTTATGCACAGAATCAATTGATGTAAAAAAACATAGTTGTTTAAAAAAAAATGTAGTTACAAATTGCAAATTGCATAATTTAAAAAAAAATAATTTTGTGTTTTCTCTTTTCTCCAATTAATTTATTTCATTATTTTGTAAATAAAAGTATTAAGGTACAGTTGCCAAAAAATAAATAGTTTATAAAATACTTTATATTTCATGCCAAAATTGGACAAAATAAAGTACAGAGGAACTTTATTATATAAAAAAAATCATATAACTTTCATAATCATAAAAAATTGATTTTGGGACATATTTTTTAACATTAACGTCTGTATGTGTATGTAAAATACTTACTTCGTTGGTAACGGTGGGATATGATAATTTCATTTTCTGTGTTCTTGCAAGATACAAATGCCATGCAATAAATCCATAATTTGTGTAGGGCATAAGTGACCAAATCTGCTTGTGTAAAACGAGCGATATTACTAAATCATAAAATTGAAACCATTCCAGAGACATAGGTACATTATTAAGTTTCCGATCACAGATTTCAGGGTAATTATGAAATATTCCTTGTATCAATTTATCCGTTTCGCCTAAATAAATAAATAAATATTTAAAAACATTTATATATATATATATATATATATATATATAAAATAAAATTCATAATATAGAAAAATTGTAAAGGATTGCGTTAAAATACGTAAACAAATATAAAATTACCATTTTGAATACTCCTCAAAATATTTTGTATTCTTTCAGAAATATTAAGCATTCCCTCTTTGTTCATGGGAATCGTTAATATATTTCTCCACGAATCAAATAAACTCTTACGAGTATCTTTTAGACCTAGAGATAAATTATCTTTCAAATTAGAGCTACCCATATATTGTAACGCTCCTATACAAGCTCGAACATCACAACCGGATCTTTCTGCTATTTTTACAAGATCATTAAAGTCCACATTTAATTTTTCCTTTCTCGCTAAATCCATTAGACGTTCTGCTAATCTCAAAGGACTTACTTCCTGTATCGGAATTATTACAGCGACAGCTCTTAATGCTCTATAAATATAAAAATTAGATTATTTTTTAACTCAGGTGTTGTATGATAATATTTTTATTATATTATTTGATGCTTTTAATTAAAATTACCTTAATGATGGAGCATATGGTTCATTACAAATACATATTATAGGACGTGTACAGCCATCAGACATATTTTCTGATTGTTCTTTTTTCTTTTTCTTTTTTGCTATTAATTTGCCTTGAGTAAATTTTAATAAAAGTTCAATAGATGCAGCCGGTGCACCATCAATTTCATCAAAAATTAAACAATTCGGTCGGGGATCAGCCCCCATCACAGCTTTCATTTCTGTTGATGCGAGGAGAATTTGTCTAAATAAAAATATATAATACAATTTTCGTATTACTAATTTTGTATTACTAATGTCATATACGAGTGTATATTACCTAAACTTATCAGGAGTTCTTTCATCACTTGCATTGATTTCTACAACATTATAACCAGCATGTTTGGCTGCTATATGTGCTAAAGTCGTTTTTCCCAATCCAGGTGGACCACTGAGTAAGGCTATCCTCTTTATTGGATATCCTTTACTATCCACTTCCTCAATGTCTTTTTTGTCATCAACATTATCCTTTTTTCCAAAAGTAGGCAACTTTTTTTTTGGCTTTATAACATTTCGTTTAAATACTATTTTATCCCAAAGTTTCAACCAATGTAACAACTGTCTATTAACGGTTTCATCTGATAATAACTCTATGTATGATCGAGGTCGATATTTATCGACCCACAATTCATCGTTAATCATGTTTGTTGTATCACATAGAGATGATGGTTGCCTAGATAACTCCTTTTTTCTTGCCATCTATAATATGACATCACATTATAAATGTAATATAAAGAAAAATGTAATATAAAAAAAATTGAGAAATAGACATACGATTTCTTTAGCCTGCATTTTCAATTGCTGATAGGGCACTGAAGACAAATTAGCAATTGGACTTGTGGACTGTTTGATATCATTCTGTTGGTTTCTGATTCTAATATATAAACGCTGATAATCATACGATCTTGTGACAGCCACAAAATTCCATGATGGAACTCGTAAAGAAATAGAGTTGTTCTTGCTGTATTAAACACGGAAATAATATGGATGCAATATATTATAAATATTATAATTTCTATTATGCAAATCATTTCAAATTATTAGGTGTTGGAATTAATTCGTAGCGTTTTTTAATGAAAGAATGTTATTTATTTCACATGAGCATTAAAAAATACATTAATGAAAGTACTTCCCATCACTTGTAAAACGCTACGAATTAATTCCAACACCTAATACTAATTACTCACTTATTGTAATTTGTCTTCGTTGTATTTTCATTTTCATGCAGCAATTGTCTAACACCTAAGATTTTCTTAATAACTTCTTTAGGTTGATTCCATCGAAGCTTCTTTTCTTTTGGTTCTTCTATAATATCATCATAGGTGTCAACTAGAAACAAAGATTTTATGACAATTATCCTAAAAATAAAATCATTTCTGTTACTAATTAGTTATCAATTGATTACCTGAAATATCCATGTCTAACAAATTAGAGATGTCACTAAACAATTCATCGCAGCTACGTTTTTTACTACTGCTAGGTATACTATCACAATATTTTTCATAACCACGTTTTTTATTATTGCTAGTTATGTTGTTGACTTTATCAGCATTAACAGGTAGAGGAATTTCAACACCTGATTGATGTTTATTATCATTAGCTGTCCAAGATATTCCACTCGTACTAGGACCAGGATCAAATTGCGACAATAAATGGTTTTTATTATTATTATTGACTTTATCAATATTATTAGGTGTAGAAATTTCAACACTTGCTTGATGTTTATTATTATTAACTATCCAAGATATTTCACTACCGGGATCAGATTGTGGCAATTTTCTTTTCTCAAAAAGTCCACCTTCAAATAAATTAGCTAATTATTATTTGTTTGACAAGATGCAATAAATAGTAAAATATAAGGAAAATATTTAAATGAGACTTCAAGTATTAATTTATTTCTCAACTTGTTTCTTTTCGTTTTAATTTTAAAAATATTTCAAAAATATTCAAGAATCATATTATACAATATTTACCTTCTAATTCCCTCAAAGCTTCATAGTCTGCCTTATGAATAAGGTCAAACTCTTCGTCCATATCTAAATCTGGGTATTCGTCAGCCATCCTACTTCTCAACGTGGATTAATCTTGCGATGTACAAATTCCAAATATTCCAATTCCAATTTTAAGGCCTCTTTCACCAACTTCTGGGGTTAAGTTAATCGATGATCACAGGTACATGGTATGTATACATTTTCACGAGATGCTCAAACCGGCCAGAGGAAGAAAAATCACGTGATCAAAATTGACGAATATTAAGTGTCAAGTTTGATCACGTGATCCTCTTATTTCTGACACGGCCGGTTTGAGCGGGTCGTGAAAATGTAAATTGCATTTTTAAAGTAAGCATTTATTAATTATTTCTTTTCTTTTAAATTTAATATAAATTTTTTTTGTATTAATATATATAAATTATTAATATATACAAGGGACATTAATTGTTCCAAACATTGTCTAAACATTTTTTCGACATCTTTTAATTAGAGATGTTTGTTTGTAAACAATAATTTAAAAAATAAAATAAACAATAATTCTTATCAAGAGAAAAAATGAATAAAAAAGTACAATTTAATAGGGGATAAATATTGTATATAGAGGATAAATTCATCAAGTATCTTTAACATTTCTTCAGTTAGTTATGCAAGATTGTATATGCAATATTTTTGTGCTTTTTGAGTTGTTGATTGACCCAATACTACAAATTTTAAATTAAATTTTAAAAAATTAAAAATGACGTTCATTAAAGCATATTTTGCACAATCTACACAACATAAAAATATTAACATTACTCATTACTTATATACTAAAAATATGAATATTACATTAACATTGGTTTAACATACATTTAGTCAAATAATCATTAAAAAATTTATCCACCATATTGGATCTACTATTTTAAATTTATGAAGAAATTACACAACAGCACAATAAATTTTTTTTTTGTTGATTTTAATTTTCATTTGGAACAAATATATATATATATATATATATATTTGCACGATTTCGAATAAAGTTATTACAATAGGTCAAAATAAAATGAATAGTATAGAATTCTAGAATAAAATAATTTTATTGCACATATTAAACAATTTATAATTGTACAATATTTTTCTTTTTTCATTTAAATATCGCAAATGTTACATGCTATATCAAAAATAAAATATATAAAGCGATACATCAAATATGCAAATTAATATTAATTTATTCGCATTTTGAAAAAAATCTTACAATTGCGTTATCAAATAGAAATTATCTTATAATAAGGCCACAGGAAATTTTATTTAATTTAAGGCACACATGGAAATAAAAATAAGCAAGATCTCTCTGTAGATCGGATTCCGATCTTACACGTAATTATTTTATATAATCACTATTATTTTTATGGACCTCTTAGTCATCTCTAGACATTATATTTCTCGTGTTTATTTCTAATTTATTATTTTCTCCATTATTATAATGTTATCATACTATATGTTGTCATTTTAAAAATTTTTTAATTTATATTTTAATCTGTTTTATGATTTTCCTGTATAATGATTTCTTATAACGAGGAAGATATTAATATAGTCGAGAATGTACATTTTGATTTATCATTCTTTCTTAAACAATTTCAAAATAAATTTTATCTTTTCAATCGTAACTACCATATATTATTGATTATTATTTTTATTTATTTGCGTTTATACATATATCGAATTTGATAATTAAATATCGAATTCATTTTATCAAACGGCAAATTTCAAATTCATTATTCGTGCGCAATAAGATATTCGATCAAAGTAATGCTTGCAATTGCTTTATATATAAAAGCTAGTAACATGTAAAAATTATTATTTAATATTTCATATATGTATATGTGTGTGTGTGTGTGTTTATATTTTTTTTTTCTTTTTAAACAAGTTCGAAATTTTTGAATTTCCAAATTCGAAACATATTTCAGCTGCCATCTATTCTCTATGATATAAAAATATAAGCTACCAACACATAAATCTTCTCTTAATAATCTGTACTTTCATGATATGAATATACAAAACAAGATTTATCAATTAAGATTTTTTAAATCAAGGTGTTAATGTAAAATCAATTATTTCTCCTCAATTGAATTATATAAACTATTACGAGTAATCTTCACTTGACCATGACCCAATTCTTTATAAACAAAATTTATTAATATGTATGATATCATTAATTATTTTATAGAGTTGGACGCCTCAATGAATAAAGATGAGCTGCACATATTGCTGCCTATCAATTTCATGGTCAATCTTAACATTGTTTTAAACATAAACATAACATTTGCTCCAAAAACTGACATAAATTATGATTAATAATATAATAAATCTTTAAAAATCAATGCTGTAGACAGTTTATATGTTACGTTAATAATGGAAATAAATATGGGAAGCATAAATCTTCTGTCTATTGATATGGAAGTACAAGTCTGTCTCACTTCTTTTACAAGTTATACATAAATGTTGTGAAACATGCTTTTTGCTATTAAAAACATCATATTTTCATTAGCTTCATGCAAAAACATGAAAAATATTTTTCAAAACCGTACAAAAAATAACAATACGCATAAATTGTACGCAATAAAATTACATATGTGTATGTATATACAGGGTGTCCTAGTTCAATAGAAATAACAGTGTATCTCTTAAGTCGAGAAAAATTTCTGAACAAAAAGTTGTACGATCTGAAAGACAACAAATAATGATAAAATCTATTTTCATAAAAATTTTTTTACGAATTTAAAAAAATATTTCGTAAAAAAATGATAGATTTTTTAATAATTCTACTTTAATACTTTTATATGTAGAATAACTAGAAGAGTATGTAAAAAATTATACAATTTCACTTTTTAAAAATGGCTATGATCTTCAATACAACTTTGAAAAATCTATTTTTTCAAAGATTGATTTTGCCATTATTTACCCCTCTTTTCTTTACACAATTGTCTGAAATATTATTTTCGAAAATGCTTTTCATAAAATAGTACCGTACCAAATTAAAATGAAATATTTCACACCTTACATGTATATATTAAAAAATTATACAGAACTATAAAATTACTTGAATAATCAAAAAGATGCTTCATTATAAAGATTTAACTAATTTCTAGATGATTAGATTTAACTGAATTAATCTAATTGGAGCTACATTTTTCTTTCTCTTTCATATAGAGATATCCCTTAAAATGTATGAAGTTAAATTCAAGTTTAGTGTGTAATTGGTGGTATCATAAACATTTCAATATTCAAATGCAATACATGGATGCAATCCATTTATCTTCTATGACGACCCAAATAAGCTTTACAGTTTGGACAAGTATGATGAACATCCATACATTCATCTATACAACAGGGAATCAAGCAGCAACCAAACCAACATCTAATATAGAAGAAAATAATTACACATTATACATCTAGTATAAAAGAAAAATAATTAGACATTGTACACATTTATATAAACATAATGCATAATCTGAATATTACTCATAATTACCCCAATAGTGCTATGATAACACCTGAGATATAAGCGATCATGCCAGGTTCAGTTTTTGTCACGGTATCTATTTCAGCATGGCAGTGTGGACAAATTGTATGAGTCGACTGTGGCCCAACTGGAACAATAGTCGTGACTATAGTAGGTCCGTTTGCATCTGCAAAACAAGTGTAAAGATAATTAATAGAAAATATAACAGAAAAAGTAATTAATATGTATTTTTGCCAATTATATTAATATAAATTCAATATCTTTTTGACTTACAAGTTTGCGCTGGTGTAAATGGACTAGCTGGAGGAACGCCTCCTACATTTTGAGAATAAGCAGGTGGTGCATAAGGCGGTGGTTCGTAAGGCGGTGGTGGTCCATTCTTATGCATGGTTTTCTTCTATCTATTAATATCACAAATTTGATAATGTAAGTGTGTTGTGAAGAAGACAGGCTTAACCACAAAAACTAATGAAATTAAGCTAATTCGACACACTTTTGCAAAAGTAAAAGAAAAAATCTGACAGAAAAAATACAATTATCAAATTTCATAGTGTTATGCATAAATGTTCAAAACTTTCTATTAATTTTTATTCTTCTAATATTCTATTAATTTAGTAATAAGATTTTGCTAGGCGCTAATATATCAAAACAATCTATATAAATCTAAATCAGCACATCGACGTTTGCATTTCAATTTATATAATTACTTAAGACGCAAAAAAAATCGTTATCAGATAATGAAGTAATGTATTATAGTAACTAGTTGCCTATCATTACATCTTAGCATGACGCGAGACGCTAAAAATAGAAATTATCGCGAGGATATAAAAAAATCGAAGGAACGGTAAAGCCTGTTGATAACTGTTTTCGAGTAGACTGTTGGTTAAAAATTATTTCCATCGTGAAATTTCGCTTAAAAGAGAAAAAAAATGAAATGACAGGACATGGAATTCAAGCGAAACCTGTCCCTCGTCGAAGGTATTCGAAGGCCGTTATCCGAATACGTACGAATGCCAATTGCAACATTTAATAAGCATCCCGAACGATATTTGTGCTTTGTTAGTATCTACAACAGCGACAATACATTCATGATGTAATTATTTATCTATTTTACATAAAGCGATAAATCCAACCTTTCGTTCAATTATCGGATTCCCAACGATACCAACAGAGACTGCTAAAGGCACACGCGACACACGTTTGATATGCAGCACTCACTAGCACTCACAAACGGCACAAACTTCTTTTCTTTTTCTTGCCTTGTGTTTGCGGTGTGGATTTCCGTCTATCAGAAAGTATGGCGAATTCACATTGCGTGCGATATCCAGGGTGCGGTCCATTTGGCTCGACAAATGCTTCGTTGACCAATCGGAAGAAAGAATTTTACAAATCGGCCAATCAAAGAGTGCTTCGAAGCATTTGTATGTAGCGATGTTACGTTGATCTACGTTGAGCGTACTTTATGTTTAAATACATTCGATAGCGCTGTGTAGGTTGAGTTAGAAAATAGGTTAGAATTTTCTTCTTACAGTTTATGACAAAGTGACGATTATTGTTGTAAGAAATTGTAGCAACTATCTTTATATAATATTATAGAATGTTTAACATGAAACAATGCCTGATAGCCTCAGTTAGGATTCACAAGAGATTGTTAACCCGATTAATCCACGTGGATATTTTGTCGCCTGGACTTTATTTTTCGAATATAAATGCTCTATGTTCGAATAATGCAGTTTACAAACGATTTTATTGTCATGATACGATCGATGAGAAAAATGTAACGAGCGCCGAACTGAAATATCATAAGCAAAAGTTGGATAAGCAGAAACTAGAAAAATATCTGAATAATCCCGAGAATCATAAGCGTTTTCAAATATTAGAATTAGAAGTAGATGTTTTGCGACACACTGCTGAAAGAGTGCCTCAGAATATTGAACCAGGAGAATGGTTGTGTCTACTGAATATAAGGGTGAAAGCAAAAAGAAAGTTGGTATTTTATTTTTTATTTATTTATTTATTAGAAGTTCACTATGAATTAATTCTGATCGAAACATGTTTCTTTGTGCAGAAAATATCTTATGTTTTTGTGGCGTAATGAGAAAAAATTAGAACATGAGAAGGAGAAGAAAGAGTTCAAGAAAGCTGAATGGCTCGCTAAAAAGCAAGAATTGACCGAGGACACTGGTGAATTGAAATATGGCCTCTTGAATAATTCGCTATTCTTGCGTATATATGACACAACTATAAACCATTATTACAATGGTAGATTGATTTATAATATGATGTTTGAACCAAAGCTGGTGTTTGATTGTGGTTATGAGAAGTATATGACTAAACGTGAGCTACACAATTGCAGCAAGCAATTATCTTTGTCATTTGCCTATAATCGCATCCATGTCAATCCTCTGACTCTTTATTTCTGTAATTTTAACAAAAACGGATTAATCAAGCAACATCTTCATCAAAACATACCTACTTTGATGCAAGATGATTTTCCTCTCATAATGACATCGCAATCTTATTTAGATATATTTCCAAAAAATCAGTTAGTGTATCTCACTCCACATTGTAGAACAAGTTTAACTAAATATGATCCAAATATGATTTATATCATAGGTGCATTGGTAGACAAGGTAAGCTAATAATAAGACTTTATGCATTCATTGCATAAATATTTATTAAATTGGATTTTATAGGGAAATTCAAGACCATTATCTTTGGCAAAAGCTAAAAAAGAAGGTATTCAAATGGCTAAATTTCCTATAGACGAATATCTCTCTTGGGGCGTTAGCTCGTCAAAGAGTCTTACACTCAACCAGTCGATTAAGATAATGCTGGATTTGAGACACACGGGAGATTGGAAAGAGGCATTAAAGAACGTGCCAGTTAGAAAATTAAGACCTGCCAGAGAACGTAAGCTACAAAACAAAATGGAGAACTCTATATTTTCAAAACAGATTCCGGACTCCAACATTCAAAATTTTACATTTCAAAGCAGGAAAACAAATTAATGTTAATTAATTTTGTATATTAGGCTGTAATAAATTATATAAGAGAAATTATATAATATCTAAGAAGAGTTTGTTATTTTATTCTTTATTTCTAATATTAGAATTAAATCTTGACAATTACAAAATTTCATAAATGTGATATGTACAATACATACATGATGTTTGCTTTGTATGTTTCTTATGGACCATCATCTTGTTTATTTATTTTCAAATATAAATATAAAATTTCTCAATTTTTAAATTATCTAAAAATTATCAATGAAATTGCAAGATACAAAAGTCATTTATATGAGTCACTAAAAATTAATTATTTTCAAAAAGATTATTTTAATGCATAATGCACATATATGTAAAAAATTATTCGTAGTTAATCTTTTTTGTAGTAGTTAATACTTTTTTTCCAATATCATATACCTTTCCCTTGTATTTTAAGTACAGAAAATATAACGATGCTACCAGAGAGAAACCTAAGAGAGACCATGCTAGCATTTTTTCTGTTCTGTCAAAATCGCATGTACACTACCACCATCACATCTATTTTCAGTAAGAACTACGTAACTACGTTTTCTGACACTATTGATAAAATCATATCGTCGAAAGTAGATGTGGTTCGTTTCTGTACTAAAGCCTCACGCTTTCATCCAAAGGATTTAGTACAGAAACGAATCACATCTACTTTCAATGATATGATTTTATCGATAATGTCAGAAAATGCAGTTACGTAGTTCCCCACAAGTTCCCAAATTGAAAATGGATGTGCTGGCGGTAGTGTGCGATTTCGACAATAGGAAAAAGGTTGGCATGGCCTCTCAGATTTCTCTCTGGTAATGGTTAAATAGGTCTTTACGACACATGAAAAATCATCATATTGTTTTTAGTTGTTCATAGTTGACAAGATTCTAGATGGCGTTATGGACATCTATTATTTCTCGAGGCACAAAGTTTCGAAAATTCAATCTCCCAAAAATTAATTTAAACAATTAATTTAATGCAACAATTGAACTGATTATAGAAGAATATAAATATGGCGGGAGGGAAAAATCAGACTGGATTTCAACCGGTAAAATAATACAGAAAATATTAGAAAATAAGGAGCAATATTGTTTCACACATTTGCAATCTAACCTGTATAATATTTTGCAAGGATTCTGATGTTCATATAACTTATGAGGAACAACAAAAGATTAACAAATTTGCTAGACAAAATGCGAAGTTGGAAGATTATAAGGAAGAACTTAGAGTAAAACAGGTAATCTGTAAAAAGGATTCAAAATCGATTTTTTCTTAAGACATTATTGTATGTATGTATACCTTATTTGGTCATGCAGTGACCATACATTCTTTATTGTAAAGGACAGTCTTTTGTTTTAGATAGCTGTTCTTTAGATTTTTTTATTTCTCTAAAATTCAATTTTGACCTTTATTTTCCAATGTTCTTTACTCTCCTTTATTTTGACATTATGAGAAATTTTTTTCTAACTAGTGTTCCAATGTCTATAATATTATATTATTGTGAAATTTTTACGGAATATATTTTACAGTTTCATGTACAGTTTCATATAAATACAATTTGTTTTTGTTAATTATATTTATTAATTTTCTAAATTTATTCAAACTAAAATCGTTTTTATTTTTTTATTATTTCGAATCTATTATTTTAGATCAAGAATTTGTTTCAATATAGTTGAATCAATTTCAAACCATCAAAACAGTATGCATTATCTCAATTTGATTATATTGTACAATAAAATTTTATAATGCTCAATTCTTGATAATCACAAACATATCAATCATGTAACTTTTTCTGTAGAGCGGAATATATATATATATATACATATAAATACAAAAAATGTTCACTTTTCACATTTCTGCTCTATGAAAAAAATTACATGATCAATATTCTTGTTTGGTTTGAAAACATGTAGAAACAAAGCTCTAAAATTTTTAGATTTGTTGTTTATTTTCTTTAAGAAAATATGGTCGTTGTAGTCTTAGACTTTGCATATATTATGGATAATAGTACCAATAATGTGCAAAAAAGATTATTGATGTTATTATCATTAACTAATTATTTGCAATTGGCAGAACGAATTGAAGAATTTGGAGGATGCTTGTGATGAACTAGCTCTTATGGACGACGATGCAAAAATACCATACTTTATTGGAGAAGTATTCATCTATCATTTCCTTGAGAAAACACAGGTGATTAATTTATGTACTAATTGTAATGATTTTTAATATTATCTGTATTAAAAGTTTCAAATATTTTAATTTTTGCTTTTTTTCAATGGTATTGGTATGGTTTTTTTTTTATTATAGTTACTCCATCAGTATTAACAAGAATCTCTTTTTTAGAGTTCTTTAGAAGAGGCTAAAAGTAAGAAAAAAGAAGAAATTGCAAAATTAGAAGGCAAATGTGCAGATTTAAAGATAATTATGTCTCAATTAAAAACACAATTGTATGCGAAGTTTGGTACTCGTATAAATTTGGAATCTGAAGAATCGGATTAATATTTTTCGTCATTGATGCATTTATTATCATTTAATATTAGAAATTTACATTATTAGTATAATTAATAATTAATTGTGAGCAAACACAGTGTTAAATTATAATTAATAAATAATTAATAAAAATATAATTACATACATTTATTTGCATGGCGCAAATTTCCTTTGAGAAGGTTAATATAATTTAAAATAGAATTTATTTAAATACTTCTTGCAAATATGTAACACGTAAAAGTTTTTTTAAAAAAATTATTTGAACAATGTTTCTTGATTAAAAGAAATTAGCAAGGTTTACAATATCATAATTACAAGTTGTCTAGAACCTGACTGGGATTTGATTACAATAACTTATAGATTTCTAAATACTTTTTACAGAAATTTTCTTTAATAACATGTACATATTGATATAGTTACTATTTTCATAAGCTAGTTACGTTCAATAAAATGATCTTCCAAGTAAGCTTTTGGCTTTGTAAAAGTCCTACCAAGTAATCTTAGCTTTTTTGTTATGAATCTATATGATTTATAAGCTCTTTAAGCATGAAAATGAAAATAGCAATAATGAAAAATTACTCTCTTAAATATATATGCTAATTAATAAAGTTGAGAATAAAATTTAGATATTTTGCTAAATAAAGGACAATAAAGATAGAACTTTCGAATTTACCGTTGAAGATACTTCTTCTTTTGATATGTCCAGCAGTTATTGATTATTTCCATTAAAAATAAATAAATATAAATAAAAGAGATAAATTTTATAAATACTGATTAGTAATATAGGATACCGATTGCCAAAGCTAATTAACTAAAATTATCAGTGGAACTGAGCCTAAAGGTTAAGTAACACATACTAAATATTGCATAGGATAGAAATGAAATTTGGATATTAGCCAATTTGAGATCTGTTTTCTGTGGTTGAACTAGTGTACACTTTTGGAACTTAAAATGAGATAGGTATATATTTGATGTTTGGCGAAAGCAAGAAAAAAACTTCTACTGCAATCTATTGCAGGAATAAAAAACAGACTTTATTCTTTTATTTTAACACTATAAAAACGATTGGAATACATTCGATTTTAAATTTTATTACATTTTCTTGTAATATATATAAATTTATAAATTTTCCGTCTTTTTCTAATAATTAAATATATTGTTATATGATTGTTCGTTATCAAAATGTTACAATAATTACTAGAGCCTTAATTTCATGATAGTATATTATATTGAATACATTAAAAATAGTATATTTCAAAATTTTAATTAAAATAAATTTTTTAATATAAAATAAATAATTATACATAATCCGTATTAATATTTAATATATATTATAATTAAGAACGTTAATATAATTAAATTACAATAAACTAATTTGCAAAAAATCAGTTTCAAAATTTAAAAATAGTAATAAATTCTTTTTCTTCGATTTAATCAATGTTCATGTAAATATGGTTTTATAATTAAACTTTATGTTTTTATAATTAAACTGAAATGAAGTCAAATATGTAATGGTAAGTAAATATAGCAATACTTGTATATTTGTAATACTTACAGGAGAATTTCTTAATTACGTTTTTCTTTTGATCAGTCATTCGACACAATGAGCTCAAATAATTCCTGCACAGTAGTCTTTTTCTGTCATCCGGCTTGAGGTAAATTTAGTTTCACCGGCTTCAATGATCTCAGTACATGTTCTACCATGACTTATTCAGTTACTGTCTAAGGTCAACTTTGAATATCGTGATTAATAAAATAATTATCACTGTGCTTACATAAAATATACATTTTACAACAGTTTTAATGCAATAAGAATACAGTTTCAGTGATAAGTAAAAAATTGAATGTTATATAAATAATATCTTCTTTATTTTTTGATATTCATATAATATATATATTATATTGTATATTATAGTATGTATATATATATATATATATATATATATATATATAAATTAATATTATTATAAAAGATCTTTACATTACGTGTATGTATTATGCATTGTATTCATAATGTTAAGAAGTAAATCTAGAATTGAGAAAAGAAGAAGATTGTGTCTAATACTTTTTTCAAATATATTTATATATGTATATTATATTATAATATACATATATATGTAACCTATATATATATGTAAACTAATATCTAAAGGAGGGAATCTATCTACACGAGGGAATGGAGATAGCGAAGGAACTTATATTAACTCTCAAGCAAAATAATAAGTCGCACGTTGGATATGGATTGCAAAAGGAGTGTGAAGCTCTTGTTGGGCACATTTTACAAAATATGGTCAGATCTCAGATGCCTCCTCTGCACGCTGTAACGAAAAACAAGGAAGATTCTATTAGATATAGAGAAGAAGGTATATATCTTAAATTTCTCATACGTGCTGTAATACATTCTAATGAACAAATTTTCAGGTAATCAACACTTTGTGATGGGTGATGATCTGGAAGCTATCGAGTATTACACTCTGAGCTTGGCATATGCTGATAGTGATGAACTTATGGCATACGCACATGCAAATCGATCCGCTGCTTTATATAGGAAACAATTGTATAAGGAATGCCTGATAGATATTGATGCAGCTTTATATCACGGATATCCAAAAGAGAAACAGAAAAACTTGAAGGACAGAGGGGATAAAGCGATAACGGAGATAAAAAAGTTGCTGCAACTAGACTCGAAGGATATTGATGATCAGAGAATTACAAATGAATCATATTTATACGATAGTATCGAGAGATCTGTTACAGAAGACGTAGAGAATAGGGCAATGATGATAAACGATGAAGGAATCCCGCAGAAACAAGGTACGGCAACTAATGAGAGTTATCTTCATTATGCGAAGATCCCTCCGCGGAAACCGAGATATTTGCAAGAAGAGAACTTCTCCAAGTTAATGAACGGTCCAAGCCGAGAAATTCCCGCTGTTAGTGATGGCGTCATGATATTCTTCTCTGAGAGATATGGCAGACACTATATAGCGACACGGGAATTTAAACCTGGTGATATAATCAGCATTGAAGATCCGTATGCACACGTTATCTATGAAGAACGGTGAGCTATTAATTAAATTGTATTATTTACAATTTATTTGATTTATTATCTGTATTTTTCGATTCTACATTCTTGGTATATCTACATTCTTGGTTCGAAACAGACAAAGAAGGTGAAGGTAAAATATATCACAAGTTACTTATAAACTTCAAAAGTTTAGATAATATTTGATGACCATAAATCTCTTCTCACCTTCTTTTATTTTTATTTTCTTCTTAGCATAAGAGAAAAACTATCGAGAACCGATTCTTACAATTCTTTCTTTAATCTTTTCAAAAATGAGAGACCATGATTTAATCATTTTACAAAATTATAATTCTATTTAAAAGCTACAAAAAAAATCAAGTTGCAAGAAAGGATTGATTTTCTTCAAACCATGATTAAAGTTTTAGAAAAAAAAGTATTAAATATAATATTGCGATCAAAATGTCAACTATATAAGAAAAAACAAAATAAAAAAAGATGATTCAAATATTCATTTATAAGAAAAGAAGTTATAAAGAAGTTACATAGGTAGTTTAATTTTGTGATTTCACAACTGCATTCTTCCCCTTAATTGTAGAAAACTTGTATATTCGTTGTTTACAGGTATTATACACATTGCCACTATTGTCTAGCCAGAAGCTACAATCTAATACCGTGCTCAGAATGCCCGATAGCTCAGTATTGCTCTGAGAATTGCAGGAAGCTGGCGTGGGAAGCGTGTCATGAGACAGAATGTCCAATTCTAAAGTTGTTGACGAACTTGCTCAATGTTGACAAAGATAAAATAAGAATGATTTCGAAGATCATTCGATTGCTGATTGTAGTGACCGAGAATGGAACTAGAATTAAAGAACTGCAGCAAGATATGAAAACTGCAGAATCTAATTCAGGTATATACATCTATTATATATAAAATATTGGTATATTGGAGCATTGATAATCACACAATATTTTGATTCTTTCTATTGCAGACAATAGAACGGCAGGATTTACAGATACTGGGATATTAGACAGTTTTAGCGCCCGGTCCGCACTGAGTCTGGCGACCAATATGACTACGAGACCGCTAATCGGGATCAGCGCGTTCGCCTGCATCTCGGCCCTTGCGGTAATCCTTCTAGCTACGCAGACAAAATTTTTTCCTAAGAAATATGAGATTGATGATTTGAAGGATATCAGCGAATTTTCTGAGCTCAAATTTTGCGCCAGTATTATGTTTCGTGCTTGTGTAATAATGTCTTCTAACTGTTTTTCAGTGAGTTTCCTTTTTCATAATTATGATTTCATTAAACCATTATTACTTGGACATATTCTTTATGTCTTTGAGAATATGTTGTTAAGGAAATTATTATATAATTAGTTTCTCTCCCTCTTTCTCAAAATATTATAGTTATATATTATCCTATAGATACAACAAGAACCAGGAATTGTGTCGGGTTCGGGATTATATGTGGCTCACAGTCTATATAATCATTCTTGCGCACCAAATACTTTTCGACATTTCGAGGGACTGACCATGATCACGCGTGCCTTAACACCTATACATCCCGGAGATCAAATATTCACAAGCTACGGCGGTGTTTACGCGCACATGCCACGATCTGAGAGAAAGCAAAAGATACTGCAAGATTATTTTCTCGATTGTGATTGTTCGGCGTGCAAAAATGACTGGCCGACGTATAATGAGATTCTGCGAGAACATATTGGATCTATCTCCAAAAATAAGCAACTCGTCGAAAAACTGACGCCTTTCAGGGAGAGATTACTCGCAAATATGTACGATATCGAGGCGGTGAAGGACGTTCTAGACATACTATACAAGGAAGTTAATAAACATCCATGTGAAGAAATACTCCACGCGGAACAGTATTTAAAGAGCTATTATTTGGGTAAATTTAAATAAATCCTACAATTAATGCTTTATGCTTCAGCGTAGTCTTCGTTTAGCTCTGCTTATTGATTTTCGCTTTGATGATTCCTTGCTCACTACTATTCTCTGATTAATATCTGCAGCTTTAAGTAATTATGTACTTAATACACTTTTGTTTTTCTTATTAGTAAATAAAATTACTTTCAGCAGCAATTATTGATACAATTTTTTATATAAATGGCTATTTCCTGCTTTGCTTATTGCTTTATCAACACGCTACAATTGCGGGGCACAACAGTAAATATTCTTTTGACATGTTCTCAAAACATGTTCTTTTGAATTTCAGATCCATGAACTGTCAAGAAATATTAATGGTAAGATTACAACATATTGTTTCAAGAAATATTTTTTTCTTTAGAACATTATAATATCTAAACGTTAACTTATTATTAATGAGACAATTTGTATTACGATCAATGTTGCGTGAAATATGCACCAAAGAAAACTCAAAGTAATTTTTTTTCGATAAACGTGTAAAACTTTATTAAATTATTGTATTGGATATTAGATAAAACAGATTTACTTTATTTATATTTATCTGTAAAATATTACGATATCCTATCATAAATCATTGGTTGTTGAGAAGGAATTATATCAAGGAAAGCCAAAAAATGATCTAGGAAAATAAACAATATACACGATTTGAAATAGAAAATACATTAATAATTACTTATATATTTCATCGTAATAGGCATTCAATATGACATGTTACAATCGGTATTTAACAGTGTCGGATAGGAAAGTTTTAGGGGCAGTGTTTCAATTTCTTATTTTGTGTGTACACTATACATTACTTTATCAAAGTAAAAAATAATTTACAATGCGCGTATCTCAGCAAGCTCGGCATCGATTCGATAAAATGAAGTATCGTTAATAGTACTTTACACTTAGCGATTAAAAATTAAAATTCATTTTAACACCGTAGATGTACTTTTTTAGCTTTTCAAACATGGGTGAAACACACACATGTGCGAAACATGACAATACATTATGCTTCAAAGATTAAAATGTATTCAACATAGATTTGTCAATAAAATTGCAAAAAAATTTTAGAGGATGTTAAAAACTTATCTATAAAGATTAAAACTTATCGCACTAAAAGAATAATGTTACCGCCATATATTTAGAGTTAAGATTATTAATTCAAATTTTGATCATATGTATTATTTATATATAAGGAAAACAAATTAATGTGATCAAAAATGATCAGTAAAATGATAAAAAATAATGTCATATAAAAATGTGACAAGAAGAAGGGCACATTTCCATCAGTCTGTTGCACTTGGGATTCATTTTTATTCAACATTTTTATTCTTTTAAGAGATTATCGGCGCATGTGTGTGATTAACGAAAACTGCAGTTTCCGGAGTATAAATTATTCCCATGACAATTCTACTTGAGATCAAAATTATAAAATATAATTGGTATTCTTGTAAAAAGATAAGCTACGAAATATATCAATTTGCTGCGAAAAAAGCTATATTGTATATATATATGTAGTATGTTTTTAAAAATTGATAAAGTATCAAGAAACGCATTTTGTAATAGCCTATCATATTAAAGACTATTCATGCGACTATTACGTTCTAGAAAAAGACTGCGGATAAATGCAACAATAAAATAACTATGTCAATATTATGTAGTACGTTAAGCGTTCCCGAATATTCGAGGATCCCTCGAACGTACGGTGACACACTCTTCGATAACGCGAAGAGAGAGGAAACTTAACGATTAAGCAACATTGATAAAAAATATACTTTTCAACGCGTTCTCGCTACATCATGGCCATCGACAGGTTTTATTCTTCGATTAAAGCCATGTTTAATCTCCTCGCTTGTTCGTCAAATATATAACTCTACTTAAGTAGCTACATTTTTTTGATGTTCAAAGCATCTCTATCGCACTATACTTTTGCGAAGAACTATAACAAGACGCTTAAAACGTTTCAAATACTGCGGATACTGCGGATGTGTCGCATGTCTTCAATAATTAAAAAAATATAAAATAACAGTAGATTTAAGGCTGCCACAATTCATGGTTTGTGATGTGTTTCATCATTCTCCCTATCTCTCAGTAAACTATAATCCTTTTTAAAACTCTACGATTATACTGATTATATAACATGCACCAGAGTTCATTATTAAATTAATGAACAAGTTAAAATCGGCCATGCAAAAGGTTAATCCTCGTGATAAAAATCGTTTAAATTTATTCTAAAATTATATTTTTTTATACGATATTCTTTCATAAAATTGTCTTCTCATCAATAATAAAAATTTAAATATTTTTACTTTTAAAATAAGCATAATGAGGATTTGTATTTCTTATACCATAAATAAAATATTTTCTAGGCCTATTTTCGTTAAAAATCATTGATTCCCATCAATTCCAAAAGCTATTCATTTGGAACACTTTCAAGTGGAATACAATGATATAAATGTCAATGAAAATGCGTAAAATTCGTATTAAAAATTAATCACTCGTCGCTCGCGCGGCGCAAGTGATCATCGCTGAAATGTTGCATAGAAATCTAAATTTCTTAAAAAAATCTATGATATATAAATCCTATCTATATCGCCGCTGTGTACACGTTTATTCAGTAAAAGTAACTAATTATTGATGGCTCTTCTTGTAAATGGAGCACGAAATCGATGCATGGTCAGCATGGAAAAACGATATGGAACAGGCCTACGAACCGACTTCTTCTGGCCTAGCCAACGGCGCCTTGGATCTTTCTGTGGTAGTAGTCACTGTAGTCGTGGTGACTTCCAAATTGGCCAAATCCGCGGCATTAATCTGGAATATTTAAACAATTATTTATCGCTCAATAGAGATGTTTCTTGAATAGAAAATAGTAAAATCTTCCTAGTTAGTAATTCAAAGCTTTACATTTATGTTAATGTTGTCTGTTGTTTGTTAATGAATATTGTATGAAGGGAAGAGCAAGGAATTAATTAACAAAATAAATGAATGAAAAGCTGATGCACTTAGTAGCGAAAGATCAATTGACTAATGGCGAACGACAAGGTACTAAAGCATAAACATGAGATTATTATCGTGGTAACGGCCGACACCAATTAATTATAATTTTATATTCAGTGCCGTTTGCTGACCTCGACGTTCGGGGGCAGAGTGATGGTAGCGTGTGTCGTTGTTGTCTCAATACCGCTGCGTATCTCTCGCTCTACTGTAGTGCCTACGCAATAAAATAAGTGCCACAAAAAATAACGAAAAAAAAAATAATAATAATGAATGCAAAAAACGTAAAGGCAAAAGAAATAAAATGAAAATTATTGAAAGACAAAGACAAAAGATTAATTGTATGTAATGTTCCAAGTAGCACATGTTGGTCTTATGTGCGTTTCCTAAATGGTTATAACATTTTAGATATACGTTTAAGAAACGTATATAAAAACATATATGGATCATCACGTGCTACCTGAGGTGTGAATTGTAATCTGTCGAGTCTGTCAATTAGTGAGCCTGAAAAATGAGTAAAATAATTGATATAAAAAAAATCTCACGCATTAAACCGTTCATATGTAAGAAGCTATATTACAAAAAATACTCAAGATCAATTTCTTTACGAATTGTCAATCTGGCAGTCCGATGATCAGATCTAAATAGAATAATAATCACTTTAGAGATCTAGATCGATTGCGATTTCACTCACTGTTTACGTGTTGCGTTTCGTTCGCTTGACTCGTCTCGATTTCGCCATTAGCGGTCGTGCTATTCGTGGTTTGTGTAACCACAGTGGTCGTTTTCACCACTAGGGACTGATTTTGAGTGGATATTTCGGAAGTTCGTGAAGTCACCTCCATCTTAAGTCCTGCCAAACGATTATGGAGATCTTCGGAAGATGTCGCGTTTCTGAAAAGTGGACTGTTACTGCCAAAAAATGGCAAGTACATCGAAATGCTAGTATTAATTAAACATAGCGGCGAAATAAATTATTAAGCCATGTAGTATGTTCAATAATACGTTTTACAAATTAAACATCTATGTACATGAAGTGATATAAATTTTAAATTACAATTCACTAAACTTACAATTGAAATAAAATTTATTGTACATAAGCAAATAACAAATTAGAAAAATATCTGATAATGTCAGCTAAACTTACAGCAAATGATCTTTAACACTGTCGATCGTAATATCTCCGATAGAACTTAAATCCTGACGGTCGTCTTCTCCGTTTACATCTATACTACTTGTAGCTGGTCGCAGCGACGGTTCCTTCGGAGATTCTTCCTCTCCAGCTAAAAGACATGCGTTCACATCGACACTAAACGGCACTATTACGAATAACAACATTCCCTACTATATCGTTAATCGACATAAATGGTAGTAATGGTCTGACATAAATGATAGTTATGATTAGGATCGAAACACGTGGGTAAGCACACATGTATATGCGGGTTACAAGGTATGCCAAGCAGTTACACATATACACAATCGCGTTTACACAGAAGTCGATGGTGTATTCTATTACGATGTGTAAAAAAATATATCTGTCTCTTTAGATCAGTGGTCGGGTTTCGTTACTATTTTCAATCCGACTTTCATTGCACTGGTTTTTCCTTCCCCGTTCGCGTTTTAATGAGTTTATCGAATATGAGTAATTAAGACTTTTCGACACTTTGCTTCAGAAGTAGCTAAAAATTGTAATAGCCGAAAGTTGTAATTAAATCTGACCACTGCTTTAAATTATTCGCGTCAAAATATATGGATTTCTAATACTCACTGGCACTTACTACACCATTTTCCGTAATAATTCTGTTTGCCGCCGTTGGTGGTTGACTTTCCTGCGTCTCCCCTTCGGTTTCAGGTGCACCTTCGACAACACCTTGCTCTTGTGCAACTTCGTTAGTATTTACCGCGAACGATCTGGCATGCGGTGGTAAATTAAGCGCGCAATGCGCTTTTGTCATCTTCGCGGTTGACAGAGAAATTCGTTGGAGTTCCGAACTCGAGTGAAGATACAGCGCTTCTCCAGCTTTTGTAAATATCAAGGAAGAAATACCACTAAGAAACAAAAGATATACGTTAATTCTCAAATGTGTGACGTTTAAGACGCGAGATATAAAAAACAGAACTAACTTAATGTCCTCTCTTTTGATTGCAGCAGCATTCAACTGTCTTCTCAGTTCCGGTATACTCAGTACCAGACAATCACCAAGATTCGTTAGGCAAAGCAAGCAAGTTTCCTCGTGAGTTCCTGCTGGCTCAACGTAACACCAGAACTTCGCGAATCCTGTTTTTCGTACCCTAGACCCTTCGTGAGCGGTCAATTTGTACTTGCAATACGGCTTCAAGGACGGAAGATTAAAAATCTTGAACTGTTCCTCGCTAGCAATTACGACTCTGTGCGTGGAAGTCGTATCAGGTCCAGCCGTCACGCCCTTTTCGGCTTCGTAGGGTTCCGGCAACGGCACGCTGGATCCATCGAGAATCGTGATCGCAATTACGGGTGCACGATGCTTCAATTGTATTTCTTTACCCAGTGTACAGTTGACGTCTTCTTCCGTTCTCCTCACACCGGCTGGTATAGCTAACGTGAAGACGTAAACCGTGCCGTTGTTAGTGCCCGCCCAAAGTGTGGGTGTTGTATTTTGTACTACAAACATATTTTAAGTCATTTTTGTGATTTGTCACTGACATTATACATATTTACAAAAAGATACTAACGACTAATAATGTAACTTCTGGCAAAGTACAAGCACCGAACCATAGAGCCTAGAGCATCGTCAACTGGTCTCGCTTCCACTTGTCTCTCCACTGGTTTTAATTCCGTTGGTGATGGATCGCCACTCGGTGAAGAAGCAACGCTGCGATTATAATTTAATAATTACAAATGACTTTTTCTTCGTAATATTTTCTAATATTTTTAATTTAAACTCACCTATCTTTCTTTTTCTCCGGTGCAGGATTTCGTGTAGGACTATTAGTATTTGCTCGACGTTGCGAACGTCCCTTTCTCAATCTCCTGAAAGATTCTCTAAGAGATTTTTTGAAAGACTTACGTCGGGAGATAGGAGTGTCACCTGCACCGGAAAGATCTGTAAAACATTAAAACAATTATATTTATTCAAGATATTGATATAAAAAATAAACTAATTTTACACAGGAATTTCTGTTTTGGGTATTAATGTAAATATATTTTTCCCATTCTCTAGAGAGAGAAGGAGAGATTTATCTCAATTTAGAACTATAAAAAAAATTATTATAATTTAAAGTAGAACTATTTCCCAACAATATTTAAAGTTGCATCGCTGAAAAAGTTATCTTGTTTTATTGCAGATTCACATACCATTTGGATTAAGCGTGCATTTGACACTGACGGATTTTGATCTGATATAATCAAAGACCGCAAGTCCGTGCGCTGTTCCAGCGGCAAGTAATCCCCATTCGCTGTGTAATGCTAACGCCGTAACGGCGGCCGGTGGGTACAACTGTAGAAGACTTTGTGGTTGAAATCCAACCGCGAATGATATACTCGTCGTTCTTGGTGGTAGATGATCGTGACCTTTCCATACAAATCCGTCGCGATCGTTGACAATATTCATTATTACGGCTTTTATCTCCTTATTGATCGGTTCCGAGGAGATGGTAGCAGTTATAATGTGTCCAGCTGTACCAGCGACCACCAATGTCGAGGACAACGGACAGAGGAGAACCTTTTTCACAGCGAGTCGCGGATCATCAGAGTATGGATCAAAAATTCCTACTTTCTTGAATGGCGGCCACTCATCCTCGTCGTCCTCTGGAGGTTGCTCGAGAACGTCCAAATGCTCGCCAGTAAACAGGATCGACGAGTTGTACTTGTATAGAGGAGTCAGAGCAACGTCGGACGCATTCCAGAACCTGACAGTGCCGTCCTCATGTCCAGTAAGTAGCAGATCCTTGTTTCTAGGTTTGTCAGGATTCGCTGGCTTTCGGCAGAGGATTATGCCACCGTCGATGGGCCACGACTTGTCTGAATAAAGATGCTCGGTCTGCGCTTTACCGACTTCTACGATCGCTTCCCAAAGTTCTTCGGGTACATTAGGCACATGTTGGGAACAAGTCACCTATATGAAAGAGTTGATCATGAATCTATTATAATTTTATTATATTTATTTCAATATACTCACCGAACTCGCATGGAGAGATACTAGATAGGGCAAAGCCATCATCTTCCATTCAGGATTGGTCAAATCTATAGCTACTAATTCTTCCTCAGCCAATACTATAAGCGCTTCCGGACCGATAGGGTTCTCATTGTTCTCTTCCTCCTCCTTAGGGAAGACGGTGAAAAAATCGATAATTTTAGACGTAAAGTCAAAAACTAAATGTTTCTCCTTGGTCATGACAGTAATTGTATGTCTGTCTCCATAACTGGCGCGTTGCATACCACCGGAGAATAATACGAGCTCGCCGTGTCTATGGGAAAGGTCAATTGAATTCGTGAAAAAATGAGAAAGGGAGACATATACTGATTTCGAAGTTACTTACTCCGCGGTAGGATACACGAGGATTTTGGTGACGGCTTTACACGGAAATGGCCCGTAAAGAGTCGTGGGCTCCGGCACGGCGTCGCTACCAGGACTCCAAAACGCATAGGAACCGTCGTTGTGTGACGAGACAAAGCGATTCTCGGATATCCAATGGACCGATTCCAGCTGTTGCGTGGAGACGAATGTCTGCGCACGCGAAAACAAACCCATCAGCTGCGCGTACACGTTCCACCAAAGACCACCAAAGACACAAACGACAATCAGAACGAGCGATACCATCTCACAATTCATTCTTAATCCTGCTGTTCCATTCGACTCTATTTTAATCAATTATCATTTCTTAAATAGCCACAAAAGTTATTAAATTAAGACTAATTATATTTTCAATTCATTCTTTAAAATAGTAGAACTTTTCAGAATAAATAGATATCTCTATTACAGATATTAATATGAGTTTCTATAAATAGCCACAAAAGTTATTAAATTAAGACTAATTATATTTTCAATTCATTCTTTAAAATAGTAGAACTTTTCAGAATAAATAGATATCTCTATTACAGATATTAATATGAGTTTCTATAAGAAAATATATAAAAAAATATAGTTTTTAGTTTTAATCTAATAATATTCACATCTAATATTTTTTAATTCCATAAATTCATCAATTCTCCACACATTCCTTAAATATATATTTCTAAAATAAGATAAAGACAAATCTTTATCTAATGATAATCACATTAAAAAATGTAATAATAATTAATTTAAACAATTGTGAATATGTATTAGAAATGAATGGGCTAGCAGGATTAAATACTGATTCACACTGTGTGTTGTTTTACGAAAAACATATAAGCGTTACAGCGTGTAACTATTGCATTTGCCAAAGTGTACTTGTGTATACGTACAGATATAATGAATATAAAGGCTTACCTGCTGAGCTCCTGGAGTAGCTTTGTTCCACAATACCATCAAACCTCGATTATAGCCGATCAGGATGTTATCCGGGTGCCCTGGTTGCTCAGCTATAGCTTCGACCGCTCCTGGATTTTTCTTGTAGTCTTCCGGAACGCTATGCAACACAAAAACAACTTGATAATCTTACACAAAGTAACTTTTTTTTTCTGGTCTTAAATAATTTTTAATTTAGAATTTAAAATTATTATATTCTTTTAAATATAATGCTTTTTTCAAAGATACTTCGACTGTTTTAGAGATAATCAGATTGATCAAATTTTGATTTATCCTATAAAATTGCGATAAAATTGCCAATAAAATCTTTCTATAAGATTGATAATAAACGAAGTAACTTCCATAATTTTGTTGGCATTTATATTAAAATATAGAAGAAAAATTTAAATTTAATAAAATAAAAATTTAATTAGATTATGATAGATAATTTAATCTAATTGTTTACTTTTGCATCACAACATCTTGATAGATAATATTCTCCGGGGTAACGAAAGTTTTCAAGTTCAGCAAATAGATGTTGCCTCCTTCCGTTCCTAACAAGAGATGTTCCCCACTAGATTCGAGACACATTGCGGAAATCTTTTTCAATTTCCCTTCCAACGACAATGTCTTCGTTTCCACCACGGAACTTCTGTTAATTTCCCATAAATGTAATGAATTGTCGTCACACAAGGACACCACGCGACCCTGCAAAGTACGATACAAAAAACTGATCATAGAATATTAATCGGAATGAAGCATTATATTTCATAGGACAAAACATTTTTAGAAATATTTTCTATTTAACTTCTGTAAACATTTTTTTAAAAGATGTTCCAGCTTTCTATCATTACTATTTTTTTCATACATATTTTTAACTATTTTATTTAACATTTTATTCGACAGAAAGTTTTTAACAATAGTTTTTATCTTCGAAAGTCAACGTGTGTTTCTGATATGGCGGAAGTAATAAAACGCCTCGCAATAAGATCAACAGCGGCTGCTGGCCCCTCTCCTACCTCTATTATTACATGGAGAAAATACTCGCATAATTTCATGATTTCTCACAACTTCTCAAGTCTTGTACCTTTTCTATTTTGCAACTGTCGCGCGTAATACACAAAGCGACAATTCACATCAAACGCAACATCAAAAAAATTTATCTACACTCCGTTTTCAGGTTTGTTTATAATTATCAAAAAATTCTTTGAAAAAAAAAAACAAAATCTGTAGACATTTCGTAGTTAAAATAATGAATTGTTCTTCGTCATTAAGTAAATAGTAAATTTAATTTATCTTTTTTGCCAAGCATTTAATAGATTAAATACTAAAATATCGATTAAAAGTCTGTGAAAAATGAAGACTTTGATTTATAAAAATATATATAATAATTAAATTCCGATACTGAAATATCCTTTTTCAATTTTTTACAATAAATACTTGTCTATCAATCAAAATTCAATAAAAAAAATATGCTAATCGAATATTTTAATTAAATTGTGTATTTTATTTGATCTTACGATATTGCAATTTATGTATTTTTTCATCATATTTTTCTAGAAATATTTTTTCACTATATTTTTTCTAAAAATTAATAAATCGTCACAAACTTGAGATTATTTGTTTCTTTTATAAGCATCTCTTTTATTTAGTACAAAAATATTTGGTTACTGTATTCAAAAACAGTTAGTTATGAAAAAAGGTCAAAATAAATAAAAAAATCAAATTTAAAATTAAATGAAAAGCAATATTTTAGATCGGTATCATAGACTAGCTGCTATCTTATCGGCTTCAAAATTTACTTGGAAACGCTTATCGTGATAACGAACGTCTGTGCTTATGCCGTTATGCGATCGTAAAAATTAAAAATGCGATTTAATTATTAATACATTACTTTGAATAATATAAAAAATTATATGTATATTGCAAGTAAGTCAATTCGAGACAAATTGTGCAAAATTATAGCTCTATATGAAATATTTCAATGTAGGTATCATTATTTATTTTTAGTTATCATAACAAGCCTCTTAAACATCTTTAAAAATGCTCGATTAGAGACGTATTAAGATAATTTCACTAACGTCATCACTATATTTGCTAAATATTGGCAAGACGCATGTCTGCTGGTTAACGGATAATTGATCATTCGCAAAGAAAGTCTTTTTCCCACATTTTACGTTGTAGGGCTTTAATTGCATTTCACATTAATTGCGACGCACCGTCGTGATGTCGTTGCACTCGTATTATTTATCAGTACACGCGTGCGTGAGCACATTGTACGGTGTCGCACGGGATTATGCAACCCGCTGGCAATCGTATAAGCGGAACATGGTATCGCATTACTGTCGATGCGATGCGTGCAATTTTAACAGAACTACCGCGAGTTAGCACTTTTCTACGTAAATCGCGGAAAGAATAATTAAAAAATATAAATATATAAGAAAAGTGCACGATATATGATATACATAATCATATAAACGATAAAAAAAAATGCAATGAAAACTAATCAGTAAAGTTTTCAATAAGATTCTCATATCTTACACAAATTTGAAAAATTTAAATTTTTCAGATCAGCACCTGTGTCAATAAACTGTTTAATCCTTGATGTACAAAAAATAGTAGTTTATAGAATAATGCGATAAGAAATCGATTTTGAAAATTAGTTATTTTATTTAATGTTAAATATAATCACAAGTAATGCATCAAATCTTACCTCATTGGGCAGCGCGACGATCTTCGTGACGGCATTCTCACCGCTTTCAACGGAATGTTGTCCATAGAACTCTACGCCTGGCCTTCCGAAACTGATGTTTGAGTTAAGGAATTCCACAAAAGAAGGGATTATATAATATTGTATAAATATGTGACACATTGACACAGGAATGCGCCTCACGCGCCCGAGAGAATAGACCCTCGGATCTCAGATTTGCAAATGACCGATTTAACATGTTGACAGCGAGGATCATCGTTCGAAGAAACAGCTGCTGAACATATATAAGCGCATACTTTGCAAATTCTATAGTAAATTCCGCGATGAACGACGCAAAATAATTGTGCCATTGAGCTGTAATGGACAGTTGCATAATCGCAAATTATTTTGAATGATTCTGAAGGAGCTTAACCTGGATTTTATTTTTTTAGTATCCACTTAAAGATCATAGAAGATTCGATAATAATACGAATCTCTTTAAAAGCTTAAAGAAATTAATGTACATATGTTAGAGTTAAAAAGATTAAATTTATATAAATTTTCTCTAATTTTTAAATAAGATCGGTTGAATTACAATCATATCGAATCCTTAGATGAATCTTTATTGATAAAATAACAGATTTGCGTAACCGTCCATTTATTTTGGAGATGAAATATTTAAAAATATTTTAAAAAATATAAATAGAAAATTTATACCAAATAAAATGTGTACCAAATCATTTTTTAAATTCTAATCTTTGTACATATTCATTAATAAAGATTTTTTATTCAACTGAAAAATTGAGCGCGGTATACTCTATTTGATATAAGATATCAACCTATTTTTTATTTTTAATTAGTATTTTCTGCGACCGCAATGGTAATTTGCTTTTTCTAATTAAAATAATTTCAATGTCCATTTTTTAAAGATCTATTCAAGCGCTTTACAACGACACGTATCTATCGGTTTGTAAAAAGCTGTTGAATCTAAAAACGGAAACTAGATAAAGTATCGTCGTTTGAGCTGCTTCAAGTTACGGGAAGAGTTCAAGAGGTTTGTGATTAAGTTCAAATATAGTTGAACGTACTAGCGCTTGGAAAACGAGTACACTCGGCCGATGGTTTCACTGAAGCGAAGACTAGGTGTGTCGCACAGATAATCGTCTATACGTATATCTATTGCGAAATAATAACGATTATCTGGTGATTACGTAGTCCTTGAAAGCATCTGTTGACTGTGTGTGCGGTATTAAACTGGCATTAAATTGCAGACTCGCTGACGTGTTGATTATTTCACTACGATCTAACATCCCGTTTAATAACATCTATGAAGTTAAAAGTGCGTAATTTTCCGCGAATCGACGGGATAATTCTCGGATCACATATAGTTTTCTTTATGTAACTTTTTTCATCTTGCTACATTAAATTATAATCAACTTTCGATTGTGATAACGTACTGTTCAAATATCGTATACATTTTTAGAAAATTAATATTCTAAAATATAAAGTATAAACTTATAACATAGCATATAAATTTATAACATATAATGTATTGTCAAAAAGACTATCGTAAAAAAATAAAGCTTAAATTATTTATAAATATAGTTTTCTTTTAAAATATAAAATTTTCTGATTTAAAAATTGTAATAGATAAAAATAAACAACAGATCTAAATTTAGCGAGACTATTCACGCCAAATTACGATTTAAATTGCGCATCTTTATATAAAAATAAAGATTGCGTATCTTTAGAAAAAAATAATTGAAATTTATCATTTGATATAAATAATTTAAAATCTAGATAAACAACGTTTTTGCTCTAATTCTATTTACAGTTGTTATTTTGAAAAATTGTAAATCAGCGACGATCTCAAACTGTTACAATAGATGCAATTCCTAACTGACAGGTTAACCAGGTTTGTTGAGATAATTTTTGCGTACATACGTAAATTAAGTAACCGTTGACAAGGTTGAGAATCAAGATTAACAACGTGTTGCAGAATCGAATTCGCGCTGACCTTAATATTGTAAATTGCTGAAAACTTCAATCTTTCACTGTTCGACAGTTAGTGACCTTCTTAACGTAAAATGATTACGAAATATCGTATCCTCGCAATAAACACATAATAAAATTAGTCAGCAGTCTTTCGAAGTCAAACGTTTCAATTAAACGAATGCTGTATGTACATTTTTCGTGAACAATCGATATCTCTTAACTGAATTCTATATTATGCAAAACGTGATTGTGTCCTTTTAATCGATGAATTTAGTGCAACAGATAGTTGTCTACTCGATTCTCCAAGAAGTTCATAAAATTAGAATTGAGAAATATAAGCTTAGGTTGATTTTTCCGAAGCCGTTAAAAAAAGTAAGTTGAGAGATCGCTGCACTGAATTCTTCAATTAGAAAAAATGCATTCACATAATGCAAGATTATTACACGCGAACACCATCGTGAATTCTAAATGTGATTTAATATTTCTTCAATAATGCCCTGCTCCAAGCACAGTGCAAGTTTATAAAATATACCGCAAGTGATTTATGAAGTCTTTGTTAAGCAATCGCTCGCGGCACCACGAAACAGATTTTCCTATTGTGGCAATAAAAAAGTCATAACAAGTATTTACAACCGACCTGATATTTATGACAGTAATAGCTTTTCATTTTATAGAGAATATTTATTTTCTGTTTGATGAATTGTGACTAAAGATTCAAAGCGTTCGTTTAAATAAAATCAAATGATAATAAAATATTAAGCGTTTATAAAAATTTCTTTAATGATAATGTAACAATTAATTTTACAACAAATAATTTACGCTATTCGAACTTGTACTTTTTCTCTTTCCAAGGAACGCAGCCGCCTCTCAGAGGATTAATAAATCGATACGCGCGTCATTGAGTCCTGGTGGCGGTTGCGCCTCGGGACCAGATTATAAATACCAAACGGGAAGAAAGCGAGGAGGCGAGGAGGTAAGAAAAGCAAAAGGATACACCTTGATGGCGCCGGATGCCGTGCCGATGATCATCAGCCGCAGACTCGGATCCCAGGCGAGAGCAGTTGGCTTGTTCGGGAAACCATGCTGCACCGTCTGCAACGAATAAGATCTATTAGTAACGCTGATTTCGATCAATTTCCTAACGTCGTAAACAGAATTATGTTTCTAAGTGTCTTTCGTGTTGCTTATTGCGTGTATTCGTATTGCTTATTTTATCATTTGAGAACAAAGCAATTTGAAGTCAGCATAATTTCACACACATTATGGTATACGAAAAGTTTTCATCATATTCATTTAAAGAAATTTTGTGATAAATATAAAACAATGTATTATAAATATAGTAATATTTATAAATTATAAATATAGTAATCGTTAAATTAAATTTCTAAATATAGTAATTGTTATAAGAATATTAAATACAATTAATTTTACAGCTATTACGAAAGCATAAAAGATGATTGTTAGTTATATGAATTTGGAGAAAATCAGTAAACATATGCATTGTATATATATTATTCCACCACTAATATTTAGTAAATTATTTATTTTGATTTATTATATTATATACAGATATTCAAGTTATAATTGTATACGTTAATATATTTGCAAAGTTTATTAGTTTATAAATTTACATACTTTTTTATAATCTTAACAGTTTTGCATATCGAATATGAATATCATGATAAAACAGGATAGGATAAATTATTATATTATGAAACAGAGTAATTCGAAGAAAAATAACTGTTCCGCATATTAGTCGCATTAATTTTAAATCATTCACATATTTCCTAAGTAATGATATGATTTCCTAATTAATGTTCATTATTATATTATAGTTTTTCATGTTATTACTTCTGAATTATACTCATCTCAATTTTTGATCATTCAACATCTTTAAGGCATAATTAGGAATGGCACTGAAGTTTTGACCGGCTATTTATGGTTGATTCGGATGAAAGTTGCGATGAGTTAGTTTAGACGCGAGTCTCATGATGAGTCAGATTTTGACAATACCTGTTAATCGAACGTGGGTTATCATGCCGTTCATATCTACACGCGTGTATACGTTAGTATATGAGAAGATGTACGTTCTGATTGCGGTAAATGTACCTTCGAAAATCAGCCAGCAGCTAATAAAGACTCGCTCGAGTGATGAAATATTATTGTCAGTAAACTTCGCGTGGATCACGCTTATATATTTTCGTCTCTTCCCACGGCCAATTATAACACTCGCGAGAATCGCGGGATACGCAAGTAACGTCCTAGAAACCTAAAATCTGTATACGTTCTCTCTCAAATCTAAATGTGTACGGATATACAAAATGATTCTTGAAATAAAATTGAGAATCGGGAGAGCAATTTTTATCGGAGATGATTCTTGATCTTTCAATGCATAATGATTTTATTTTGTATGATTAATTAGTACAGCGAATAAATAATGATGCAGAGATATTCTCCTTGGACGGAAAAAATTGTGTTTTAAAGCAATATATTAAGCACTAATAGTTTATAAATGAAGATAAGACTTTCTGTGAATTGGTTGTGTAAAGTGCAATTAATAAATTATGTTAGTCATTTAAATGTAAATTTTATTATTTCAAGATCTTTATCCAAAATCAATAAGATATTTAATCTCACTCTTTCACTAGTTCACATCATATTATAATTTTTCTGTACTGTAAGATTGTACAATGGTGCATCGCGTTAAATGAAGTTCAATATAAATCTACATACATCTATATTTGTTTCAAATATTTCAGCTTAATTTCATTTTACAAATTGACATAATTTTAGAATGTTTTAAATGTTTTAAATATAAAGTTGAGTATTCAAACGAGATGACATAGAAGATGTTGTTTTTTATGAATTTATATTGAGCAATAGTGTAACAATCCTGGTTTTAATTATATATCAATCCACTACTATTGATTGCATTTGATGTACACTAAAGAGGATCCATGGGATCGAAACATCTGTGTGCGTGTGTGCGTGTGTGTGTGTGTGTGTGTGTTGTAACTGAATTTTAAATATATTGAATTTAATCACACAAAAACCTTGTGTTGACTCACATTTAACTATTTTTTCATATCCTTCGATTTATTTCTTGGAGCCTAATACTACTACTCTTACTAAAAATATTTAATATTACTTGTAGAGAACTTATAATAAAATGTTTACAATTTTTTAAGCGAAAAAATCACAATCCAAAGAAAATATCTTGTAAAAAATAATAAAATATAAAACTAAATTTAAATTAAGGTAAAAACATATTGGTATTTGAATTTATTTTACTTTGAAATTGTCGTAGAAATTTCCATCATAATTTTCGTAATGTAGCATATAATTTTTTATCACAAAAAAAGTACAATAAACCAAGATTGTTGAAATGAAAATTTATTAGAATGTATAAACTCCGCAAAAGCGATGTTCACATCTTCGAGGTAACACAGTTTTATTCAAACTGAGATTGCGATAAAAAACTGCTGTCATCGCAAATTTTCTTAAACTAAAATTTGCAATTCATTCATTAAATAAACGGTAAGGAAAGATTTCTTGAAACTATATAAATTCTCGATAAATCTTGGTAAGAATTCCTTTGAGAATTTCATTCCTGATCCGCCAATACATCGACTTGAATTGTGATTAGAAAAACCCGGTGGTCCTGGACTTTGGTTCCAAAACCATTTCCATGAGAAAAGGTGTCATTATCTGCAAGTTGTACTAAACACGATCTTTACGAAAGATACATCCTAAAGAGAGTTAAAGCGAGACACTGTACTGGTATTCTGTGCAACAAAGAAACGCAGGTCCCTCTTAGCTTCTTTTCAGTTAAATTCGTAATGAAACTCGCGAGTATCAAACAAAGAATTAGTAAGAAAAATTCGATTTTGAGAAAAATGCATTAAATTTCTTTTGTCTTATGATAGACTTAGTGGCAACTAAGGATTAAAGAAATCATCATAATTTATTATAATAATACTTTAATATTTATAATATTTAATATTATTTAGTAACTTAGTAACATAGTAATCTAACATTGCTTTCCTAAGATCCTAAGATCTAGCAAAAATTTAAATTTTTACTTTACTATTACTCATCTCTTAGCTTTTTAATGTCTAAAGAATAAAAAGTCGACCTTTTGCGATTTCGTAAGTAAAAATATAAAAATTTTGCACTGGTTGCGAAATATTGATGAGTTATTTACGATGTCGAATGAAGCTAAGCAAGTTCACGATCCGCGTGAGAAACGCAAATTGGCGAACGGCTCTTTCCTTCTTTCGATAAAATAAGACTTCTTCTTTTCATCTATATCTTCTACGCTGGTTTCTCCCTCTTTCTGTCTCCTCAAATAGCCAACAAATACCGATGAATGGACACTATTCGTATGTTGCTATTTTCGAACTGTTCGAATTATTTACATACCGAAAAGAAAAAAAATTGTCCAGACAAATATCAAGGTAATTGAACTGTATTTGCTTCGCGACAGTACTGAAAACTCAAGTATCTATTAAAAATTTGTTTATATCAAGTTCTAACAACAAAGAATTCTAATCCTTTCCGTCATATTTCAATTAAAAAAAATATATATATAGGTATAGATATATTATTTACTTAACTTAAATCAGAAAAATTACGTGTTTGAGGATTGATTTTTCTGATAAAGTTATCATATGACATATAACATCGATTCAATGATGCAGTTACGAGTACGCACCCAAGTAAATACGAAAAAAGGGAAGGTCTTCGGGATCTTATCATATTTTATTTGCACGTAATGTCGATATGATCACTCGCTATCTGTATGCTGTTGGAGTTTTTCGTTCGTCATCAAGTTATTAAAGAATTAAGAGTTAGGTAAGATACACCGAGTACTCTAAAAATCATGTCACATTAACTTATTAAATAATATTGACTTGTGTGGCGTATTAATAATATCTCGGACTGTTTCTTTCGTAATCGTAATAACAAAATGAAAAAAATATATTAATAGATAGAGTATTCTTAATTTCCAAATATAAAAAAATTAATTTCGTAATATAGAACAAATTTTCGATTGAATTCGGTTGAAATGGAAATTTTTCGATAGAAAAATCAACAAGTCAACGTTTCTGCATTAAAAAGATATTGCAAAATCTTAAAGAGAGAGAGAGAGAGAGAGAGAGAGAGAAAGAGAGAGAGATTTTTTCTCAAAAGAGTTAATAAATATCTCATTCACAGAATAGTGTATAATGAATTCAAGAATATCACATTTTGACAAATCAAATTTTAATCATCGAATTAAAAAATGCAAGACTAGGAAATCACGAAACATTTTTCAAACTATTCTTATTTTACGTAGATCTATGGGATTAGCACGGCATTCTTTTAATATAAAAAAATAATGACAAATCCAGCAACACTTTTCATAGTTCTATAATTCTGTATAAAAATAAAAAAGTTCCACATTTTTTGTATTAAAAAAAGAAAAATGAAAATATGATATACTAATTTTTGTTTTTTTTTTAGTACAAAAAATGTGAAATTCTTTTTTATTTATATAAGAAACTGTAAAATTATGAAAAGTGCTACTATTTTTTTTTATATTAAGAAAATGTGCTGATTTCACAAGATTCGACAATTTTTTCTCCATGCACTTCGCGGAACTTCTTCAAGAATTCACAGCACGGGGAATTAAATCGCTATAGGGTTTCACGATAATGCATATGACGTTACAGCGTCATCACGTCGAGCAAATGAATATACGTTAGGAATACTCTTAGTGAAAAGTATCAACAATTCTCTTTCGCTTGTATCTATTAGAAATTGCTACTTATCATTTACAAGTAGATTTGGCGAACAATAATTCAGAACCAAAATTGCTATTATATTCTTTGCAAATTTTATTTACAAATGACTTAAATCATTTCTTCGAAATTGCGATTTAAGTAAATTTCCGCTAATTCGTGTTTCGTTTATAATCATAAGATTATAATGATAAAAAAAAATGAACGCATTTTCATATTTTTATAAACTGATAAATAATCGATATTGCGTTTATCTACGATTAAATCTCAATATAACTTCACATATATAACTTCCTTTCTACGTAATGATTAAATTTAAAGTGCTTCGGAATTTTTAACGCAATAACGATGACATGTTTTTGCAACACAGGTGCAATATTGACTTGTTGATTTCCGCGTAATTCATTTAAAAAAGTCATTCCCAGTCACTTGCGGGACTGATAAGAGGTTTTGACGTTTCCTGCAGATTGCACAGACCCAACAGCAGGAAATTATCTGCTGTGAGGGCCTTCACTTGCATGCACCTTGTACATGTTCATCTTTTCAAACAATTGTTCGATCGTACGTTTAATAGAGCATAGTGAAAAATGCAATGCCGCATTCAACAAAGATCGTGACTTCGTAACACTTGAACGGTTATTGTTAGCCGAATGCCGTCTGTTTCATCATTAACTAATAACTTGTTGAGTAATGGTCATTCCTTCGCCGCTTCTGTATCTTATCCACAAGCATGTATGCTAACAATAAGTACAGAAGCAAATTCCTCGGAGACCAGTCCAACTTTTTACTAATTCTCTCATTAAACAATTCTACGTTTTTTTATGAAACTAACTCTTGCGATATTAACGATTTTGTGGAACTCAATTCAGAGATTGATTCTGTATGGCAATTTCAAGACTCTAGAGTTTTAATTTTATTCTAATTTAATTAAAATTGAAAAAACTATAGCATCTAAAAGATGTCTAATTTTCACTTTTTAAACAAATTGTAATTTAGTAATTAGTTTTATCGTAATGACACAAGATATTGTTCGTATTTTTATACAACAAAATATATTTAAAGTGATTTTTAGAATCAGTTCTAAATTGTACAACTGTGAATATCATTCTTATTGATAAATAGAAAATATATTACTTGTATCAATAAATATAATACGCAAGTATGAGCAGGCTATCCTAACACTCCTTTGAAAAAAAGAATTTCTGTACAGTTTTTACCACAAATTTTGTCAATAAAAATTTAATTAAGTTAATCAACTATTGCATCTTTAATATCTAAAAATAAATAAAAATTTTTACATCAATAAAATTAAAGAATATATTTATAGAAAAACAGATAACAATAGACACGATTATTTGTAATCAAGATAAAATACACTCGTTATCGAAATAGATGAACTATTAAAATTAAAAGGCTCGTCCAAAATTACCGTTATCAAAATCGATCAAATACTGAATACAAAATTGTGCAAATATAAAAGTTCTTCACACACGTAGCTACAAGAAGAACTTTCATATCCGTATTTTGGTAGCAAAGTTAAGAGACAAATGTACTACAAAGTTATTTTACTGCTTAAGATGCCTTTCAAGTTCGCATTCTTACCATGGAAATTCATGCGGCGTTTTGTAAGTACGCAAACACGTTCTGATGCATCAGATAATATGCTGTCGGCTTTGTAGTCCCTCACTGAATATGCGACAGTTTACGATCGATGCACAAAATACCTGCGGTCGAATAAAATCGTGCAATGTGTTCATGAATAAATAACGTGAATTAACGAGCCAGTACAACATTTGAGCGAGCGCAAATATTTTCGCGCATGATTAAATGTTTAAGACATTAACGGAGTAACGACATTCTACAAATACATCTCATAAAACATGAAATTTTCAACGTCTGCCTCGATGAGAAAATCGATGGTGAGATGATACAAGATATATTTTCGACTTTTGAGAAGATATCGAAATGTGTGTGTACAGTTAGAGGTACAATTGAAAAGCATAAATAATAAGAACAGGAAATAATAGACTTCATTGCCTGTCCTTTTCAATTATGTCTCAGGCTCTAAACTTGACTTAATAATAATGTAAAAAATTATTTTTCTAATTATGGTTAATTTAAACTAATGATTTATAGTGGTGATTTTAAAAGTTATTCACTACAAAACTATCAGTTTCGTGATTAATTACAGATAGAAAAATACAATTTTTACATTATCATCAGGTTAATTGTAACCATAAGTTAACCAGTAAATGAAAACCCTACAAAGTATTTGTAGAAAGATTTTACGATATAAAAAAAAAAAAAAAAACTAAAAAATAATGAGTAAATTTTGTAAAAAATGCATGTTGTGTATTCTACTTATCAGAAATTAGCGCGTTTCGCTAATGCCAGATTTCAACTAGCAATTTGTCGACAACAGTTCTTTTCAAGCAACGTAAGACAGACGTAATAATACTGACGCGAAATAACCTCATTATGCGGCACAACAAATCGATATTAAGTTACAAATCGTATTGTCGATGCGAAATATCTCGGAATTAACGAAAAATCTACTTCTAACGCCATTCTCTGTGAAATTCAAAATTAATTTTAGTGGAAATGTCAGAACGAATGAAACAACTTTTCGCAAAGCCTCGGGAAATATAAACAATAGAATGTTATGTATCTTCATTTCAATATTATGTATCACATTTGAAATAAATTCTTAAAGAGGTGACACAACTAAATTTTAATTTTAGACTCAATTCGAATATCGAATAACGCAATATAAACAAATGTAGATTGCTTTTCTTATATTTGAAAGAAAATTGAACCAAAATTTCATGAAACTGACTAAACTTTTTTTTTCTACGCCAAAAAAAAATGTACTCAATTTTCAACTTTATAAACTTTGCGAATAAATAACCATTTCTCGAATTGGACTCACTTATGGGATTTTTTTACTTCAATATTTACATGAGAAACATTTTGCTTTTTTAACTTGTACAATTGTAATGTGAAACATCTTTCTGTATTTCCATAAATCAACCGCAGGAAGTGGCAGCGAGCGCATCTCTTCGAGCTGCGTGCTCGTATTGTGAAAATTGTGCCAGTCGCAGATGAGTAAATAAACTACGCTGCAGCGTGTATATAAGCAACGAGCAGGGAAAAGAGGAGAATATACAGGCAGACGATAAAAAGATACCATTGGTACAGACAGTAACTTGATATAGCCGGCGAAACGAATCGCTCAAACCTGTCTGGACGAAGAGATTCACCGCTGTTTCCGTCGGTCAGAAACTGCAAAATTTTTCGCGACGATAAACGTTGATTCACGTTTGTTGTTTAATCTTATTCTCTCTGCTTCTATATTGTTTTTAGAATCGTGGAAAGTAAACGCTTATATAAGGCGTGCAGGATGAGAATCGAGAAGTTGCTGCAACTAAATTACTCTTTTTATAACAAGCAGACGAATGAAATAAATATACTCTTCGAAAAAATGATTATTTTCGTTAACGTATAATATTAAAAAAATAATGTACATTTGTAAAAATAAATCTTATAAAAAGAGGATTAATCTATGAGAATCATCTGATTACACGGCTCAATATGTTTTCAAAATGAATGATTATTCGAACTTGTAATCTAAGTATTTTTGAAAACTATTGTATGCACTTTTTAATGTTAGTAAATGGTATCTGTGCCTTTGAAAGAACTCCAGGTAAATTCTTTTTTTCAGGAAAATGGTTGCCTGGAGACAGTCTTTTCTGTATCATCATGTGTTGCACAATTGAATTTTCGGCCTTTTGGTCTTTTCGTATTCATAAAATGTATATTTTTCTTGCAAATAGAGATATTATGTGTTGATAAAAATAAATTTTTTCTCAGTATGATACTCATTTGTTTTATTTTACTCATTCATCCTAAAATAATGGGTATTTAATTTCAATATTCTGCGAGTTTGTGCTTTGTTTCATAATGTTGACTTAACCTTCATGAAAGTTATTGTTATTGAATTTAACTTTTAAATAAAATTCAATAACATGTTTCTGTAAGAAAATATATAGAAGTCAAGAATACATGTGTGTAAAAATTGTAAATTGATTACAGTTTAGAGACAGTTTGAGAAGGGAACTTAAATTAGATAATAGTCCCTTAGTTTTTTTTGCAAACATTGTAACTTAATTTTTTGTTGTAACAATCACAGCGTTTTTTACATAAAAGTCGTTATTAATTACATACTATTGATTGTTCTATAAATTATTGTAAATTATTAAGTAGTTGAGATCATTATGTATGTAAATTTAATATTTTTTTTAATGCAAGAAATAAAAAGAATAAACATGGATTTTCTCGATTAATAAAGAGATGAACTAAGCTTTATTTTTTTTCGCTGGGATATAAAAATCACTTCGAGTAACTATTTCTGAGTTACAGAATTGGAAAGAAATACCTAAGAATTATTTATATTTTGACTGATAGATATTTTTGATTTATCATGCCATGAAGAAACAAGGTTCTCACACATGTCGCGTCTTAAGATTCCACGGTTTGAAACTCGTCAACAAAAGTACTGAAAAGACGTACAGAAAGTTTCGTTAATTCGGAATTGAATTGAAAATGAGTTTTCTTACACGCAACATGCATTCATGGACAGGCGCACGTGTTTTCCGAGATATCCGATTTCCTAACAATGTTTGCTTTTTTAAGAACGCACGAAAATCCTATCAAGTGATTCATTCGAAGTCTTTCTCGGACGACCAAGTCGAATGAGTCGAATCGAATCATTTTTGATCAGATTGGTCTGGCAACATCGCCCTCGAGGACGTTCATTTCTGCCCATTCGCGGCGTGTTCAGGCGTGTTTCGCACCGGGTGTGGGCGAAGAATCTTTTTGCCGGGTGGCGGGTACGAGTGTCTGTCTCACCCTCTCCTTCACTCGCTCGCTTTCGCTCACCTTTCGAAAAGCGAAGAGATCCTTCTGTAGCTTCTGCCGCTCGGCCGTGGGCTGTTGGCCCTTCCCTCTGATGAACTTGAGCATCTCGATCCGCCGTTAACCCAGCTCAGCGTTGTGTGATCTTTTATCTCTCTCTTTCTTTCTCTCTCGCGCGCGCTCTCTCTCTCTCTCTCTCCCCCTTTCTCTCGCGAGCACCACGCGAGGATATAACTCGTCGCACGTCACAAGCAAGTACCGACACGCACGTTTAACCGCCGGTCGCGCGTAATTAACGCATTCTTGAATGAACGTCGCGCGCGATTACGAGTGATTACGAGATAGAAACGTCGTGTCGTTATTTACCGTCCGATCCGCCGCTATGTCGGCTATGTAAGCTATGTCGGCTATGTTCGCGATGAACGCGCGCGCCCGCGCGTTCCGATATAACACCGTCCGCGCACGTTAGTGTCCCTTGTCTCTTTCGGTATTATCCACCCGCGTCCGGCAGTTTTTCACCCCGCGCCACCGTCGCTCTACTCGCTCCTTCCTTCTCCCTCGCACGCTTGCGACACCACGACTCTCGTCACGCTCGAGAGATCGCGATGTGTCAGCCGACTCGCGTGTATATCACTGCTCGCGAATACACCTTCTTTTTGAGGGACACGCTCGATTGGGAATCGGGATCGCGGTCCAGAAGTCCAGATACGACGGGGCGGCGCCCAGGTTTCTTCGCGGAGCGCCGGAGCGAAAACGTGCGATACGCGCAACGGAACGCAGAACCATCGAAACGAAACGCACACGGCACGGCTCGGCACGGCACAGGCAACGAAGGCGTGCGCGCGCGATCACTCCACGTCGCTCGCTATCGCGTCTCTCTTAGTCTCTCTCTCTCTTTTTTTCTCTTTCTTACTCTCTCTGTTCTCACGCGCCGCCGCCGTCCGCCGTCGTTGACCGTCGTGTTTCGTCGTGTCGGCGTCGACTTTCCCACCGAGTTTCCGCCGAGTTCTTTCGATCGCCAGTGTTGCCAGATAGTTTTTGTCAAGAGTAACCGAATGGTGGCGCTCAAGTAGCTCAAAGTAGCCGGTTTTTGAAATTGAAGTAGCCCAAAGTAGCTAATCCAAGTTTTTATATCAATTTGAATGCAAAATGTTTATTTTTAAGAGTTCTTTATACATATCTTTATTCGTATGCTCGTAAATATGTATTTTATATATATATATATATATATATATAATCGATATATATGTATGTTATTGATTAATTGATTCTGCTGATTCGAGAAGAATTACTATTAAATAATTGTAATAACATAAAGTTAAATTGCTATTATTAACTGCATTGCATAAAAAAAATAGATAAATAAATTTTTTAACCTAACTTCCAAATCAACGATAAATAATAAAAAAATCATTGGTTTAATGTAACATATATGTAATTCACTTTTAAAATCTGTTTCCTTCTCTTATTTTACGGTAATATGTTTGATATATTTCCCATATTTGTCCATTTTAAATTCATAATAAAACACAGTTTTATTGAAAAGATATCAATAATCAAGCAAATCAAAAAAATATGATAACATGAATTGCGCATATCTACGTCTGAATCGAGAAACTGATAGCCATGTTCCGATAAACACTGCCAGTACTAAAAATCTATACTGTGCGTAACGTTAATTATAGATTTTTAATACTAGAAGTGTATATCGGAACACGGCCTATATGTATAATAAATGTGTATGTGTATATATGTATAAAATTGGAGCAGCCATTTTTTTGGCTCGTGAATCAAGCATGAAGTGAGCATTATTATAGAAAGTTTATCACTTTTGTAAAAAACTATTAGGGAAAAACTCTAGGTATCTGGCTCGCTAATGCTCATTTCCATCAATGTAGATCACTTTAATCTCGGTTCAACTTACTCTTCGTCTTTTTCTAATCTTTAGAACTAGAAAAAGACGAAGAATAAGTTAAACCAAGATTAAAGTTAATTTACATTGATGGAAACGGGCATAAGTATAGCTCAAAGTCACAGTATAATCATATCTAATAGTGAACGTCGGCATCTTTGATGTAAAGGGCTCCGCACAATAAAAGGAATAAGGAACAGAGAACAAAGAATAAGAATTTCAACCTATCAGAAATCATGTATTGTGGAATACACAGTTTCTGATAGGTTGAAATTCTTATTCTCTGTTCTCTGTTCCTTTTATTATACAGAATCCCTAAGTGGTCTTAGATCACATGATTCACCGCCATATTGTGAAGTATACACACACACAGTAGAGTTATGATAGGACAGGCTCTTAAATTTGAATTTCTATTAAGTTTCTAATACGTCCGCAAGTATACAAACCGATACATGCGCACTAAAAATTGCAGATCACAAAAAAGTTCACTGTCGCTACTGGATATAATTATTCTGTGTCAAAGTAGCCACATTGACTGCGTTCAGCGGACTCAACAGTTGAGTGAACGCTCGCTGCTATTAATATGTGCAACACAAATAATGGTGACACAATGGATCATTACATCCTTGTTGTTTGCCAATGTTAAACAAAGATGACATGATTACTGTGTCGCACTGTGTCGCTTGTTGGAAGGCACACAATGTATTTTTCCAGATCTAAAATTGAATTGAATGATCTAAAAGAATACACCAATAATAGCGAGCGCTCAACTGTTGATTCGCTAAGTAGTCCAATCAACTATCAGTAGCCAATTACGAAAATTTAGTAGCCACTTAGATTGCAAAACAGCCCAATCGGCTACAAGTAACTCAATCTGGCAACACTGCGCAGTGGCGGGCGCGCCCGAACGAACAATGACCTCGATTCGGCGGCCATTATCATTATTACCAACGGAGGAAATCGTTGAAACCGCTCGTCTCGACCTTCTCATCGTCGGTAGAACTCTGCTTTGACATAGCATCTCACTACGGACTACGGACCAGGTTTTACGACATCCCGATGATATCGATTTTACGTATACAAGCGACGAAAACGTGATGTATACGTCACTCTGGTAGGTAGACGCGCGCTCTTTCTTATTTCGTCACGCTTACAAATTTTTTGCCTCTGAATGCGTCAGTCGCGCCTTACATTGCGACAGACTATTACTTTCGCTCTACTGATGTATTCGTCATACGTCGAATGTTTGCATAAGACTGTCGCACGATTTTTATTCACATATTCAAGTTTGTATATGCGTCTTGTTAATCGAAATCAAATATCAACGACTTCGTCGATTCTCCCCCGATTCTCGGCTGCCATATTTTCATTTTTTTTTTTTTTTCGAAGACGAATAGCGAAAACTTTCGAAACGATTTTTGCCACAATAATATCGTGGAGCTTCGAAATAAAAAATGTGCTTCAATAGCAGCTTCAAATTTTGAATGAGCAAGAGTAAAAAGATCTAAACAAAGCGAGCCAATCGGTTGCTTCGACATTCGTATTGGATGCGCGTGCGAATGTATCGATGTGAATACATGTCAAAAACGCATGCCCGTAACCTACTCATTCCGAACATGTAACAGGACGTCACGCATTTAAGTCTCCGCGATTTCCTGCTTGACATTTACTGTGCCCAAACGGATTCTCAATATTACTATCGTGAAAAGAAGGCGGGTGATGATAAATTTTATTTTTTTTATATTAATTCGGGCTCGCAAAAATTCATAAAATTTAAATTATAGTGATTTGGATTTTTTGGTCAACATTCTAAATTTTGGCATCATCTTAGTCAGGAAGTTAATTCTCACTCTTGGGACCGGTGATACAATATTCCTTTTCAATTTCAGCTTGGCTGTTTCGTCATCTTTATTTTTGAACATTCTGAAAATAGACATTCTTCAAACAAAGAACCGAAATAACTATTAATTGATGTATTTATATATCTGCGTCCTTGACTCGTATTTACTGTTTTTTCTAATATTATAAATTTTATGTTTGTTCTTTTATATTATAGCTGTGTTACACTGAAGAAATAAAATTATATTAACAGAATTATTTTAATTGAAACTAATCTTGTTAATTCAGTAACACTTAATGAAACAAATACGTCATGCTTTTGTTTTAATAAAATTGTATATTTTTCATTAATAAAACAAATTTTAATTAAAATAATATTGATGATACAATACTGTTATTTTTTTTTCAGTGTACTAAAATATCTACATTTTTTGTTTTGAAACAATATATTTAAAATTTTTAGCAAAAATGAGAAGAAAAATTTCTAGTATATAGTCTAGGCTGCATTTCATTTGCCACTCTTGAAATCATTTAATCCATGTTTATCAAATATTAAATAAAGATAAAAGATGCTTGCGAGCACCAGATGGAACACACCTCTTGTAAGCAATAAAAAACAAATCTCTTATTGCATTTGAAACACGCGTTACACAAACAGGCTTTGAGAAGTTGGGAGGAGATTTATGATAATATGAGAATTATCAAACAAAAATATATTGCATTTTCTCACGCACATTCTATACTTAATATACAAAGTATAATCTTAAATTTGTAATTTATATAAAAATATCTAGAATTCGTTATCTATAATAATATATATATAATATTGTACCGCCTGCAGCCATATAATAAATTAATTACATATAATACAAAATTATACATATATAATATCATATACATATCACGTTGTTTATAAAAAAGGAATGTCTTATTTCAAACGACGTTCAAAATTCAGAAAAGCTGTATGTGAAGCTCAATCTTTGGAAAGAATCCTTTCTAAATATTATAATGTCTGGAATTTCTTGCTTCTTCTGATAGATATGTAAAGATGTGCCTCCATAAACTTATGTTTAGACCTTTTTCTTGATATGGTTTGTATATATTTTAGGATTGGCGAATAGAAGAAGTATAGTTGTTAATTATTTCTTCGGAAGACGTATAGCATTTCTTAATTTTGTTAGACAGTCGTCAAATGTAAATACGAAGCGACAAATATCCTAAGTATCTTATTGATATTCTCTGTAGTCTTCAAGTCGATGTTGTGTCGATTGTCGCCAGATTTATGCCAAAAGGGCGGAAATGGAGTCGGTATTACATGCAAAATGGGCACGTCTAGAAAATAGAAAATGCACTTTACAGTAGAAATATGTATAAATTGATTTTCTCATGAATAATTAACAAATATTTACTTTTTTGAAAAAAGGGAATATGATCGTCTTCGATATGTGGATCGAACGAGTACGGTTGAAAATACCTTTGTTCTGGTCTATCATATGAATATGAGTCAAATTTTCTCAAGTAAGCTAATTTCTTTTCAATATTGACAAGTAAGGAGTACCATTTCTCAGTGTTTTTGAAATAATTGTAAAAAGTCGGATCAGGTGCGCCTAGCAAATCAAGGAGGACCAATATGTCCTGTAAAAAAGTTACACAAATATTAAACAATTATAACAAGTATATGATAGTAATAAAAATATATAAATTTCAATATTTCTGAATTGACAATGTAAATACAATATATACCATTTTATCCAATTCAGAGAAATAAATTCCTTCACTGTGAGCAGTCTTGTTATTATGCCATTGTTTAGCTAAGTGTTTAGCACCATAAATCGAATCGTTTGGACCCCATTCCTCAAACGCTTCTTCTCCATCGAAGAAAATTAACATTAAGCTAACATCTTGCTGGAAAATATAAATATAAATATAAATTTTCCAAAGTTTCATACATATGAGCTGTTAATCTTGTAAAATTTCGTGTGATTCTTACTTGTTTAGTCAAATATTTACTCATGACAGTTGCCAAATTAATTAGTTGAGCGCATGGCACAGCACTATCTGTTGCTCCAACAAAATTCCTCTCTCTCGTATACTTGGAATCAAAATGGCAAGCCAGTGTCAGGTATCTTCTTGCATTAGGATTTAATTTTGCTATTATATTTTCAAACTTCAGTTCGCCGAATACAGGCGTGCGAGCTTGGAATACATCTGATTCGATCGTCCAACCCAGATCTTTCATCGACCTCTTGATATACTGAAAAAGAAATATATGTTTTTGCTGATTCTGTTAAAATAGATGATACTCTGACATTGAAACATTACATAGACATTTATCATCGTGTTTTTTTCAAATAGAATTTCTCACACGATATTTATCAATGATGATCATAAAATAATCATCATATAAATGATATTCAATTCTCACTTTAATTTTCACTTATAGCAATTATTCAAACATATAAGTTTATAAACAAAATGTAAGCTTATATTAATTTTTTAAATATAAGTAGTAAAATATTTAGCTATTAAGTCTTTCTCTCAGCTATTTTTAATTTAAAATATTCACATATTTGTAAAACTTGTCACGTTTTTATAATTCAAAATTTTTTACGTATTACTCCACGGTCGAGATGTCTCGTAAAAAATGCGAAGGAGTTAACATTCTTTTAAGAATTTCGCGGAAATTGAAAATTTTCACTCACGCAGCTTCTCCCCATTAACTTCTTACCTCCTTCACTCTCTCATGTTCGGTAGTTCCTACGATTCTCACTATACATATGTTATCCAAAACCTCGTTCATATGAGTAATATTCGTGAGATCGGACAACGTGGCAACCTGTTCGTTCGTCAGCGAGCTGGGAACGTGATGGTACTGAAAATTAATAATAATAATAATGACTTAAAAATTGTGTTAGCCAAATGTAGAGCGTGACAATTGATGACAATGGAGAAAAAGAAAGAAAGAAAGAAAGAGAGAGAGAGAGAGAGAGAGAGAGAGAGAGGACAGAATGAAATAGAATGGTATGATGCGCGATGAACACAACCGAGATCTTCCTTCGTGAAGAAGATGAAAGTGCAATAAAGGAAGATGCAGCGTTCATTTACGCATTACATACTTTCTCCCTTGTAAAGGGTACTCTGTTCCTCGGGCCATCTCTCTCGGCCGCATGCGATAACGTAACGACAGTCAGGAAGAAGATGCATAGCGCTAACATATCCGTTCTCCGTAGCAGCCACGCGTCAACTAAGAGCAACCAAGAGCGCAACGCGATGTAAAAAAGACGACAGCTCTTTTCCTCGCGGCCAAGCAAATTCTGTACTTTCTCTCTGTATTTTTTCTCTCTTTCTCGCACCGACGATTTGCCATACCTGTCTCACTTCGACAAGGAATAATATTGCGAAGATGCTTTGCGGATGCGCAGTCCAATGTCGATGAAGGTCCCATGTCGAGAATACTTGAGAGAAACACTGATTCAAACAGTACAGCTGCTAACATCGCGTTGCGTTCGATAGAAGTATAATAAGTAGTTTGTGCTGCACTGCCGACGGTGCTGAAGATTTTGCTGAACAATTTTTTCTAGCATCGAAATTCTGAATGTAAAGAATTGTGCTTTAAATTTGAAGTATATCTGTTGCATGAGAACGACAAAATACCTTGGATTATATGATATTGATTTCTCTTATAATCAAACACAAAAGATAAGGTGTTTAGCTGACAAGTTAGGTAATAAAGTTAAATTAAAAAAAAATGTAATTTTACCAACAATTTTGGATCACTTATGAATATTTAATATTCATCTTTTTCTATAATTACAAATTTCATTTTTATATATAGACTTTCAACTTTAGAATCAAATTTTTAATTGAGTTTCCATCCTTATATGCAATAAAAAAAAGAGAGAAAGAGAGAGAGAGAGAGTTTGTAAATTAAATTATATGATCTTTAAATGAAACGCATTATGATTGCATATGGAAATTTCCATCAATTTTTAATTGTTGTAATTAAATCAATGAAACCGACTGTTGGTCAAGTAACAATCTCTACAAAATGTGCTTAGTTTTCATGCATGTACATAGCCTGATATATACTTTTAACTGTGTTCATAAATCAAGGTTTTCATAAATCAATTGATGATTTTTCGTGATGATTTTGAGTTCAACAATTTGACATGTTTTAAAAATTAAATATTGCTTTATATTTTGTGATATTTTTTTCTGATTTAAAGTCTTAACTATTATTATTACGTTGCAACACATTAAAATTAATTCAAGAGTAAATTTCCTGCACGTAAATTTCCCTTTTATAAAATACACAATTTATAACTGGATTATAGCATATAATTACAATATGTAATACAATATTTCGTAATAATGCGAGAATTAAGATTGTTTGAAATAAAGGACAATGGAGGATACCAGATATGGATACCAGATATGAATACCAATTTGATATAAACTCCGTTATTTATTCTATTATTTAAGATCTTATAAATTTTCGCTAGTTTTACTTTTTATTTTAATCTTCTTATACTTGCGTTTTTTTATTTCTAAATCTTACTTAGCTTTATCACGTAATTACATATATTTAATTTAGTTATACTTCAAATTCTTCATATCTTTATAATATATAATCAATGTTGCATAATTTATATTCTCTTTTACAAAATATTGCTGTTGCTCACTTATAAGTAGCTAATAAAAAGCTATAAGGAGCTAATAAAAAATAAACTACTACGAGAGATAAATTAAAAGAGAAAGTATATATAGAGAGAGAGAGAGAGAGAGAGAGAGAGAGAGAGAGAGAGAGAGAGAGAGTGTGTGTGTGTGTGTGTGTGTGTGTGTGTGCGTGCGCGCGTATGTGAAGCAATCTGTATTTCAATTTTGTTTATTTGCTAAAAAAAAAATATATATATATAAAATAATTGTAATATTTTTCTTTACTTCCTAAACATCTTACATAGAAGTATCGATGTAATGAACCTTACAAAAATCAACATTATCAAAGAGCTATGTATTAGACGAACTTTGCGAATTGTTATCGCGTAACGATCCTAGTAGCACCATATATTACATAAACATTTATATTTTACGTTACGTAGATTGTATACGCCCGAGAAAATAGTTTTAACATTTTCAAATTGAATTTTTAATTTATTTAATCAAATTTCGCATCGTGCACGCACATCAACGGCTGGAACGATAGATTTTTATTGGAAGTACAATTAATATAAAGTGACCTGACCTATAATTTTCCTTCAAATCACTTATATTCTAATTACGTATGTCGATACTTTCAACTTAAATCTGTTGTTCCGAATTGGATTCGAAAGTGTTAAAACCAAGTTCGCGGTGCGAAAACAAATATTCTCGCGAAATCGCGATATTTATTTTTAGAGTCAGGATATTTATTTAATATTTGGTACTACCAAGGAGATGAGAGCGTTATGTCATTTTTCGCTTCGCTCGCTCGACAGTCCTCTTCTCGAAAGAGAAACTTGAGTTTCGATCGCGTTAAATAAATAATAATAAACGCGCGACGCCCATCGACGCGAGCCAAGCTTCTCGGATCTAAATTCAATCAACGTATGGTCGATCGAATCAATTACAAGACTCGTGACTGTTTTTACCGAGTTTCATCGAGGCGAGTAACGTCCATTAAATCCGGTGATCGCCCGATTGCATTTTCTGTCAGGCCTTCTCTTTTTGCCAGGGACCGTTACCATGATGAATGAATCACCCATGTAACGCTCGTTAATGGGAATGCGAGAAAGCTCGGTGAAACCGATCGGAGTCCGATGGAAACGATGTACGATGGGAACGCGTATCTCCCTTGCGATAAGCACACATGGGAAAGATGCGTGAGGGATGATTGATATCTTACTTATCGAACTGGAAAAATACAAAGTAATCTCGCTTCTAAAGTGTAATATACGCGTATTTTTTGAGCAACCGTCTCGCGCAAGTCGAGCTTCCCGAACAACGCGAACGTCCAAAAGATGCAGTAAAAAAAAGTCCAAAGGGAATCCCTCATTTTTCAGATTCCTTTTGGACTTCTCTCGGACATCTTTCGGATTTTCGTATTGCCTGGAATTTTTGCTTCTGGTCGGATGGAGTCAAACGATCGGTCTATCGCGGGAAGAAAAGAGCTATATTTTGGGGATCTCGTGGCGTTTTTACATTTCGCGTAATATCCGAAGCCACGAATTTTAAAATGAAATTCAATTTACGTTCGAGATCGACGCGATCGCTTCAGATCGATAGATCCTTTGCATCACGGAGCGCGATCACGGATCGACTTTGACGAGTTTCTCAGATTTCGTGTTTATTTTTGGTCCTCGTTCTGCTAAGTGATGCGAATTTTCGATGTTAGCGACGAGCACTGATGTGCTCGGGATACTTTCTTTCCATCGATGCCGATCGGCCGAGTTCCTTCAGTAATTGTAAGGCCCGTATTGGGAACCGTGATAATACGGTCCTGGATACGCCGCCGGTGCCGGATATCCGGCATACGCGTACTGCTGCTTCTGCGGGTACACTGGAAAATTAAAAAGATGATTAGATTTGAGCTGGCTTTTCTGCTAAAGGAAAATGTGCGATAAATGAGGCAACTAATTCTTAAAATTATAATATGGTCTAAACTCTGTTAAGATTAGTTTTATGGAAGTCTAAAGATGAAATATGTATATAAGGGGAACAAATGTTCACTACTTTTAAATAATACTAAATAAAGCGATGATTTGAATTTACTCTTTTACTTCGCAAACTATAAAGTGTATGGTATGTAGGTCATATGAGTATGGTATGTAATCATTAACAATATGTGCTTAACACATTGAATGCCGGTTCTAATTTGCTTGTCTCTCCGTCGATGCCAGAGGAATAATTTTCTTGAGGAGATAATTTTCTTATTTTATATTTTCTCTTTTACATTTATTTTAATTGTCTTCACCACATCTTTGAATAATTCATTAACCGAAAAATGCATTTATTCTAAATTTCTGAGCAGCCGACTTGTAGAAAAATTTTATCGTTGTAAAATGAGACATTTGTTTCTTTGTTCTACATGAATTCTGACACCAGTCAACGTATGGAACTGAATGCGCAAACACGGAAATTCTTTCACAACAAGAGGTCGATGGGTGTCGACGGAATGGAAAATTAGGCAAGTGTGTCGCTTTCGAGCATCTACTTCTAGATATCACTGTTTTTCCGTTCTTTTATTCAAAGAAAAAAACAATTATCTCACATGAACGTTTATTTTCGCGTGCTGTTTTCTAAAATTACTTGTAACATCGGACGATGAAGACTACATTACAGAGACTGCATCCAAATAAGTATCGTATTTTGCATAAAGGAAGTGATATGAAAAAGTTAAAAAATTTGTTATTTATTTTTTAAATAAAGTTCATGAAAAAGCAAAAAATTTCGAAACTTCTCACACACGCTAGATAATATAATTAATTACAATATTTTTGTTATTACGAAGAATATATTTATGTAATCTTATAAAAAATTCTTATCAATAAATCGATATCAATAAATGGATCTTTTTGATTGTAACTAATAGAGAAATACTCTTATTAGAAGAAATTTTTACAGTATAAATTATCTAACGGGAGGAAAAATATAATAGTGAAAACACAAATCACATCATGATTCGGTGTTGCGTTTTCATCGTAAAAATTTCGAAATGCATTTTTACGATGGTATGCAAGTCCATTCTATAATCTAGTCGATCATCCGGAGGAGAACTAGAAAGTTTCCTTCAGGATTAGAGCGTGACAGTACTCCGATCCGTAGCGGAAACAGAGCGTGAGGCTAACAAGTAAAAGTCTCGCGAGAATGAATATTGGTTCACGCGATATCAGTGCAATTTGATAATCGACCTGTCTAAATCCGCGTCAGATCAGAGTTGATCTCAATCGCTTTCGAATTATTATCCTCAATAATCACTTATTAACGAAATATAATTGTGCGTGATTATGAATGGCATTTATTACTTTTCAAAAGTACTTATTCATTTTTAATCTAGTTTTAATAAAAATCGTGAAAATATTAATAGAGGCATTTAAGTATTCAGTCATTTTCTACGCGGCTTCGCTCCTCCGATCAATTTAAAGAAGCTGAGAAAATTGTATAAAAAACGAAATTAAAAATCTTTCCATGCAATTTGCTGCAATTTTAAATTAATATTCATCGAACCAATTTTGCGTGATCTCATTTTTCGCATTTGCAAATTCGCAGCGAAAATGTTTTCATAACATTTCACCGGACTCTCTCATTGGTACAATTAACATTACATTACTCGAACGATATATAAACAGAAAAAGAGAGAGGGATTTTTTTATATACAAGGCATTATTGGGACCAAGTCTTTCGATTTGTGTTATGATTAAACAAGCAATTAGATTAATCTCATCTATATCGTCATTCAATTAGTCCACAAAATTTTTTCAACTTTGAATATATATATATATATATATATATATTACAACCGTTTACTAAAATATGTATATTCTCAATAATGGATAAGCTAAATCCTGAAATAAAAGGTTACAAATATTTATAGATAACAGTACTTATAAAATAATATGCTTGATCGTGCTAACGATAATTATTATGCGTTAATACGGAAGCGCTTGAGATAAACCGTAAAATACGTTATTGTATATTTACAAAAAGTAAGTAAAACTAGGGAAACCGTTTAATGACATCGTTTGCTTCCGTGTTGACGCTTCTCATTCGAGTGAATCCAGTTAGTATAATGACGAGGTGATCGTTACCCTCGTATCAAGGAACCTTGCTTCGTGTTCCTTGTAAGCCCGATGATTGTAAACTAAAGTTAGTAAAACACCCGATGCACGTGGAATCCGACGCGTGGTATTCCAAGCGATTTCTTCTTAGGAAGATTAGCCTCTATTACAAGATTAGCTTCAATTACAATCATAAAAATATATGAAGAACAATCTCAATGTTTTATCATATGTTTTAAATAATATCGTTGATTATTAGCTTCTATTTGAAATTAAGATAAAAATTATCAATTTAAGAAATCTTTCTTATAGTCTTTACGTATTATAATTTACTGATTATATATATATATATGTTATCTTATTAATGTAATATAACAGAGATTAGATCCAAAATTCTTAGATCACTTTTACTCAATTTTACTAAATTTTAAAAATAAATTGTTAATAATTTTTTTAAAAATCTCAACTTTCTATTGAAAATGAAGATCTTCTCCAAGAGTATCGCCGGATAATAGCACGCCAGTCGGATATTACCACGTGCCCTTATAAGTCGGCAAAAGCAATAGGTGTTAAATATGTACCAGGCATGAGGTACTGCATGTTCATCGCCTCCTCGCGCATTCTCTCGCCCCTCAAGCAAATCGCCGCGGCGCTAAACAAGATCGCGCTGACCAACGACCAACCGACGCCGACCCAAGCGACCACGTACGACCAGTCGTACGAGATTAGCGAGTTGTCTTTCAGGACCTAGACAGTTTTGCCCCCATGTGCCGTGCCGTGCCGTGCCGCGTCGGGCGTATATAACAAACAAAAAGAAAAAATACGGGACGAGTTAGTTTGGCCGTTTCATGGTTATCGTGTCACCTGGCATGATGTACTGAACGTTCTGGGCCTGCTCGCGAGCACGCTCCCTTCTTAGGCAGGATGCTGCGATCAGGAATAGCGTCATTGTGCCCAGACACGTAGCTACCCCCAGCCAGGCGAGGTAAAACGACCAGTCGTACCATTGCGCCGTATTGTCCCTTAAAACCTGTGGGCAAAATTTCATCAAAATCTGCTGCGTACGATTACATCTGTCACCTTGGTCACGTGGAAATTCTTGGTTCGATCAGATGCCTGGAAGAATCTTTCTCTGATGGGAGATAAGCGAAATTTATCTCTGTATCTCCATTGCATTTATTGTGATTACTGTGTTCTACAAGATTAACTAGCAATCCACTTCAATTGCACCACAGGGAATTTTTTTGGTTCTTTATACAAGAAAATGTGCTCGACAGTGAGTGATTTCATTAAAAAAATTATAATATTGTATTTGAAAAAATTTTTATGTATTTTGCTTAATTGATCAATTGCAGATGACATTTAGATATTCATGCGTATATAAATAATTTAGATGACTTATAAAGATGAAATGAAAGCTGAGGCAATTTCAGTTAATATTCTATTAACATATAGATTCCTAGTCTTTTGGTGCGATTGACATAATAATTAACAACAATTTTTAACATTTTATAGAGCATTTCGATATTATATTACTAAAAAAAGAAGTGTTTAATTTTAAAATATTAAAACGTTTTATTCTTATCTCTGTTTTTTAAATACTTAAAGATGTTTTAGTTTTAAATTTTTTCAATAAACAAAACACTATGTGTTTCGATTTAAAACGTTAAAAATTGAAATATCTTATTATTCAACATTTAGTTTCGAAAGAAAATAAAATTACTTGGAGTACTTACGTTGCTCCATTGCTGATAATATTCCTCTCCGACGATTTTTTCTTTTTCATAATACTCGACGCCATGCCAGAGGCCCATACCACCAGCACTCAGTAGACCTGCACAATATAAATAGATATATTCTAGTAATATCATATTATATATACGTATAAAAAGTTTTCTGAATTTTAGACATGCTCGCGAATTTACGATTCAATCTTTTCAAACGATCGCTGTCTATAAATTTTATTTGCGAATTTTGATTCGAAATACCGTATCGTTTCCAATAAAACATGTTCACTTTCTTCATATAACAATCTCATGCAATACTCGAAAGTATCCGTTTATAAATATTTAATTCCGAAAAACAACAAAAGAGAACGTTGGGTAAACTCTGAAAAAACATCTTGGGAAGTATACTGACAGGCGAATAACATTAGAATTGCTGTAGCCGTGATGTTCCCTGCTGATCTTCTCCAGCAGCCCACTACTCCTGTCCAGAATGCCGAAAATATCGCAAGAAAGGCGACCATGAATAGAGCTATCACGGATCTCCCCATATCTGCGATAATGATAAAAAATTTTAACGTGCAGTTACGTCACTCGTGCATGCATTGCGATAAAAGAATTACGTCTTCTGTTTCTATATTAATGAAAAATTTATGAAGTTTGATGAAATGAATGTTTTTATGTTTTTATATATGTGTTGTGTGTGTTTTTCCTCCAAGTGTATCGTTCATACGTTGCCAAGTCAATCGTTAGTAAACTTTCCATTCCCGCATAGCAATGTGAATTTTAAAATGTCTGTAATATTATTTATATCCAATATTATTTATATCATAATGTTTGTTTCTGTTAATATAGATTAACATTAATCTCGGTTCAATTTACTCTTCATCTTTTTCTAATTCTTAGAACTGAAAAAAAATGAAGAAATATAAATTGAATCAAGATTAAAGTTTATCTGCATTAGAAACGGGGGGATAAGAGATATTAGGAAGTTTTTGCAACAATGTCGTCTAGATACGGTGAATGCTAGTTACATTTATCCTTTTCTTAATTAATTATTAAGAAGAAGATAATCTGACCTTAGTGTTCATCGTATCTGGATACACGGTATTGCAAAAACTCCCTAATGTCTCACATAGGATTAATTTTTACAATGTCGCCTTTTAATATATGTAATATACATAAATGTATGAAATATTCATACATATACAGAGTGTAACTGAAATAACGCCCATTAATCATATAGTGTTATTCCTAATAAAAAACTGAGACAAAAAGTCCTCTATCATTTTGCAATTTTCGCATTATTTTTTTCAGTTACCCAATGAATAAAATGTCTAAAATCGACGTATAAGACAGCTTTAAGATATTTTTAAGAGTTTTTTAAGAAAAATCTTCAAAATATTTCATAAAGAACACGGAAAGATATCTTAAAATTGTCTTATATTTATCGATTTTATTTATTTATTTGGCAATATTTGGAAATTAATATCTCGTTAACTATTGCGAAAATTGCAAAATGATAGAGGACTTTTCGACTCAGTTTTTTATTAGGAATAATATTGATTGAGTGGGCGTTATTTCAGTTACACCCTGTATATTAGGTGTACAAATTAATTCGGTGCCTTTATCGATGACTTTATTTATCGAGTCAAAACGCCAAGTTTCTTCCGCGAAGGTATTCATCAGTTGCCCGAAAGGTGTAAAGTCATCAAAAACAATGGAGAGATTATTTCGAATATTAAGTGTGTACTTATCCTTAGTGTGAGTAACTTTGAATTATGAAAAAAAAGGCAAATTAATTTGTACATCTAATAAATTAAATACACTACATAGAAATTTGATATTTTAATTTTTTTTACATTCAAGGTAAACTTAAAATTGTCAATTATAATATACACCAAGTATATTAATAAAATTGATCGCGCTATACTTACGTAATCGTGTCATGGCATCGTCAGAGAAGCCTCTGGTTTGGTTTTCTTCATCGGGAATGAAATAATCAATATTCATGCAATGTGTCTCCACGGGGCTCAGATAAGTTTCGACTGTAATAAAAAAAAAACAATGATCATGATCGAATATAAAAATGATATGAACGCACGTTACAACGCACGTTACTATAAAATTATATTGTAAGTCATGAACATAGTTTTTTATTTACTTGAAATTACATTATTTTTCTACAATAGCAAAAAAAACTTGTGCTCCTCATTTTTGTTTGCGAAAATTTATTAATATCACTTAAAAAATATTTTCTCCTCAAAACATTATGAGTTCGCAAATTGCCTTTAACAATTATGAGAAGTAAGAAATGTTTCACCAAGTGGTGCGCGCATATTATACTCTACACTTAATTGGCTAATCATCACCGACGTTCTCATTTCACCAACCGCACAGACACGTGAATCAACGTTCATCTAACGGATGATTACGACATCCAGAATCGAGACGCATTCTAAGCGAGATAAATGCGGAATTCTAGTGAACCGCGAAATGACATTTACATTACACTTGTGAAGATATTACATTAAAGATCCACTTCGTTCAAGAACGAAATATGATTTATTATAATTTGTTACTAAATCAGAATAAAAAAAAGAATAAATAAGAATTAAAAAAAAAAATGAATTGGAATGAAGGAATTTCACATAAGATATTTTTCTAGTCAGAGCCTGAGAATTTGCAGATATTTTCATTTTATCAACTTCTTTTGGAAATATGTACATTTTGGAGATTCTAAGGATAGGATATTTATATGTATACAATACAGAATATCTTAAAAATCTTTCATTGTGATTTCCTATAGATATGTATATAATGAACGACTAAGTGCTGATCGTTACATCCGTTTATTCTCCGGTTGCAAGCGGAGGAGGCGCGAGGAGGCGCGAGGGATCCTTGAAGGTGCATTTATTAGATATCCTCAGGGGATCATGTTCCATGGGGAATTTACTACTGGGATTTATCAGTGTTTCATGATCCCACAGCCCCGGCAGCGTCAACGAGCGTGCGTCTCGAGAAGCATGCGACCCAGAATGCAGCGCTATCACCGGGCGCGAAGTGTGCGGTATGTCTTTACCTGTATACCCTGCAGGAGGGGACTTGCGCTTGGTCTTTCGGCTCTTCGGCTCTTTTACAACGGTACTCCTTCAATGAATCCTAATCCATGAAACCCCACCTCAGCACGTAGGAAAAAGTTGTAAAGCGACCGCGCTTTCGCGATTCCTTTTCCTGGTGAACGTCCTCTTTGATAAACCGAGACAATCGAAATTATTGCGTTCAACAGAAAAGGCCTTACTGTTGTGAAATTTTTTAATATGATTGATTTTGTCCTTAATTCCTCTCATTGAATCTAAATATATACATCTAAATATATGTAAAATTGTATAGGTGCAAAGATACTTTTTCTACTGAATGTGTATAAGACATTGATAATTGTCCATCAAAAGCAGTGTCCTCAAAAAGCCCTCGTGAACTTTTGATTAATTAGATCAGTGTCTTTAATGAGATTCAAGGAGGAATTTTTTAGCGAGAACATATTCGAACGAAATTTTGCTCGAGGATTTGAAATTAAAGTTTTGCACTAATTTCGAGATAAATAATATTTTTTCCTTTGGATATTGTGTATTTTATTTTTCAATTGTAGATTCAATTCTCCTTCGATAGTTGATTGCTGTTTTTTGTTTCATTCTTTAGTTGTGATTGAGTGAAAGTCTTCCGTTGAAAAGAACTGTTGGAAGTAACAAACGGAACTAATTTCAGTTTTTTTTTTTTTTTAATTATTACGATTTCGCTCAAATTTTTCAGACAGTCAACTGACAGTCAACGTTCCGTTATTTATTTTCGCGAAAAATCCTGTGTTCTCAAAAAGAACTCCAGAATTATTAATATATCTTGATATCCTCATTAATGAAAATTATATTTAAATTCTATAATAAGGATATTACACTTTTTTTTTTCATTCAAGTTTTATACATACAATATATATAGCGAGAATCATTCGATCAATTTGACACGCAAAATTCCGTTATCGTTGGACCGGAAGTGAATTTTTCCGGAGGTAGGTATAACTTCATGATCAACCTCCTCAAGGAAACGTACCGTTCGAAATATTTAAGATTCAGGCGACGGACGTTTCCTCGACTCTTTTTGAATCTAGTTTCGCCTAAACGAAATAAGGCGCCATGCCAAGATCGTTGACTCGCGCCTAACTGTACACGCGCTACACTCCTCGCCATTCCGGAAGAGGAATCGTCGGCGACGGTGGCGATGCCGAGCGACCGCGGTCGGCGAGCCCTCGTACTTTTCATCGCGCATCGCGCATCGTCGCGTGATACGAGCGATACCGGCAGGTAGATAAAAGAAACCGGTCGTTGACTGGTTTCTTCGGATTTTTCACGTGTGCATTCGCAATCACACATGGTGACCTCGATTTTCGGCGCTGACCGACGCGACAACGGTATACAAGAGCGTGATGCAAAGTCATCCATAAAAATCCCACGTAATGTGAAATATTATCCAGTAGAGATTATCCAGTTGAGCAGACATGTCCCCAAGAATAAAAAGGATATCTTAAAGTTTGAATGTGATACGTACATAAGGAATTACAGGGGGGGGAGGGGGAGGGGAGTAGCAGTAGCAGTAGCAGTAGCAGTAGCAGAGAGCAGAGAGCAGTAGCAGTAGCAGTAGCAGTAGCAGGAGCGGGGGGGGAGGGGGAGGGGAGGGGGCGATAAAATATATTTCTATATAAAATATAGAACGTGTTAAAATATCAAAGGATATATTTAATACGAAAAAATTCGATTTTTAAAGTTAAATTTTGTAATTCCTCACTTAATATTATTCACAAAATCAACTGCACGTTTGTTTTGGTTTCTTCCCACTGCAAAGGTCAAACACAAATCACGCGACCCTAATAAATCGAAGCTGCCGGAAACAGATCGCCGGAAGAAAACGGCGTGCCGAAACCGATAAGGTCGTCCCCGGCGAATACCTCGGTCGACGAACGGTACCGCGATATACGAGTGATGCATTGATCATTTTGATTGTTTTCCAGCCAAGCGACGAGAACAAACACGAAGGAACCTTTTATGCGTCTGGCAATTTCTTCGTTCTTCGGACAGACCATTGCGGATCGAACGACCGATAGAATCGATTCTCACCGATCCAGCCTTGATACACTCGCCTTTCTTCGCCGTTTATTCTGATCCCACGATACCTGCCGAACAGGTACATTTACCGGCGCGGCGAGAGCGTATTTTCGTTCGTGAACCCGGTGAGAAAGCATTGTCTCCGCCACCTTCAACATCCGCTTTGTCGGAACGCTCACATTTTATCCAAATCAAATCGTCTAGTTTAATCGCTAACCCTGGTGTCGTTTACCGTGACTATTCCGAGATCTACAGAAGTTTCTGTCTCTTTCTCTCGAAGACAGACACAGGTGTTATGTAGGATAACGAGGGAGATTACATTCATGTTGTCCAACTAATGAAGACGAGGCGACTTGTCACTTTACCGCTACACCGTTGTGTATAAGAAAGTAACTGATCGTTGCAGTCTTGACATCCTGACCGTCGGGATTTTGGGACAGCAATTTCACCTGTCCGCAATTTTTAGCAGAGAAGTTTTGCGCACGTAAGGCTTTGGAAGGAAGCCTTATCTCTTGCGATATTTTGCGAAGTCACGCGAAAGAAGTTTATCCCAATAAAATATAACTAAATGTGTATTATAGAAATATATTTTAATGACCATTATGATTGATATTTACAAAGTGGCGCACGAAATGACATACCATTTGACATACCATTTACGTATAATTAATAATACATTTATTTTTAACAAAATTCACACTTAACAGAATTTCTACGAAATACAGAAATTGTGTTCCAAAATTCACTGTTATTGCTGAAAACTTACAGTGTACGTAATGCTTGGTCCACAACTCTACTTTAAGAGACCTTAAGTTATAAGTTGAAAGAGATTAAGATCCAGTTCCACAACTCACAGTTAACTCTTAACTGAGGTTCAACTTATTCATTACCTCTTTCTAATTCTAGAATTGGAAAGAGATGAGAAACAAGTTAAACCTCGGTTAAGAATTAACTGTGAACTGTGGAACTGGATCTAAGTGACAATAATTTCTATCTTTAAACTGTTTAAAAGCATAAATTCTGTGATCGATCGTCACTTACAACTTAGAGCTTACGACTTACGGCCTCTTAAAGCAAGATTATGACTTACGTAAATTATAATTTTCATTAGCAGTGAATGTTAAAACAGCTAGAATTTGCTCTTACACAATTTAAAAACCGATACTCCACGAATATAGTTTTAATGAAATAATAAAAATAGTACGACATTTTATATGCCACTTTGTATTAATTTTCATTTTACAAGTTTTATTCAAGCGCATCTAATCTCAATGACTACTTTATTCCATTTTTTGATCAATCCTATCTAGAGAAATCTCGATCGTAACATGTGACATCGACACACTTTCCTCGCGTTCACCTCAGAATTTTACTGAACACTAAGCATCGCTTCTTCCCTACGATGATTCGCTATTGTGCGAACAACAATAGATTTTATGAGCTCCCTAATATATGCTCGCATCTACACGGCTAGCCATAAAGTACGTTTTCACTTCGTAGCGCACAACGCGTTTTCCCTTCCCGTTCGAAGAATGCGCAACCTGAAACTTCCGGAAGAACTGGAATCACCTGTACCGCGACTTGTATGAAAAGTATACTCGCACGTGTATCTTTCTCCTTTTTTTTTCTTCTTCTTTTAATCTCTGGGTCGCCATGTTGAGAATCGAAACGTGACTTCACTCGCTCGACGTTTTCGAAAATCTAATCCGAAATCTCGATTTCGCGGATAATTGTATGCTTTATCAGACTGTTCAATGTAATACAAAAAGAGATTTCAAAAGTTAATTCTAGAATATGTGTGGCTCTAAAAATAGACATTATCTAAGACGACTTGTACTAACTTGTAACTTCTGGAACTGAAGAGCAAAGTGTGCTGTTTTGCATTCATGATTGTATATTCTTCTTTTATTAGAGTATAATCTAAAATTAGGTCTTATTACGTTACATCTTCTACTTTACATTCCTTGCATAACACGACACGTAGACACAGAAGACCATTTACATATTTATTATATGATATTTTTGTCGTTTAATGAAACCGATCTGCGATTGCAGCACAATTCGATCGTATGCAATGCACGTCCTCGCGACGCTGATGCTTGCATAGTAATTTCAGATTATTATTACGTCATGGAATGAACATTGCATGATCATCGAGATAAAAGTCGATTCGTATGGCGTAAAAAAATTTTTCATCGTGTATATTGATACATTATTCTAATCCACTTTTAGAATTCTCGTATTTAGAATGTATATGCATTCCAGAAAACGCGATAGATTTTTAATCTGAAACATTACTTATATATTATATCAATTATAGAGAGAAACTTTAGGATTAAAATTGATTTTTCCAATACCAATTTATTTTAATTGTTAGTTTAATTGTCTTTCTTTACTTAGAGACAAAATTTATTTAATAAAAGAACGATTAAATTTAATAATTATCGAAGGAACTGATTAGACCAACCAATTTGATCGGACAGCCTTAATATCTTAATTTATACTTTGTGACCTAGATTTGTATCAAAATTCATTTAATCGGCACATATTTCCTGAATGAAACGATGAACATCAGAGTCATTATATGAGATTATGATTATAATCGGGTTAATTACCTTGATTACGGATTTAATTACATTCTCTGTTAATTTCAAATTATGTATCATCGCGTTTTATTACGTATAACTGCGTTTATGTATCATTGCAGTTACGTCTCATTCTTAATTGGTTTAATTATCTACAAAGACAAACATTGTCGAGTTCCTTCGTTTATTATCTTAAAAGTACGTGATACCTCGCTGAACATTTCTGTACGACATATAAATACCATGCGTCATTACCGTAGAAAGTTTCTAATTGGAAAGGCGTTCCAAGCCATAGAGCGTTATACACGATGCGAAGTTACGCACGGGGAGTAAGATTTGATCACATCCTTGTGCGTAACATGCGTGCTTTTATTCCGGGTTTAAATACCTTAAATGTTGGATTCAAGGCAAGACTCTAATTTAATGGTATCTTCTTTTTAAAATCGACGCTACTCTACCATGTCCTTTCTCTTATAACTTATACTTTAAAGTATTTAAACTTTTATCTTATATAAACTTTAAGAATTAGTCTCTATATTTTAGGAAAAGAGATTTTTTTTTAAAATACTACAAAAATAAATTTGCATTTATATCCGGCAAAATTTTTCGAGGAAACTTTATCCTCTTTGCTCACAATCAACCGAAGCTTACACGCAGCTTGTGTTTCCAAAGCATTAACGCGAGCGATTGGCCGATCGATTGGCACGTCGGCTGTTTCGCAACAACTGTGATCGCAACGGTCCACTTACGATGTGCGCTCTGAAAGAAAAAAGATCACCAGAGTCCTCGAATCCGGCAAGTCTTATCGTTTATTAAATAATTGAAGACAAGGATTCTCGCGGTCGATACCAATGTAAAAACTTCGCGCAATTTGATTCGAAGGTAGAATTTCCGTATTTCCGTTATTACTTCCTTCGAAATAGTGTCTGAAAAACCGCGGTGATCGTTTACACGATCATTTTTATTGATTTGTTGAAAAACAAAATAAAACAGCTAGCAGATATACCTGATGCGTTACTTCGTGGCGAATCGACTTTATTTTATGTGTTTCTGTTCATCATAAGTTCATTCGATAATTTTACGTACAATTTATAAAATAATTTAATCCCTTTGATTTTTTTTTACAGTTAAGATAAATAAATTTTTTTAATATTTCGCCAAATTAGGAATTTGTTTAAGAGTTTCCACTATAGGATTTTATTGCTTACAGAAATCTAATACTGACCAATTTATTACTGAAAGACTATAATAAATTACTACTAATTTGGAGTACTAAAAGCACTGAACAACAATGCTTTTAATATTTAAAATAAATAACTTACTAATAAATTGTCTTTTTAGTATTAAACTGATCAGTATTAGATTTTTGTAAGGATTTAACTTGAAAGCAAGCGAATGCTTTAAGCCTATTCTACAATGTGCTTTTTGTTTCCTGTTTTTTTTTCTCCTTTGCAACCATTTTATCGACAATTGTATTTCTTGCTATATATTTCTTGTTTCTTTCGAAGTTCGTTAACTTTTATCTCGAGCGATATAAAACAAAAAACCAGATAAAAAGCAAAAAAACAAGATGTAAATAACAAAAAGCAAGAAACAGGGAACAAAAAACACACAGACTTTAATATCTGTATTTTTTTCTTAGGTAATTGGATCTCAATAAACAAGAAAGAAAGCGTTGGTATTTTATGATCCATTGCGTTGATATTTTTCATATAAAAACATAACGCTTGGCTATGTGAATCCTAGGATGAGAAAGCGCTGTGAGATACACCGGCGGAGTGAAAATGTACCTTTCTCCAAAGATTGTGCGCGTCTGTGCGACTGATTATAAACTGTTAACCTATTACGTCGAATCGGATAACCTACGACATTACGAGATCATAACGTAGAAAGTTTCTTAAAGGCCGCGTAAGAGGTGTCGTTGAACGAGGAACTCGGAAGAATTTGTCGATCCTTATACGATTATTACGGATACCGATCAAAGGCGGATAAGACGCCAGTCCAATTCTTTGCAATTTTCATTATTTGACGTAATTATATAACCTGTCTGCTGACAATGTACTATAAAAATAATAATGTAAATAATTGCATGTTATAAGCAATTTAAAAATTTTTCCGTAACCACCAATATGGAATGATAAAATGCACAAAGTGATGTTGATCTTAATAGTAAATAATTGAATGGTTGATTAAAAGAAAATATTCGTCAAATAAAAAATGACATTTATCGAAATAATTATTAAATCTGCAAATCGTCTCTAAATCTATTCAGGATCTATTCACGCCAAGTTCCTCACAACTTTTATTAAATCATGCATAATGATTAATTACTAAATGAACTCTGCTTGGGAATTCTTACCCGTTGGTGGTCTCTCTTTAGGATAGCATATCCTAAATAGACCTTGAGTCCTTGTGAAGTAATAATATTTCATGTTCATTTGTTCCACCAAATGGCTTTGTTCGGCATGCTTGCTCGCGTATTGCTGTAACAGAAAGAAAAAAATTCCTTGAGCGTCAAGTGTTCAGTTTTAATATTCAACGAAAGTTATACAAAATGCATTATTAACGATGATGAAGTGAAAGGGCAAGAACAAAGTCGCGACGAATAATTCGCCTTGTTGGAGAGAGCTACCGGACGTGTGTTTGCGAATGCAGATGAAGTATATACGCGCTCTTCCTTTCGCGAAAATGTTATTATCGTTAGAAAGTAAGAATACCACGTTCTTGTGATAGAACATCTGTTAGAATCTCTCCCTCTCGCGTTTTTAGCGAAAGAGATGGCGAGCAGCTTTGCCTTCTCAGGATTTATTCTAAATCCTAGTTAATTGGAATTCACGCGAAACTATTTCAAGACTTAATTATAAAAATCCATGGGGCTGAAAATGAACGATATTAAAACGAATTAGTGATATAAAAATCTGTATAATAAATCATAGCGCGATTGATGCTCAAGTTTCGTGAGTTTTGCAATTATATTAAAAAATTGCCGATGGATGAAATTACGAGTAGAGAAAACGACGCCCGCTTTATTTCACGTCACTTCGAGACGTCGATATTCCTCGAAGAGCCCGCCCATGAAGACCATAAGAATCCATATAGAGAGCGTTTACTCGTGCGTATCGACAAGCAAGTTGTTCCGTGCTTTCTTACGTTCGACTTCACACATATCGTCCTCGAAATTTAATGGAATTTCAGATCGCGTAGTAGGCGTGCGTCGATTTTTCGCCTCCATCGGCAGCGGTCCTTCATGGTTGATAGTCTCGCACCGATTCGGCGGGACTCGTCCTCGGCGAGCAGACATCAATGTCGGCTTGAAATCGTTACGATCTATTTTCTAGAAAGTTCTTCTTCGATTTCCCGATTCAACGTCTGGTAGAAAGTATAATGATATATCGCGCTATATACGCGGGAAATCTTAACGCATGAATCGCGATCGTCGCGTCGGCGTCGGCGACAGAAAGAAACATTTCCGCGAGTTGAAAACGCGTGCTCTTTCTTTTTGTATACATGAGTCACTTCCCACGAGGCATTTCGCTCGATCTGTTATCCGCCGATTGCTGATAAAAGGTACCACTGTTTCGCGAAAGCGTTTCTTTCAACGCTCCCAGTCGGTTTCATAAACAATATCAACAGCTCTACGCGGTCTCCGCACAGAGCCGTTTCCACTTGATGGAAAAAAATGTATTAAATTTTAATAAAGATTTGTTTGAATAGTACTAACTTATCATTTACGATAGATAAATGTTTGATAAATAAAAAAAATAATAGTTGAATCAAATTAACCCCTTTATCTTGTATTTAAATATAACATTACATTGTAATGTACGGTCATGGACAGAATGGTTGCAATATTTTTTTTCAATGAGTTTTGGAATAGCCTGCTCATCAAGCGATTGATTTTTATTTATGGATCTATAAGTAAGAACCAATCGATGAGCAGGCTGCATTGCAAGTCTCATTGAAAAAAAAGTGTTACAAGTTACAACCGTTCTGACTGTACTGTATTTAATGTACGACTGTACATTAAATTTGAAGACGTTATCTGTTTAAATTATTTTTTCTATCGATGTTATCTGAAATCAGATGTATATAATAATGTTGGAAAAATAGTCAAATTTTTTAAAGAAATTAATATTGAGAGGTAAGAATTATTTATGTTAAAATGCTCTTAGCTTGAACTTGAAAACAGTTTTTTAACATGATTCCATTAAAGTCAGGTTTGAAAGAGTTAAAGATTTTTGTATCAAATAGATATACGTTAAATTTATAAATATTTATTAAAAATTAGCATTTTTTTTTTTCAGTGTAGTTACACTATTTGTTCAACTTATTTTGGAAGATCAGTTTTTATGATCTGCACATTTTAATTCCCTAATTGTATTAAAAGATTGTTGAAATCAGAATTGTTTTCGCTGAAGGAAAATCAATCTCAAAACATCGATTAGATTGTCAAACATTAGCGACGATATATTTATTACTACAATTTTTATAATAAACCGCTTATTTTTTTATTAAGAAATGTAAACTTTACTTTGTTCTGTAGCAGTGAAAAAAAAATCTAAAAAAATATCAAATTTACGAGTAGGAAATGTAGTCGAAGTTTTATCGCTCTCAAAGCGATTGGTTTATGCGGATACGTGCCTTTGTTACACAGAAAGCAGAAACACGTTCGCGTTGCGTCTGTCAACAGCAACGTCATGTTATTTCTGAAATTCCACTGCCCACGTTTTTCCTCGATTACCAACAGATAATCGTACGAGCGTGACGTACATCGCTGATGCAAGTCTCGATTCAACCTTGGTGAACACCCATGCATGTTCTGAACAATTCTCTCGAAAGAACGCGCAAGGTAGATGATGTACGTTCGCTAGAACGTGTCATTTTATTGTTCTACGTAGACCAAGTAACTTTGTAATTCATGACAAATCCATTAACACAAATTGCATTATTTTTGTTTCTATTGTATTATTGAAACTACTAAGAACCATCGTGATCGACAAACACTCCTAGATGTAAAATCATGAGAGAGAGAAAAGAGGTTCAGTCAAGTTTTCTCATTAATCGCAATCTTAATAGAATTTTGACGAAATATTTTAAAGAATTTTGAAAGAGAAATATTAATTTTTGTCTGTAAAATGTATAGGAATACTCAACTTAAGAAAATGTGTTTTTCTGCGAGCAATAGGTTTGAAAATGCAACACGTAAATCCTCTCTCGTGACGGTACATATCATTTACGCAGAATTAGCGTCACTCGAGATTAGCGAGGAAAGGAAGAAAGGAGAATTTCAATGAATCCTAGTCTCGTCTAGGCCACGCCATTCTGCTTTCACGTTGTTATTTCAACCATTGCTCGTCTCGAATAGCGCGGGAATATCGTTGAGCTCGTCTGATTTCTTTGACATAGAAAGGAAAACCCCTCTTGGGATTCACAATGAAGATAATTATAATGTCAACTATATTATGATAATTATATTATCAAATGAAGAGTTTCAACTCCCATGTGTCTTTCGAGAAATATTTCCTGTAGCATTTTGTCGGTGATTTCGTGAAATCATATTTTCTACATTCTCATCGTATTTCTACCGTAATTGTTCCACGTCAGCAGCGTTGATTTTAGATATATCTTCAATTCGTCGTGACATTTTAACGCAATGGTTGTAGCTAATGATTGTATTCTGGTATGGCGTTTTCATTAGCGGAGGAAAGCGTGATAATTATTGCAACAGTTAAAAGCGATTATGCAAAATACTTGGGTATGCTCGCGGAAATGGACAAAGGATAGCTTTCACTCAACTTGTCGTTCTCGTCCTCGTTTCTGGTATCGAACAAATTGTTATCGACGCCGCCTATATATCAGTTGGTGTAAATTGTCGGGGCATTATCGGTTCGGTTACGGATTCGCGTTAAAAAGGGAGGCCCGTTCACCTCGTACGCGAGATTTTTAGCTAACAAGTTATGTTATGTTGCGTATGGCAACTTTCATTTGAATTTTTCCTCACTGCCGACTAGCTAGCTTATTGGCTGATCGTGTCGCGATCGTTTTTCCAACTCTGTGTGACTTATGATTACACAACTCCCCGCTAAATTTGAATAATTCGCCGTCGCGCATCGATTATTTGAAGGGATCGATTATGAACAATACGGATTTGCACAGGCATCACTATCATTTGAATGACAATTGATGTAATTTACCTTATTTCCGGATGCTTCTAAAGATTTTGTTGCATTAATCTGTCACGCCGAACGGCGAAACGATGCCATAAAATTATTCAATTGACAAATGCAATACTCGTCGATATCCTCGCAACATCGAACAATTCATAACTCAGAGAGTTTAATTTCTTGTTCATAAATTATTTTTTTTAACGTTGAGCAATAGAAATTCTTACATATTTCAATACTTATATACCGGGCATGCACAGTCAAATCCTTCTTATAAATATAGATTTTAAAATTTATTTAACAAAGGTAAAAATTTTGTATATATCGTGAGGGACTATCAGAGTTTAGCTAGTTAACGTTCACTAATTTAAATAATCATGTAATCATTCAAATAATATAAAGTTCTGATACCCCCCCTCACGATATATATTATATTTGAATTGTTATTCATTAGAGCTTATTGTAATACATTATTAAATTGTTAAGAATTTTATGTTACCTTTTTTATTATAAAACAATTAGCAAAACTATAAAAGTATATTAAGTTATAACGTATATAAACGATTTTATTTCAATAGACATTTTCAACTAATAGTCTTAAATTTTTGCTCGGTAGTGTATATTACTCAACACACAAATACTATACTTAATCCGACTTTTGCACAACTTGTCTGTATTGAATACGATCAATGTGACACATTGATTACTATATTGGCTGAAATGTTTTTGCTTTCTACATCTGTCTTCTTATATAAACTCGTGCAGCATGTTGCCGTTCGATGGCGATAAAAATCGAACGCTTTTCTCAAATATCACAAAATCTGGGTGGCATAGATTAAATGAATTATACCGCGTATTGAAAATGGTTGTTTCCGGAAGCGAAATTCGTAAAGTCGCGAACGTTGCACGATGAAAGACGCATCGTCGGGTTCACAGGGACATCTCTGTCGATGGATTCGGACAGAACAGGAAGCATACTCGTGCAATACTCGAGTTTCTCCGAATTGTTTCGCGCCACGAAGTCGCGTTACGCCATTCAACGTCTTTAAAAAGCGCCGCAGATTGCGAGCCGCGGCCTTGAAGAGTCCTCCACATACCACGATCCCTTTAACTTATCGATTACGATCGTGTCTCAATTCTTCGTTAAGAAACATGACTTGTTGGCGAAATAACTGGCGTGACGTGATTTCGTACTTTGTTAATATGTGTATATTTTTTTTCACCCAATATTTATAAATGCGCTGCATTTATGGTACGCGTCAGTTTGCGTTTAAATGGTCTCGAACTCATTTAAAAGTATTATTATTTAAAAATATTCG